TCACACTGATGAAGATTCTGTGAGATCTGAGAGATTTCCGCATCGCATTATAATCGCACCCCATTCATACGAACCGATGCAGGTGTGTATTTTAAGTTAGCGACACCCTGAAATCAGTTTGCAAAATGCGGTGCGATGTGCAGAATTGGATCGCATGGGTCTGAATACCCACGCGATCTGATTCTGGTGCGGACTAAAAAAGGGTCCTGCACCTTTTTGGCGCGGATGTGGTGCGATTAGAGCCATACATAATGTACGATTCCAATCGCACCGCACACAAATCGCATGGGATTGGCACAGGAATGCGATGCGGTTCCTGAAACCACACCGCATATATGTGGACCCGGGCTAAACCTCCTCCTGAACGCAGAAGAATCACATTACGGATAGGAATGTTTTGACCGCCGGCCGCAGGACCGCTAAACGCAGCAAAGTGTACATGTACACACAGGCTTTTATGGAGTTTAGGAGCTTTGACAAAAAAAATGCCAAAAGCTCCTAAAGTCGAGTTTCGCAGCTGCTGGTGTACATGGAGGGGGCGGGGCTTATTATTTCTTCTTGTTATTGATAATAATAGTAACAATGTTTCTCTTCTCGGTGTCATGTCGCCCCCCGGTGGAGCTCACTGACACTGCACTGACAGATCACTGCAGACTACAGCCCCCAGAAGGCAGTGCGCGGTCATGTGACCTGAGTTCCTGCTCCAGCTCAGCTCTGGGTGGTAGGGTGAGTGTTCCTGTGGAATTAATGGTGGAGTTCTGGGTGGGAGAGGGGAAGCACTTACCTATTGGTGTACAGACAGGGGACACTTACCTCTGTCAGGGTTTTCTGGCTGTCCTGGGGGGGGGGGGGGGGGGGGAGATCTGGCACAGTGCTTCTACATTACAGATCACTTACAGTACAGGGTCACCTTCCACTGATCAGATAGGTAATCCACTTTCTATCAGTTATAGGTGGAGTCTGTCCTCTTTTATCTTTCAGGGGCTCCAGCAGTGACCCCCCCCCCATATGGTTCTAGTTCTGTTATAGGTGAGTCTGTCTTTCTTTCAGGGGCTCCAGCAGTGACCCCCCCCCCCCCTTCCCCTGTCTTATGGTTCTAGTTCTGTTTATAGGTGGAGTCTTTCAGGGGCTCAAGCAGTGACCCCCCCCCCCCCATGGTTCTAGTTCTGTTATAGGTGGAGTCTGTCTTATCTTTCAGGGGCTCCAGGGGCTCCAGCAGTGACCCCCCCCCCCCCCCATGGTTCTAGTTCTGTTATAGGTGGAGTCTGTCTTATCTTTCAGGGGCTCCAAGCAGTGACCCCCCCCCCATGGTTCTAGTTCTGTTATAGGTGGAGTCTGTCTTATCTTTAGGTGGAGTCTGTCTTATCTTTCAGGGGCTCCAGTAGTGACCCCCCCCCTCCCCATGGTTCTAGTTCTGTTATAGGTGGAGCCTGTCATTTTATTTATTTCAGGTACTTATATAGAGCCATCAATTTACACAGCGCTTTATATATATATTGTACATTCACATCAGTCCCTAACCCTCAAGGGGTGTTACAATCTAAGGTTCCCTATGTTACATTGAGCCTGGGTTTACACTGATGCGGTGAGGAATTTGCAGTGTTTTTGGTGTGTGAATTCTGCATCGCATCAGAATCGCCCCCCGTTCATGCAAAACCGCTGTGGGTGTGTATGTTAAATTAACAACACCCTGAAATCTGCGATGTGCAGAATCACAGCAGGTGTGAATACCCATCCGATCCGATTCCGTTCCAAAAAAAAGGGTCCTGGACGATTTTTGTGCGGTGCAATTAGAGCCATGCAAAAAATGTATGACTCCAGTCGCACCGGACACAAATCACATGTGACTTGTACAGGAATGCAGTGCGGTTCCTGTGAGAATCACAGTGCATATACCGCACTGCATATATGGGAACCCAGACTCATACATACACATACTAGGGACAATTTAGACAGGAGCCAATTACACTAACCAGCATGTCTTTGGAGTGTGAGAGGAAACCCACACAGGCACAGGGAGAACATGCAAATTGCAGGCAGGAGGTGCTCTAGTTGGAATTCGAACCAATGACCCTGTTGCTACCAGCCAGGTGCTGTGCTGCCCATATATCTTAGATCAGGGGTATCAAACTGGCGGCCCTCCAGCTGTTGCACAACTACAAGTCCCATCATGCTTTGTAACTGTCAATCTTGCAATGCCTCATGGGACTTGTAGTTTGGCAACAGCTGGAGGGCTGCCAGTTTGATACCCGTGTTCTTAGGGGTCCATCAGTGAGTTCCCCTCCCTCCATAGTTTTGTTCTTCTCACACTTTGGGGGTATTCTGATGACTCCTAATTGGGAAGGGGGGAGCAGACCCAGGAACTCTGCCATCAGATGACCTGAGAGATGGAAGGAAATGGCTGCAGAACTTTAAAATATCAGTTCTGGGTGGAGTAATTCTGTGCGCTGACCCATTTCAATCTCTCAAGTCAGTAAAAATCCCAGATCAGCCTATGCTTGAGAAGGGGAGCACATTATGCCCTTATAGTGGCCTTGCGCGTGCTCCGAAATGCATCGCATTGCATGCTGGTCCTGCCTACGTCATCACGCTGACGTTGCAGCCATCGCCCCCATCTTCCTAGACAAAACACACGCTGGCCTTTACCATCTACTGTCTCTCCCAGCGTTTACCATGGCTTACTCCTCTGAGGACTGGGACATCAACCTTCTCTACCCTCACTTAAACCAATGAGCTTTTTATACACTTTTTATCATGTAAGTGCAGGGGTGGATTTTGATTTAAATCCTAGTTTTCTACTAAAGACTAATTCTTGCTGTTAGCTTTTAATATACAAGTAGAAGAAGATTTAGAATAACTTTTCATATTAGTTTTTTATCCCCAGTTAATAGGTTAATCATTCATCATTTGGCCAACTTTTTGTTGTGTACTTAGGAAGGAGAAAAATAATCATTACCTTAAACTAATAATTTTAAATAGATTTATTCAACTGAAACAATAACATTACAGCATATGTTATTTCCTTAACCCCTTCCCGCCGATGCCCTCCCGGCCCTTTAAGAGATTCAGACGCCGGGAGGCGGGCGAGGCGGTTGGGGCGTGGTTTAGAAATCATGTGACCGCCGTGATGACGCGTCACGGCGGACACATGACATCGGAAAAGGTCCCGTTCGACAGCGAGACCGGGACCTTATCCGTGAGTACCACACATGTGTGCTGGGAGCGCGCAGGGCCGCGCCTCTCAGCACATATGTATTCTCAGTTACATGACGCAAATGTGCGGCCGCTTTTGTCGGCGTCTAGGCCCAGACGCCGGGAGGCCGCACATTTGAGTGCGGGCCGCGCAAAGGCTGTGGTTAAACAAACATCCATGTTTGTTAACTAATTTGGCTAAACAAAAATATATATATTTTAAGAAACTTAGACTGTCAGCCCCTTCCTCCTCACACTTAGTTTCACTTTCTTCTTCTGTGCAGATCTATTCCACTCCAAACAATCAGGGGAAATATTGTTTCTATTCTATTCACTGAACTTCCTTGAAACTTAGCACTGAAGGGGTTGATTCTGTATTCATAGGGGTAGAAGTTAGGATGAAGGTCTTTTTTCTTCACTCTGTTCATGTTTAACATAGTTTTTGCTGTGAAAGAAGAGGCATGTGAGATCTCCGCTGAGTCAGATTCAGTTTTGAGAACTGCAAAAGTGAGCATCTGTGATAATATCTTGTAGGCAGAGAAACTGCCCAATAATCTTACAAAAACCTCTGGAAGAGCATGGAAGTGAATGGATTCATGGAAATTTATTTACCAAATGAAAAAAAGTTAAACATATACAGTTAATTCTACATAATGTAAAAAAACTAATCTTTATTTCATGATGAAAATAACCTTTGGATGGTAATATATTTTTCCCCAAAAAGCATTTTATTAAAAAAATCCAATGATTTTTAAAAAAAAAAATCAGATTTTTAAAAAAAAAATCATTGATTTTTATGCCACCCTGCCTTAGTCCGACACGAAATGATAGATTTTATTCCAATTCAAGTCTTATTAGGTTGTGTCCTGCACTTTCAAAAAAAAAAAATCAAATCGCTGATTTTTATCGCTCCCTGTGTGAGCGTCTTTTCATCGTTTCCAGAATTAATGTCCTCATACTGCACACTTAGAGGCCTTTCTCCTTCATTTGTGTCTTTTAGCCTTTTACTTAGAGCCTGCTGCAGCTACAAGAGCCTGCTCCAGTGAGGGGACTCACATATATCAACTTTAACCATGAACCTTTACTATGGTCCCTGAGCATTTGGTCCTGGAGGAGTTTGCACTGATTTCTCTCAAAAAATCCCACTGACTGTGCGGACCTGTACACAGGGTGGGTGGGAGCTGGACATGACCTGTCATGGTGTATGCACTAGCATTTTCTATTGGACGCTCCATGTCCTAATGAGGTGACCTGCAGACAACAAAAGCCAACCAAAGCCTCTCTCTTGTCAAATGCTGGGATTTCTATTCACATGAAGATTTCTAGCTGAATAGAAAAACAAAGAGGAGGATCATCACATTGAAGCCGTCGTAAAGGTGTGGTGGGAGGATTCTCTTCATGTAAAGCTTGTTTCTTTGAGTGTTCCAATACAAGTCTATTAGTGTCTGAAACCCAACGGAAGGAGGTCACCGCATGTCAGGGGAGGAGGTCACATTGCGCAGGTCAGGTGAGGGAGGTTCATCTGGCAGGTCACGGGAGGAGGTCACTGAGGGAACAGGTCATCTGCAGGAGAGGTCATCTGCAGGTCAGAAGGAGGTCACTAGCAGGTGGGGAGAAGGAGGTCACCAGCAAGTCACCTCCCGGTCAAGGGAGGAGATCACCAGCAGATCACACCTGAAGGTGGGGAGAAGGTCACCTGCAGATTAGGAGAGTTAGGGTCAGGAGGAAGTTACCTGCATCAGTCAGTAAATTTGTGTGCAGAGTCTCAGTTTCCTGTCTGTCTCTCTCTGTACAGATTCGGGGCCAGAATGGCGTCACACACAGATTGGACAGTGCTGGTCCTCACCTGTCAGCATAAGGACAGCGTCCAGGCCTTTCAGAGAGGTGAGGAGCAGTATGGACTTCCCTTCATCCATAACCTCTTTTCCCTTTCCGTTCTCTCCCCCTTCCCTCCTTCTCTCCACTCCAACTTCCCCTCCCTTTCATTCTCTCCACTCTCCCTTCCTCTGTTCCAGACGTCCTCTCCTCTGCCCCCTCCCCCCCTCCATTCTATTTAAATAGTTTTTATTAATTTGCCAAAAGGGAATAATTACAAGATACAGAGCCAAACATACTATGGCAATACAGTTCTTACACACAAATCAAAGAGGTAATAGAAATACCTTACCTTCCATTTTATCCCTATTTCCCTCCTTATCTTCTCTCCCTCTCCCTTCTCTCCCCCCCTCTCTTCCTTCTCTCTCTCCCCCTCTCCACCCCTCCCTTCTCTCCCCCTCTCCACCCCTCCCTTCTCTCCCCCTCTCCACCCCTCCCTTCTCTCTCCCCTCTCCACCCCCTCCCTTCTCTCCCCCTCTTCCTCCCCTCCCTTCTCTCCCCCTCTCCTCCCTCTCTCTTCTCTCCCGCTCTCCCTTCTCTCCCCCTCTCCCTTCTCTTCCCCTCTCCCTCCCCTCTCTACCCTCTCTTCTCCCCTCTCCCTTCTCTTCCCCTCCCATCCCTTCTCTTCCCCCTCTCCCCTTCTCTCCCCCTCTCCTCCCCTCCCCCTCTCCTCCCCTCTCTACTCTCCCCCTCCATCCTCTCTCTCTCCCCTCTCCTCCTCTTCTCTCCCCTACCCTCCTCCCCCTCTTCTCTCCCCCTCTCCCCTCTTTCTTCTCTCCCCTCTCCTCCCCCTCGTCTTCTCTCCCCCCTCCTCCCCTCTCTTCTCCCCCCTCTCCTCCTCTCCCCCCCCCTCCCCCTCTCTCTTCTCTCCCCCTCTCCTCTCCTCCCCTCTCTCTCTCCCCCTCCCCTCTCCTCCCCTCTCCTCTCCTCCCCCCTCCTCGCCCGCTCCCCCCCTCATCCTTCTCCCCCCCCTCTATCCTCCCCCCCCTCATCTCTCCTCCCCCTCCCCTCTCTCCTCCCCTCTCCTCCCCCCCCTCTCTCTCTCCCCCCTCTCTCCTCCCCCCTCTCTCCCCCCCCTCTCTTCTCTCCCCCCTCTCTTCTCTCCCCCCCCTCTCTTCTCCCCCCCCCTCTTCTCTCCCCCCCCTCTCTTCTCTCCCCCTTTCCTCCCCTCCCTTTCATTCTGTCCTCTTCTGTCATGCTCCTCCTCTATTGTGGTGGAGTGGGACTCACCTATGCAACACATTGGGCAAGGTTGTCTGTGGTTTCCTCTCACTTCTGTCTGACACCTGTCAGTGAGTGAGAGAAATCTCCCAAATAAAGACTCCACATGAAACTGGAGTTGGGCTTTAAGACCACTTTGTAACATTTGCACAGTTGCTGTGTTTTCTGGATAGGATTGAAAGTTTCAGATAACATGCTGCATAGAGTTGGTCTTTAATGAATGTATTCTCCACCCAGAACTTGAGATCAGACAGCGGCGTGGCATCCTGCCCCCAGACACACTGCTGCTGACGGTTGAAGACCCCCAGGCGCATGTGGGCAGTGGAGGAGCCACCTTAAATGCTCTGCTGGTAGCTGTAGAATACCTGAGTGCTCGTGCCGGGTACACGGTGAGTGGTATGACTGTGCTCTCTCTGTTTTCCCCTAGGTGTCAAGTCTGGGCCCCATAGTTCAAGGAGGCTTCTCTTCCTGTTGTCTCCTGGGTGTCACATCTGGGCTCATAGTGCAGGATAGCCTTCCTATTGTCCCCTTGAGTCATGTTCCAACCCTGTAGTGCAATGTAGATCCTCTTCCTGTTGTCCCCTGTGTGTCACACCTGAGCCCTGTAGTTAATGGTGGCTCCTCTTCCTATTGTCTCCTGGGTATCATGTCTGAGCTCCATAGTGCAGGGTGGCTCCTCTTCCTATTGTCCCCTGGGTGTCATGTTCAAGCCCTGTGTAGCAATGTCTAGGTTCTGCAGTGTAGGGTGGCTCCTCTTCTTGTTGTCTCCTGTGTGTCACATGAAGGCCCCATAGTTCAGGGTGGCTCCTCTTCCTGTTATCTCCCCCTGGGTGCTATATCTGGGTCCCATAGTGCAGGGTGGCTCCTCTCCTGTTGTCCCCTGGTGCTATGTCTGGGTCCCATAGTTAAGGGTGCCTCCTCTTCCTGTTGTCCCCTGGGTGCTATGTCTGGGTCCCATAGTTCAGGGTGCCTCCTCTTCCTGTTGTCCCTGGGTGCTATGTCTGGGTCCCATAGTTCAGGGTGGCACCTCTTCCTGTTATCCCTGGGTGCTATGTCTGGGTCCCATAGTGCAGGGTGGCTCCTCTTCCTGTTATCCCCTGGGTGCTATGTCTGGGTCCCATAGTACAGGGTGGCTCCTCTTCCTGTTATCTCCTGGGTGCTATGTCTGGGTCCCATAGTATAGGGTGGCTCCTCTTCCTGTTGTCCCCTGGATGTCATATTCAGGTCCCCATAGTGCAGGGTGGCTCCTCTTCCTATTGTGTCCTAGATGTCCCATACCTAGGCTCTTTAGTGGATGTCAGGGTGGTCTTTTTTTGTGTCCTGTTATCCCATTGGGTTTTCACATTCGGGTGTCCTCATAGTGCAGGATAGCTCCTCTTCTTGTTATTCCCTGGGTGTCACATCTGGGCCTCGAAGTACAGTGAGTTCTCAGTCAATGCTCATGTAGACATTTCTGGAATGAAGAAGTCCTCTCATTGTCTCCCTTCTGTCTCCTTGACAGGTTGTGTCCTCAGATGTCCTCCTAGGGGGCGAGACTTCTCATCTTGCACACGGTGAGTGAACGCACAGCGGCGATTATCAGCCAAGTAAAACTATCACTAACCTCCCATGTCTGTCTCTGGAAGGGGCGGGACTTTCTGTTTGATGACTGCGGCCCGCGGGTTCACCGTTCTTCCCGTGGAGGATCCGCAAGCACCAGTAGAATCCATCACCTGCAACTTGGACAGTCTATTGAATGTACTGAGATACCAAGTATGTAGAATGGGTCTGTGTATGCAAAGTGGACTGAGGGAAGGGGATAGCTGAGATACCAAGTGGGTTGAATGGGTGTGTGTGTGCAAAGTGGGCTGGGTGTGGTGGAGGAGGGTACAGCTGAGATACCAGGTGGGTGAAGCGGGTCTGAGTGCACAAAGCGGGCCCTAGGGAGGGTACAGCTGAGATACCAGGTGAGCAGAAGGGGTCTCTGTGTGCAAAATGGGCCGGAGGGGGAAGAATGTTGGTAGCTGAGGTACCAGGTGGGTGGAACGATTCTGTGTGTGGCTTGGGGGGTGGGGGGAGAATTGGGTCACATTTGTATTTCATTAGATTTGTTTTTATTTTATTTGGCTTGCTATGACAAGAAATCCAGAATGTTCCAGTTCGCTCCTGTATCCAGAAATTCCATATTGATATTTTCTTGTGGTATTTAGATTGTCAGCTCTGGTGCTGAATTACAGTGCCTTGAAAAAGTATTCATACCCCTTGAAATGTTCCCCATTTTGTCATGTTACAACCAAAAATGTAAATTTATTTTATTGGGATTTTATTTGATAGACCAACACAAAGTGGCACATAATTGTGAAGTGGAAGGAAAATGATAAATGGTTTCAAAATGTTTTACAAATAAATATCTGAAAAGTGTGACGTACATTTGTATTTAGCCCCCTTTACTCTGATACCCCTAACCAAAATCTAGTGGAAGTCAATTGCCTTCAGAAGTCACATAATTAGTAAATAGAGTCCACCTGTGTGTTAATTTAATCTCAGTATAAATACAACTGTTCTGTGAAGCCCTCAGAGGTTTGTTAGAAAACATTAGTGAAAAAATAGCATCATGAAGGCCAAAGAACACACCAGGCAGGTCAGGGATAAAGTTGTGGAGAAGTTTAAAGCAGGCTTAGGTTATAAAAAAAAAAAATATCCCAAGCATTGAACATCTCACGGAGCACTGTTCAATCCTTCATCCGAAAATGGAAAGTGTATGGCACAACTGCAAACCTACCAAGATCTGACCGTCCACCTAAACTGACAGGCTGGGCAAGGAGAGCGTTCATCAAGAAGCAGCTAAGAGGCCGACCATGATAACTCTGGAGGAGCTGCAGAGATCCACAGCTCAGGGGGGAGAATGTGTCCACAGGACAACTATTAGTCGTGCACTCCACAAATCTGGCCTTTATGGAAGAGTGGCAAGAAGAATTCCATTGTTTCATAAGAAGTCCGGTTGGCAGTTTGCGAGAAGCCATGTGGGGGACACAGCAAACATGTGGAAGAAGTTGCTCTGGTCAGTCGAGACCAAAATTGAACTTTTTGACCTAAAAGCAAAACGCTATGTGTGGCGGAAAACTAACACTGCACATCACCCTGAACACACCATCCCCACCGTGAAACATAGTAGTGGCAGCATCATGTTGTGTGGATTCTTTTTTTTTTTTTTTTTGCAGGGACAGGGAAGCTGGTCAGAGTTGATGGAAGATGGATGGAGCCAAATACAGGGCACTCTTAGAAGAAAACCTGTTAGAGTCTGTAAAAGACTTGAGACTGGGGCGGAGGTTCACCTTCCAGCAGGACAACGACCCGAAACATCCAGCCAGAGCTACAATGGAATGGTTTAGATCAGGGGTCTCCAAACCTTTCAAACAAAGGGCCGTTTATGGTCCTTCAGAATGTAAGAGGGTCGGAGTGTGGCCATTGGGGGTAGAAAATGTTTTGGGCCCAGCATCAGTGAGAATAAACGTGGCCTCAGGGATGGTGGTCAGTAGGTGGAAGAGCAGTGCCCTATCATTGGTATTAATGGGAGGAATAATACCACATAAATGTTATCAATAGTGCCCCATTGTTGGTGCCAGTGGGAGGAATACTGCTTCATATCATTAGGAGGAATAGTGCCCCAAGGGCTGGATAAAGGCTAGCAAAGGGCCATGTCCGGCCCTCAGGCCGCAGTGTGGAGACCCTGGGTTTAAATCAAAGCATATTCATGTGTTAGAATGGCCCAGTCACAGTCCAGACCTAAATCCAATTGAGAATCTGTAGCAAGACTTGAAATTGCTGTTCCCAGATGCTCTCCATCCAATCTGACAGAGCTTGAGCTATTTTGAAAAGAAGAATGGGCAGAAATGTCACTCTCTAGATGTGCAAAGCTGGTAGAGACATCCCCAAAAAGACTTGCAGCTGGAATTGCAGCGAACGGGGGTCCTACAAAGTACTGACTCCGGGGGGCTGAATACACAAATGCACCCACACTTTTCACATATTTATTTGTAAAGAAATTTGAAAACCATTTATCATTTCATTCCACTTCACAATTATGTGCCACTTTGTGTTGGTCTATCACATAAAATCCCAATAAAATATTTTTTGTTTTTGGTTGTAACATGACAAAATGTGGAAAATTTCAAGGCGTATGAATACTTTTTCAAGGCACTGTACATTTATTGTGTTCAGATGATTTATGGTGACATGGTGTGTAATCTGATGTTTCTGGTTTCTTCCAGCTGTGTCCTGGATCTCCTCCCGGTGTCTGGGTCTGCAGCACAGACATGACACTGACTCTGCGCTCTGTGCCACGTGAGTCCTGAGGATAACCCTTCTCCTATTATCCTTTGCAGCTCAAACAGTTCCTGCTGTAACTGCAGGTCTGATGTATCAATGTACCTGAACTGAGAACTTCTTCAAGTCTTGCTGGATCTGCTTTTCTCCTTTCCATCCTCTATGTCAGTGGTTCTCAACCTTTCTAATGCCGCGACCCCTTAATACAGTTCCTCATGTTGTGGTGACCCCCAACCATAAAATTATTTTCATTGCTACTTCATAACTGTAATTTTGCAGTGGGAGGAGTAGTAGTGCCATGTCATTGGTGTCAGTGGAAGGAGTAGTGCCCACCCATCACTGATGTCAGTGGGGATGAATAGTGCCCATTGTTGGTATCAGTGGGAGGAATAGTGCCCCATCGTTGGTATCAGTGGGAGGAATAGTGCCCCATCGTTGGTGTCAGTGGGAGGAATAGTGCCCCATCGTTGGTGTCAGTGGGAGGAATAGTCCCCATCGTTGGTTTTCAGTGTCAGTAGGGAGGAAATAGTGCCCCATCGTTGGTGTCAGTGGGAGGAATAGTGCCCCCATCGTTGGTGTCAGTGGGGAGGAATAGTGCCCCATCGATTGGTGTCAGTGGGAGGAATAGTGCCCCATCATTGGTGTCAGTGGGAGAATAGTGCCCCATCGTTGGTGTCAGTGGGAGGAATAGTGCCCCATTCGTTGGTGTCAGTGGGAGGAATAGTGCCCATCGTTGGTACATCAGTGGGAGGAATAGTGCCCCATCGTTGGTATCAGTGGGAGGAATAGTGCCCCATCACTGGTGTCAGTGGGAGGAATAGTGCCCCATCACTGATGTCAGTGGGATGCATAGTGCCCCATCGTTGGTGTCAGTGGGTGGAGGAATAGTGCCCCATCGTTGGTGTCAGTGGGAGGAATAGTGCCCCATCGTTGGTGTCAGTGGGAGGAATAGTGCCCCCATCGTTGGTGTCAGTGGGAGGAATAGTGCCCCATCGTTGGTGTCAGTGGGAGGAAATAGTGCCCCATCGTTGGTGTCAGTGGGAGGAATAGTGCCCCATCGTTGGTATCAGTGGGAGGAATAGTGTGCCCCATCGTTGGTATCAGTGGGAGGAATAGTGCCCCATCGTTGGTGTCAGTGGGAGGAATAGTGCCCCATCGTTGGTGTCAGTGTGGGAGGAATAGTGCCCCATCGTTGGTGTCAGTGGGAGGAATAGTGCCCCATCATTGGTGTCAGTGGGAGGAATAGTGCCCCATCGTTGGTGTCAGTGGGAGGAATAGTGCCCCATCGTTGGAGTCAGTGGGAGGAGGAATAGTGCCCCATCATTGGTGTCAGTGGGAGGGAGTAGTGCCCCATCATTGGTGTCAGTGGGAGGGAAGTAGTGCCCCCATCATTGGTGTCAGTGGGGGGAATAGTAGTGCCCCATCATTGGTGTCAGTGGGGGGGAGTAGTGTGCCCATCACTGGTGTCAGTGGGAGGAATAGTGCCACATCATTGGTGTCAGTGGGAGGAGTAGTGCCCCATCATTGGTGTCAGTGGGGAGGAATAGTGCCCCATCATTGGTGTCAGTGGGGGGGAGTAGTGCCCCATCATTGGTGTCAGTGGGGGAATAGTGCCCCATCATTGTTTGTCAGTGGGGGGAGGAATAGTGCCCCATCTGGTGTCAGTGGGGGGGGTAGGAATAGTGCCCCATCACTGGTGTCAGTGGGGGGAGTAGTGCCCCATCACTTGGTGTCAGTGGGGGGAATAGTGCCCCATCACTGGTGTCAGTGGGAGGAATAGTGCCCATCACTGGTGTCAGTGGGAGGAATAGTGCCCACATCATTGGTGTCAGTGGGAGGAATAGTGCCCCATCATTGGTGTGTGTGGGGGAGGAGTAGTGCCCCATCATTGGTGTCAGTGGGGGGATAGTGCCCCAGTGCCCCATCATTGGTGCCCCATGTCAGTGGGGGAGTAGTGCCCCATCATTGGTGTCAGTGGGAGGAATAGTGCCCCATCACTGGTGTCAGTGGGGGGAGTAGTGCCCCATCACTGGTGTCAGTGGGAGTAGTGCCCCATCATTGGTGTCAGTGGGAGGAATAGTGCCCCATCACTGGTGTCAGTGGGGGGAGGAATAGTGCCCATCATTGGTGTCAGTGGGAGGAATAGTGCCCCATCATTGGTGTCAGTGTGGGGAGGGGAGAATAGTGCCCCATCGTTGGTGTCAGGGGGGGGGGGGGAAATAGTGCCCCATCGTTGGTGTCAGTGGGGGGGAGGAATAGTGCCCCATCATTGGTGTCAGTGGGAGGAATAGTGCCCCATCATTGATGTCAGTGTGGGGGGGGAGAATAGTGCCCCATCATTGGTGTCAGTGGGGGGGGAATAGTGCCCCATCGTTGGTGTCAGTGGGGGGAGGAATAGTGCCCCATCGTTGGTGTCAGTGGGGGGAGGAATAGTGCCCCATCGTTGGTGTCAGTGGGGGGGAGGAATAGTGCCCCCATCGTTGGTGTCAGTGGGGGGGAGGAATAGTGCCCCATCGTTGGTGTCAGTGGGGGGAGGAATAGTGCCCCATCGTTGGTGTCAGTGGGGGGAGGAATAGTGCCCCATCGTTGGTGTCAGTGGGGGGAGGAATAGTGCCCCATCGTTGGTGTCAGTGGGGGGAGGAATAGTGCCCCATCATTGGTGTCAGTGGGAGGAATAGTGCCCCATCATTGATGTCAGTGTGGTGGAGGGGAGAATAGTGCCCCATCGTTGGGGTCAGGGGGGGGGGGGGGGGGAAATAGTGTCCCATCGTTGGTGTCAGTGGGGGGAGGAATAGTGCCCCATCATTGGTGTCAGTGGGAGGAAATAGTGCCCCATCATTGGTGTCAGTGTGGTGGAGGGGAGAATAGTGCCCCATCATTGGGGTCAGGGGGGGGGGAAATAGTGCCCCATCGTTGGTGTCAGTGGGGGGAGGAATAGTGCCCCATCGTTGGTGTCAGTGGGGGAGGAATAGTGCCCCATCGTTGGTGTCAGTGGGGGGAGGAATAGTGCCCCATCGTTGGTGTCAGTGGGGGGGGAGGAATAGTGCCCCATCGTTGGTGTCAGTGGGGGGGAGGAATAGTGCCCCATCGTTGGTGTCAGTGGGGGGGAGGAATAGTGCCCCATCGTTGGTGTCAGTGGGGGGAGAGGATAGTGCCCCATCGTTGGTGTCAGTGGGGGGAGGAATAGTGCCCCATCGTTGGTGTCAGTGGGGGGAGGAATAGTGCCCCATCGTTGGTGTCAGTGGGGGGGAGGAATAGTGCCCCATCGTTGGTGTCAGTGGGGGGAGGAATAGTGCCCCATCGTTGGTGTCAGTGGGGGGAGGAATAGTGCCCCCATCGTTGGTGTCAGTGGGGGGAGGAATAGTGCCCCATCGTTGGTGTCAGTGGGGGGGAGGAATAGTGCCCCATCGTTGGTGTCAGTGGGGGGAGGAATAGTGCCCCATCGTTGGTGTCAGTGGGGGGAGGAATAGTGCCCCATCGTTGGTGTCAGTGGGGGGAGGAATAGTGCCCCATCGTTGGTGTCAGTGGGGGGAGGAATAGTGCCCCATCGTTGGTGTCAGTGGGGGGAGGAATAGTGCCCATCGTTGGTATTAGTGACACAAATGATGGGGCACTATTCCTCCCACTGACACCAATGATACTTACTTTGCTGACCCCTGCTCCAGCCTGGGCTCGCTCTCTCACTTTACCTGTCAGCTGTCTTCCTTCTCTGGCCGCTCTCCTCTTCACTCGCTCCGGCAGCTCCCTCGGTCTTCTTTGATGTACGCGCGCTGCCGCTCGGCTCCTCCTCTCCAAGCTCCACCTCCTCGCCGGTGATTGGCCGCCTGTGTGCCTCTCCTGAGCTACAGTTCCGGTGGCCAATCAGCGGCGAGGAGGCGGAGCTGCTGAGCGATCCCGGAGGTTGTGGCCAGGTGACAGCAGCATATCATCCCGCCCACACATCGCCGGAGACAGCAGCGGTGTCTCGGTTCCTAAGACCATCGGAAATATGTGTTTTCCGATGGTCTTAGGCGACCCCTGGGAAATGGTCGTTCGACCCCCAAAGGGGTCGCGACCCCCAGGTTGAGAACCGCTGCTCTATGTGCTTCTGTCATATCCATCCTCTCTCTGTGCTTCTGTCCTGTCTATCCTTTCAATCATTGCTGTGCTACCATTATCTCAATCCATACTGTGTTCTTGTCCTCTCCATCCTTGCTAAACTCCTGTCATATCCATTCTCTCTCTGCGTCTGTCCTCTCCATCCTCTTTAAGGTTCTGTCATATCCATCCTCTCTCTGCGTCTTTCCTCTCCATCTTCTTTAAGGTTCTGTCATATCCATCCTCTCTCTGCATCTGTCCTCTCCATTCTCTCCTGTCATGCCCACTCTCTCTGCATCTGTCCTCTCCATCCTCTTTAAGGTCCTGTCATATCCATTCTCTCTCTGCGTCTGTCCTCTCCATCATCTTTAAGGTCCTGTCATGTCCATCCTCTCTCTGCGTCTGTCCTCTCCATCCTCTTTAAGGTCCTGTCATATCCATTCTCTCTCTGCGTCTGTCCTCTCCATCCTCTTTAAGGTCCTGTCATATCCATCCTCTGTGCTCCTGTCCTCTTCATTCCCTGTTGTGCTCCTGTCAATGACAGATGATTGCTGCCAACCTGTCATCTCCTCCCTTGCTGCATCCCATCTATCCTCTCTGTACTCCTGTTATCTCTCCGTTCTTGTTGTGTTCAGGAATAGAGTGGAACCAGTTTTGTGTGGTGCGCGAGTCTTTGCTCTCCCGGGATCTCTGGAATACGCTCGGAATCATGGGGTCTATTTGACGGATGGGAAGGTAGGTTGGCGTTGGGGGGAGGGGAGTGTGGACAATGAGTTGGAACTGAGAATTCCTCTTCTGTGTTCCAGGGGACAGTGAGAGACATCGTATACCGAGGGTGTGAGCAGAGGATCCGGGCCTGTCTGCTGGAGGATCAACATGTCCCCCTGGTAACATCCCTGTCCATGGAGATCCAACCTCCTTCTGTGTTTTTCTATATCTATAGATGACAGAGGATGGAGATACCGGTCACCCCATCCAGTGTATTAGCCAGGACTACACTGTCATAGAGTATTGTGTGACCTCAGTGGCAGTCAGAAGGTTGGGTGTGATCGGCCTCCATTCGGGTCTCTCTGGTGTCACACCAGTAATAGTGTTGGATTTGTATCAGATTTGATTCAAAATGTCTGCCTGTGGGTGTGTCCAGTCCCCAGGATGTCTGTGGGTGTCTCTGGCCCCTGAGAGCTAAAATAGGGAGATCTGTCTCCTTCATTGAGATACACCACACACCCATCTATAGCAGAAATGTCACGTTTGGGTGGACTGACCCTTTGACTGATCTCACTGTGCTTATTGCTTCTCCTTTATGAATAATCCAACTTTGTGTCTCTATCAGGTGTCCGGAATCGTCTTCCTCTCCTCGGAGACAGCAGAACGTTTTCTTGGCACTCTGGCCTCCTCTCCTCTGGACGGATGTACATACCAGGGACTGGACTCTGGAGCAGAACCCCTGGAGGTATGTGAGAGGTTATGTCCCCCTGCTCGTGTATTGTGCAGCTTTATTGCCCTGCTTGTGTATTGTGTAGCTTTATTGCCCTGCTTGTGTATTGTGTAGCTTTATTGCCCTGCTTGTGTATTGTGTAGCTTTATTGCCCTGCTTGTGTATTGTGTAGCTTTATCGCCCTCTATTGCCCTGTGTATTGTCTAGCTCTAGCCCTACTTATCGCCCTGCTCTCGTGTATTGTCTAGCTCTATTGTGTTGCCCCCTGCTCGTGTATTGTCTAGCTCTATCGCCCTGCTCTGTGTGTATTGTCTAGCTCTATCGCCCTGCTCGTGTATTGTCTAGCTCTATCGCCTGCTGCTTGTGTATTGTCTAGCTCTATCGCCCTGTCGTGTATTGTGTGGCTTTTTCTCCCTGCTCGTGTACTGTACAGGCGTCTCTGTGGTCAGGAATGGGTGGGTCTGTCCCCCTGCTCATGTACTTTGCAGTTCTGTTCCCCTGCTTGTGCACTGTGCAGACATCTCCATTGTCAGTAATGGGCGGCTCTATCCCCATGTGCTGCTCAAGTACTATGCAAATGTCTCCATTATCTGTAGGGGTTCTCTCCCCCAGCTTTGTGCACTGATGTCTCCATAGTCAGGAATGGGATTTGTTGTGTCTTGCAGATTTCCCTGTTCCTGGATGTGCTAATGAGTATGTGTGAGGATGTCACTGAGGATGCGTTTCTGGGCGGCGCATCGGGGCTCAGTGATCGCTCTAAAAGTGCCCGGATGGTGCTATGGAAGGAACTGCATGAGCTTCCCCTGAGCATGGGTGAGGGCTTTATCTCTGTCTTGTCTGAAGATCTGAAACTCTAACAATCTGTTCTTTTGTTATAATAGGAAATGGGAGGAATTTTGTGACCCTCCTATCATATCCTAAGGATCCTCCATACTGTACAGTGTGACCAGTCTGAGGATGGAGACAGTGCTGGGTGGAGCCTCATCAATAATGACCAAAAGTCTAATTAATAATGTAATCCTCCCAAAATGGTGGTAGGATAGAAAATCCCCTTGGAAATTATATATTCACACATCCCTCTCTCTCTCTTTGTATATTAGCCAATCGGCTTCTAACTTCAGCTTGTTCAATTATGCTTTGACAGTAAAACCTAGAAGCTGGTTGGTTACGATGCACAGCTACACCAGATTCTGTGAGCACAGTGTTAGTAAATCTCCCCCAGTGTGCGTGTAATATTTATGTGTATTGTCTGTGCAGTGTACATCCCGGATGGCATCTATGAGTACCTGTCCCTCTTTGCTCACCATCACATCACAAGTCTGATAAAAGCCGCTTCACAAGGATCCCAGGGGAAGAAGATGGCACAATCATTTGTCACAGTATGTAAAGGATGGGGGATCAAGGGATGGGGGTCAGTGGATCCAAGGGGTAGAAATGGATAGTGGACTTAGGAATTGGGGTGGGTGACCTGGGGATGGGGGTGGGATACTCAAGGATGGGTGACCTGATTATGGGGGACCCAGGGATTGGATTAGGGACTAAAGTATAGCAATTATGGTGGGGGACCAAGAGTATGGGATGGGGGACCCAGGGATAGGAATAGGCGTGGGGTACTGGGAGATGGGGATGGAGTGAGAGGGCTTAAGCGTAGGGCACCCAGAAATGCGGATTGTGGACCTGGGACCTGGGACTGGGGGACCCCAGGATGGGGATGTTGGTTTAGAAGTGTGGTCAGTGTATTGTTCTTTCTCCATTTAGAATCCAGATCTGATAGAAGATGGGAGCTGTGTGGTGAACAGTCTGCTGAGTGGAGAGGTGACTTTGCGTCGGGGTAGTGTAATACAGAACTGCCATCTACAGGTAAGTTGTATTGGAGATAAGTCCTTTCTCATGACCATCTATGCCTCCGGTGCTAATAATGATGGCTAAAGCAATGCCGTGCTTCTACACTGAGCTTTTTTCATAGGGTCCCCTTCATGTGGGCAGTGGGTGTCTTCTGACTGGCATTGCTCCCGAAGGAGGAGCAGGGTTACGTGGGTACCATCTAAATGATGTATTCTCCAGGCCCATCCCATCCATATCCAGAATCTTTCCTTGACCGTTTACAGCCTTCTGGGTACCAACGACCAACTGCAGGTAACAGGTATCTTCATTAACTCTCAATGATTCTCATTCATCCTCGCTGACCTCTCAGTGACCCTCACTCATCCTCATCGACCTCCCAATAATGATCACTTATCCTCACTGACCTCTCAATGACCCTCACAAACTTCTCAATGACCCTCACGCAGCCTCACAAACCTCTCAATGACCCTCGGTCATCCTCACAAACTTCTCAATGACCCTCACACAGCCTAACAAACTTCTCAATGACCCTCACTCATCCTCACAAACTTCTCAATGACCCTCACGCAGCCTAACAAACTTCTCAATGACCCTCACTCATCCTCACAAACTTCTCAATGACCTCACGCAGCCTCACAAACCTCTCAATGACCCTCAGTCATCCTCACAAACTTCTCAATGACCCTCACGCAGCCTCACAAACTTCTCAATGACCCTCACACAGCCTCACAAACTTCTCAATGACCCTCACTCATCCTCACAAACTTCTCAATGATCCTCACGCAGCCTCACAAACCTCTCAATGGCCCTCATTCATCCTCACAAACCTTTCAATGACCCTCACTTACCTCTTAAGGATTCTCACTCTTCTTCGGTGACCCTCACTCATCCTCCATGACCCTTACTCATTGTCACTGACCTTCACTCAGTGATGCTCACTCATCATAAACCTCACACATCATCACTCACTCTTGCTCGGTGACCCTCAGTTTTCCTTGATGACCCTCATTCATCCTCACTGACCCTTTCTCTTCCTCAGTGGCCCTCACTCACCATCTTCCTGCTGACTCTGAATGTGTCTTTATTAAAATGATATCATAACACTCTGCTGTCCCCCCCCAGTTTCCAGCAGAAGGTGGATCACCCACTTACCTCAACCTCCCCTGGGATGAATTTTTCCTTAGAACGGGTATCAGGTGAGTGGAATGGACAGACGACATTCTCTCCCTGGTGTACAGCTCTCGTATATCCTTACATCCCCCTCTCTTCTCATGTCTTTCAGTGAGAGGCATCTTTGGGGTTCTGAACATTGTAGTAGAGAGCGCAGCGTATTGACCGCCCCCCTCTTTCCCGTCCTTCACCCCAGCGAGTCTCTGGGTGTTGAGGACATCCTCTGGTTCCTGCGTTCAGGGACTGGTGGTTCAAATTGTGAACGCCGAGGCAGCGTTGGCACAGTTCTTGGCGTATGTCCTGGCAACAGATCTGGCAACACGGGACCAGGAGAGGTCACTGCAGGCCCGTAGGGAGGTGTTTTTCAGCCAGGCCCTGGAAAAGGTGAACAGAATTTTGCTGGCCAGGGAGGAGAGGAGTCTGATGCCCATTATAAGGGCAGCCGTGCAGGAGGGTGCCTACCAGAGGCTGCTGGACACATTGGACAATGGTGAGTACTGATATACATTGAACTCACTGCATGTGATGTGAGTCGGAAAGGTAGTGACCAGTTTTCCCTCATAGTGGCCTCAAAGACTGAAGATGCTGGAGTCGCTGCACGAGCCCTGGCCTGTGTTGCTGACCTACTGGGCTGCATGGCAGGAGGAGAGGGGGGCCTGAGGAGTGGACCAGCAGCTAACAAGGCTTGGGCTCCTGGCTATCTGCTGCTGGAGAAGGGAGACATCGCAGAGGGCGTGAGACTGATGGCCAAGGAGCGACAGAAATGGCTTAGCAGGTAGGTGGAATTGCTGGCAGTGATAATCTGTAGGAGGAGCGATATCAACAGATACTGAACACACAAATATTAAAATTAAACTCTGGGCACAAATACACTCTTTACATATAACTCAATGGCCACAAAGATCTATACCTATCAGCCATCACTTTATGACCACTGACAGGTAAAGTGAATAACATTTTATCTTGGTACAATGTCAACTGAAAACAGGTGGGATATATAAGGCAGCAAGTTACATAGTTAGTCTGGCTGAAAAAAGACAAAAGTCCATCCAGTTCAAACATAGAAAAAAAAATAGTTATAATCCTACACCCACAGTTGATCCAGAGGAAGGCAAAAAACAACCCAGCAAAGCGCGATCCAATTTGCTCCTGCTGGGAAAATAATTCCTTCCTGATCCCCCGAGAGGCGGATATTCCCTGGATCAACTTTACCTATAAATGTTAGTATCCAGTTATATTCTGAACATGTTGTCCCTGAATTTGATGTTGAAAGCAGAAAAAATGGGCAAGCATAAGGATTTGAGCGACTTTGACAAGGGCTGAATTGTAATGGCTAGACAGACGAATGGTTCAGAGCAACTTCAAAACTGCAGCTCTTGTGGGATGTTCCCGGTCTGCAGTGGTCAGGAGCTACCAAAAGTGGTCCAAGGAAGGAAATCCAGCGAACCAGAGACAGGGCTATGGGTGGCTAATGCCCATTGGTACACATAGGGAGCGAAGGCTGAAAAAGTTAAAGCTGGTTCTGATAGAAAGGTGTCAGAACACACAGTGCATCACAGTTTGTTGTGTTTGGGGCTGCGTAGCCACAGACCAGTCAGGGTGCGCATGCTGACCCTTGTTCACAGCCAAAAGCACCCACAATCGGCACATGAACATCAGAACTGGACCACGGAACAATGGAAGGAGGTGGCCTAGTCTAATGAATGCAAGAATGGCTTGAGGGACACAATGAGTGAGGTGTTGACTTGGCCTCCAAATTCTCCAGATCTCAATCCAATCGAGCATCAATGGGATGGTGCTGGAAAAACAAGTCCAATCCATGATGCGGCCCCACCTCACAACTTACAGGACTTAAAGGATCTACTACTGACATCTTGCTGCAAGATACCACAGCATACATTTAGACGTCTAGTGGAGCCCATGCCTCGACAGATTACGGTGGGTGGTCATAAAGTTATAGCCAATTGGTGTACATCCACTTTGTGTGAACCAAATGCTGTTGCAAACCCAGATATCACCAAAAGTAGCAGTACCATCACTCTGCTGTACATAGCTTGTACAGAGAGCAGAGCTATGCGGGTTGCCAAGCAGTCCCCATCTACTACAGGCTGCCTGCAGAAATCCACAGGATCGGGCAGAGACAACACCAGTCACCCTGCACAAGCAGAGAAACAAGCAGTGACTGATCTGTATAATTGGAAATAGGAAAAGTGAACCTCCAATAGCTTCATAGTGCCAAAGCTTACCCGCCCCTTCCTGTGACCTGCAAATTCCTGTTGGCCAGTGAGGATACTCATCATAATAATGGACCACTAGGAATGTCTGGGGGTGGGACTTAGCAGCAAGTACCATCACTACCCAGAAGTATCCAAACCCAGAGTGGCTCATGTTTGCAAATCCTCCATCAGTTCTTTGGCTTTATGACACAGCCCAACCCAACATGGTGGCCAATGTGAGATGTACCTTGTCTAATCAGACGCCTTCTTTCCACAGACCTGCTCTTCTTCTGCGTGCAGCTCGTCATTATGAAGGGGCGGAGCAAATCTTAATCCGCCGAGCGGTGATGTCATCCTTCCAGTTTGTGTCTATTGGTGAGAAGAAGCCCCCGCCCCAGGGACAGTGGGTGACCGCAGAGTGTCCGGCGCGCATTGACATGTCTGGTAAGTGAGCTGACCAAGTTTGGGGCAGGATATTGCCACTCCATATGGTAATCAGCCTACAATTGTACAATGCTTATAATGTTAGTACATAGTTCCACTTATCCATTATTTTCTTCTGACATTGTTAGGGGGGTGGAGTGACACCCCTCCCATCACATATGAACATGGAGGGGCCGTGGTGAATGTCGCGATTCTGGTCGATGGTCAGCGGCCTATAGGTGCTCGGGCGAGGAGGATTCCTGAGCCACATCTGTGTCTCTGCAGCACCAGTGGCCCCCGCGGACTAGATCTCCAGACGCAGATGACCTGTCACAGTCTCTCCGATATGCAGGATTACTGCCAGCCTCAGGCTCCAGGTGACTGTCATAATGAGGCGTCTTCAGGGATGGTGTCATGTGGGTTTGGCTGATCTCATATTGTCTTCGGCTCCTCAGGGGCATTACTTAAAGCAGCCTTCATCTGTTCGGGGACCGTGGAGATGACATCAGAGAAACCCCTGTCTGAGCAGCTCACTGAGAAGTATGGTGGAGGCTTCGAGCTGCAGACGTGGTCCTACCTGCCGCATGGATCTGGTTTGGGTGAGTGACCAATTGGGTTGCTGCCACAGCAGGATCCCACCCCTGCAGGTCAGCTTAAGACCAGAGACAGTATATATTTTCTAATACAAAATTCTTGTAGTGTATATAAACCCAAAATCTAAGTCTCAATACGTTTGGTGTAATGTCTCAGTCTATACAGCTTTCTTCAGCAAATTGTTTTTGGTAAATTTCTTGCAATGTTTCATATCTGGAGATCCAACCAATAACAGCACTGTTGTAGACTGACACCACGAAGCCATGCAAAACCCACTTGGGGCAGGTCAGCTGCCAGTCAGAAGGAAGTCAAATGCAGTTCAGAAAGGGGTCAGCTGCAGGTCAGAAGGGGGTCAAATGAAGGTCAGAAGGACTTAAACATCAGTCAGGGGTCAACTTCAGGTCAGGAGGAGGTCAAATGCTAATCAGAAGAGGGTCAACTTCAGGTCAAAAAGGGATCAACTCCAGGTCAGAAGAAGGTTAAAAGCCAATCAGAAAGGGGTCAACTGCTGGTCAATAGATCAAATGCAGGTCAGAAGGGGGTCACACTCAAGTCAGTAGGGAGTCAAATGCAGGTTAGAAGGAGGTCAGCTGCAAGTCTGAAGGGAGTCAAATGCAGGTCAGAAGGGGGTCACACTCAAGTCAGTAGGGAGTCAAATGCAGGTTAGAAGGAGGTCAGCTGCAAGTCTGAAGGGGGTCAAATGCAGGTCAGGTGCATCTGTCAATGAACTGTGAATTAACTCAGAAGCGTTGCAAACTGATGTAGTTGACAGAAGACCAAAGCCCGTCCACGCAGGCCCTAATGCGCACTCCTTCACTCGGTCATTGGGCTGCCTGTCAGGTCTGCACAGGGAATGCGCAGTTTTATTAGGTAAAGAAAATCCGTCCATCACCTGCAGACCAGAACAGGATTTACTGTGCGGACGATACTGGATCCACTTGCATTTATTAAAATTTGAAACAGACCAGACACTGTCTGATGACATCAGCATTAGACATCGTGCTTTAGACCTAAAGGGACACACTGACATGGCAGCACAAAATGCATGAGGTCCGTACATCGGGACAAAATGTATTGAGGGTCACAATTGTTTATTTGTGGCTGGAGCAGCCAGGTGTCTGATGACGTAGCAGGCAGCCCATGAGGTCCGTACATCGTGATTGAGTCACTTGTTTATGTGGCTGGAGCAGCCAGTACAGGCAGCCTGTATGGGGATGCAGCGGCTGTACGGACACAGCCACTTGTCCTAATTTGACAAGGCTGTAGACACTGGGTTCTGAATGCACACTGTCTGCATTCAGGGCCATTTACCTGCACCAACACTGGTATTTTAATTAGAGGGGTACAGGGGCCGCCGGTAGAATGGCTGTAGGGGCCCTATGATTTTTGACAGTGGCTCTAAGGTTGCTACTTAGATTTTCACTCCTCTTCTCCCATATTATTGTGAAAGAATGAATGTTGGAGTAAGGTCAGACCTGAAGACCAGTTCTTCAAGCACTTCCAATCCGAACCCAGTGTAACTGGCATCCTCTGTGGTGGAGACTGCTGGCTTCCTTTTTTGGTCTATCATTTGACATCATATGAACCTTTTCCCATAGGTACCAGCAGTATTCTGGCCGGAGCAGTGATGGTGGTTCTTTACGAAGTGTCAGGACGCTTGTCAGATGCCGAATCTCTAATTCATGCAGTGCTGCACCTGGAACAAGTCCTTACTACAGGTGAGTGATGGTGAGACGTCATCTGGTTACTTAGTGGAAGAAGCCAGCACCCTCTATATCGTGATTGCTGTCTCCTCTCAGGTGGAGGCTGGCAGGACCAGGTTGGGGGGCTTATTCCAGGGGTGAAGATTGGACGCTCTGCTCCTGCATTGCCCCTTCAGGTGACTGTGGAACGGGGTTCAACTGCCAGAGGGGTTTATGGAAACGATAAACAACCATCTGCTGCTGGTTTATACTGGGAAGACAAGATTGGCACGCAATCTCCTACAGGTAAGTACTCCTCATCACACACTCACCATAGTGAAGTAAGCGAATCTGTGTTGTTTGATATTTCTAAATATTCAAATCTTCTCAGTGTGAATCAACGGAGTATAGCTTATATTTATTAATACAATAATGTATTTTTGTGCTTTTTGTAGCGGCTGTTCCACTTGCCATCATTTAGCCTCCTCTGTCAGGAATTCTGTGTTGATATCCAGTTAGAGGTTCCTTGTGGATCACTGAGAGGCACTACAGAGCCCAGTTCCTGTGTAGTCATGTGTGCCATGGCAGATTTACCGCTGTGTGTCACTTAGTGGCACCGGAAACCCCAATCTGTCTCCAGGACAACCTCTCTTTTTTTATCCTTTAGGATGTTCTGCGGAATTGGTACGCTCGGCTTCCAGATATCATGTTGAACGTGGATGCACTAGTGAGCAACGCCGAGCTGTGTGCCAGAGCCTTCCGTACTGGTGAGATATATTCGTCTCAAACAAAGGATCAACTTTATGTATAACCAGTTTAGCTACTTTCCTGTTCTTTATAATCAGAACACCTGAACAGAAAACTCACATTTCTATTCTGATAGGTTAAAGCAGTGGTGTTTGACTTTCTTCCTCAAGTATGGCCCATGACACCATTAAAAGGCTGTGCAAAATATTCAGCGAATGTAATCAAACAGCTGGCAGAGACTGCAGATATTCTAAAGGAGGCAGTTAGGGACTGCAGACAATGCTACAGGAGATGGTCAGAGACTGCAGACAATGCTGCGGGGGGATGGTCAGAGACTGCAGACAATGTTGCGGAAGATGGTCAGAGACTGCAGACAATGCTGCGGGTGATGGTCAGAGACTGCAGACAATGCTGCGGGAGATGGTCAGAGACTGCAGACAATGCTGCAGGAGATGGTCAGAGACTGCAGACATACTACGGGAGATGGTCAGAGACTGCAGACAATGCTGCAGGGAGATGGTCAGAGACTGCAGACAATGCTGCAGGAGATGGTCAGAGACTGCAGACAATGCTGCAGGAGATGGTCAGAGACTGCAGACAATGCTGCAGGAGATGGTCAGAGACTGCAGACAATGCTGCAGGAGATGGTCAGAGACTGCAGACAATGCTACGGGAGATGGTCAGAGACTGCAGACAATGCTGCGGGAGATGGTCAGAGACTGCAGACCTACTACGGGAGATGGTCAGAGACTGCAGACAATGCTGCGGGAGATGGTCAGAGACTGCAGACAAGCTGCAGGAGATGGTCAGAGACTGCAGACAATGCTGCAGGAGATGGTCAGAGACTGCAGACAATGCTGCAGGAGATGGTCAGAGACTGCAGACAATGCTGCAGGAGATGGTCAGAGACTGCAGACAATGCTGCAGGAGATGGTCAGAGACTGCAGACATACTACAGGAGATGGTCAGAGACTGCAGACAATGCTGCAGGAGATGGTCAGAGACTACAGACCATGCTGCAGGAGATGGTCAGAGACTGCCGACACATACTACAGGAGATGGTCAGAGACTGCTGACATGCTACAGGAATGCTCAGAGACTACAGACATACTACAAAAGATGGTCAGAGACCGCAGACATGCCACAGGACATGGTCAGAGACCTTCTACCTTTAGAACCACTTGACGTTGGCTATTAAAGAGATCCTGTCCTTGAAAGAGGAACTTCACACCTGGGGGGTACAATTTTGCTTTTTACCCCTTGCCTTTTTCACTGGCTTAATCTCATGTACTATACTTACACCCCTCCCAGTTAATCTAACGCTGTTCTGCTGTGATCCCTAGCTCCAATACTTCATGCCAGGTCTGGCATGACCATCTTGTTCCCTTTGTATCTTTGGGAGCCAGCTGTCTTTTTTGAGTTTTTGCAGCCAGCCTCCAAAGATGTGCTACCGGATCCACATTCCTCCAGCCAATGTAAGCTGATGCAGACATAGCGGGGTTTATTTACTAAAGCTGGAGAGTCCAAAATCAGACTCCCTTCTGCCTAGAAACCAATCAGCTTCTAACCTCAGCTTGTTCAATAAAGCTTTGGCAATGAAACCTGGAAGCTGATTGGTTTCTATGCAGAAGGGAGTCTGATTTTGGACTCTCCAGCTTTAGTAAATAAACCCCCAGCATGTCTGCAGTCTTTGACTGTCTCCTATGGCATAAGAGATAGTAAAAGATTTCAGTTATACTACAGGAGATGGTCAAAGACTGCAGTCATACCACAGGAGCCAGTGATTGCACACATACCAAGGAGATGGTAAAAGACTGCAGCCCTGCTACAGGAGATGGTCAGAGACTGCTGTCATACCCGAGGGTCACGAGGGGTTTAGAGAATACAGTGGGGCAATAAAGTATTTAGTCAGCCACCAATTGTGCAAGTTCTCCCACTTAAAAAGATGAGAGAGGCCTGTAATTGGCATCATAGGTAGACCTCAACTATGAGAGACAAAATGAGAAACAAATCCAGACAATCACATTGGCTGATTTGGAAAGAATTTATTTGCAAATTATGGTGGAAAATAAGTATTTGGTCAATATCAAAAGTTCATCTCAATACTTTGTTATATATCCTTTGTTGGCAATGACAGAGGTCAAACATTTCCTGTAAGTCTTCACAAGGTTGGCACACACTGTTGCTGGTATGTTGGACCATTCCTCCATGCAGATCTCCTCTAGAGCAGTGATGTTTTGGGGCTGTCGCTGGGCAACACGGACTTTCAACTCCCTCCAAAGGTTTTCTATGGGGTGAGATCTGGAGACTGGCTAGGCCACTCCAGGACCTTGAAATGCTTCTTACGAAGCCACTCCTTCGTTGCCCGGGCGGTATGTTTGGGATCATTGTCATGTTGGAAGACCCAGCCACGTTTCATCTTTAATGCTCTTGCTGATGGAAGGAGGTTGCACTCAAAATCTCACGATACATGGCCCCATTTCATTCTGTCCTGTACATGGATCAGTGGTCCTGGTCCCTTTGTGGAGAAACAGCCCCAAAGCATGATGTTGCCACCCCCATGCTTCACAGTAGGTATGGTGTTCTTTGGATGCAACTCAGCATTCTCTCTCCTCCAAACACGACGAGTTGTGTTTTCTACCAAACAGTTCTATTTTGGTTTTCATCTGACCATATGACATACTCCCAATCCTCTTCTGAGAATCAAAGTAAAAAACAGTGCGGCGCTTCTATAACCCTTGCAGCACTAGATAATGGATATCCCAAATACCTTATCACATGTATCTAGTAAGTGATAAACTGGTGATAACACACAATAAAGTGACTAAAACACAATAACATGAATAGTGTCCATGTGAAAATAATATCATGCAGGTGTACACTGCAAATGCCAATCCTCAGACAGGTGGAGTGCCCCCCTCCTCAGATAGGTGGAGTGCCAATCCGCAGACACTACAAGTGCCAATCCTCAGACAGGTGGAGTGCCCCCTCACCTTCCTGCCCAGGCCCCTCAGGACCAATGAGCCTTTGAATATATATTGGATCTTTTCCCCTGAGCGTGGATGAATGGATATGATATCCTGATGAAGTCACGTGTGTGAGTGACGTAACGCATAGATACGCCAGGGGGAGGAGCTTATACGACTGAACGTTCTGACGTCACATCCGGCGCGGGCGCCATCTTGGTGCACCTGGTCCTGAATACAGTACACCCTCTGAGTGGTGTAAAGGCCTGATTTTACATAGAAGCATGTGAGTAGGTTTTTGACTTTTATACTTGTTTAATAAAGTGGTTTTACACTATGCAAGCTCTCTTTCCTCATTTGTGATCGTGAGGGAGGGACCTATCGATACCACCAACGATCTGTATAGGAGTTAAGAGGAGGAGAGGCCCATTATTGTCATCTGAGGGACCCACCAGCAGAAGGATTCATCCACGCTCAGGGGAAAAGATCCAATATATATTCAAAGGCTCATTGGTCCTGAGGGGCCTGGGTAGGAAGGTGAGGGGGGGGCACTCCACCTGTCTGAGGATTGGCACTTGTAGTGTCTGCGGATTGGCACTCCACCTATCTGAGGAGGGGGGCACTCCACCTGTCTGAGGATTGGCATTTGCAGTGTACACCTGCATGATATTATTTTCACATGGACACTATTCATGTTATTGTGTTTTAGTCACTTTATTGTGTGTTATCACCAGTTTATCACTTACTAGATACATGTGATAAGGTATTTGGGATATCCATTATCTAGTGCTGCAAGGGTTATAGAAGCGCCGCACTGTTTTTTACTTTGATTCTCTGTATACTGTGGGTGTTTAGATTGTGGCACTCGTAGTGCTGGCTGCTGTATTATAGTAGTATATTTAGAGGCGCAGGAGATCTCTCTTTTATTTCAATCCTCTTCTGGATCATCCAAATGCACTCTAGCAAACTTCAGACGGGCCCGGACATGTACTGGCTTAAGCAGGGGGACACGTCTGGCACTGCAGGATCTGAGTCCCTGGTGGCATAGTGTGTTACTGATGGTAGCCTTTGTTACGTTGGTCCCAGCTCTCTGCAGGTCATTCACTAGGTCCCCCCGTGTGATCCTGGGATTTTTGCTCACCGTTCTTGTGATCATTTTGACCCCACGGGGTGAGATCTTGCGTGGAGCCCCCAGATCGAGGGAGATTATCAGTGGTCTTGTATGTCTTCCATTTTCTAATTATTGCTCCCACAGTTGATTTGTTCACACCAAGCTGCTTGCCTATTGCAGATTCAGTCTTCCCAGCCTGGTGCAGGTCTACAATTTTATTTCTGGTGTCCTTCGACAGCTGTTTGGTCTTCACCATAGTGGAGTTTGGAGTGTGACTGTTTGAGGTTGTGGACAGGTGTCTTTTATACTGATAACAAGTTTAAACAGGTGCCATTGATACAGGTAATGAGTGCAGGACAGAGGAGCCTCTTAAAGAAGAAGGTACAGGTCTGTGAGAGCCAGAAATGTTGCTTGTTTGTAGGTGACCAAATACTTATTTTCCACCATAATTTGCAAATACATTCTTTCCAAATCAGCCAATGTGATTGTCTGGATTTTTTTTCTAATTTTGTCTCATATAGTTGAGGTCTACCTATGATGCCAATTACAGGCCTCTCTCATCTTTTTAAGTGGGAGAACTTGCACAATTGGTGGCTGACTAATTACTTTTTTGCCCCACTGTATGTTCACAGATCTGATGTGTGATATTCTCCCGCAGGAGACCTGGAGCAACTGGGTCATTGTCTGTCCACATACTGGCAGCAGAAGAAGTGCATGGCACCTGGCTGTGAGCCGCAGGCTGTACGCAGGATAATGGACATGTTAGAGCCACACGTGTATGGGCAGAGCCTGGCCGGAGCTGGAGGAGGAGGCTTCCTCTATGTACTAACAAAGGAGCCGGAGCAGAAAAACGCCATACAGAGACTGCTGGAGAACACACAGGTAACCTGGGTCCAGGATACAGGTATTGGGAAAGAAATCCATATCCTATTCCCTGCAGGGAAGGGGGGTTGGAGGTGTGTTCATGTGTCACACTGCACATAGGACATGTATGTAACACATTGCCACAAACTGATACAAGAGTGTGCGCATAGTGTCATTCATGTTGGTGTGCCATCAGTCAACACAGTGACAGAAACCTACATCATGCCATATACATTTGTTCTTCAAATAAAGGTTGGCTGTGTAACAGGGACTGATTGGTACAAATTAAAGGAGAATTTCACCTTTTGCTAAAAAAATAAATGCACCCGTATGCAAAAAGCAAAAATCTGCATTTATTTTTTTTCAAAGCATTGCAACCATGATCAGTGGATTGTGGGTGCAATGATCTGGTTCCTACAGCCTATTCCTCCAGCCCAAGCTATGGGTTCTTCATCTATGGAGCTGGAGGAAGTGTCAATGGATTACAATTGCAGTGAGGATGCCGCATTTGTGCTCCATTCACACTCAGGGAGTGGCTTGGCCTCACGCCACACTCTATCCTCATTGGCTCACTGGCTGGGACTGGCAGTAGCCAATGGCTCCCAGTGCTGTGTGAGCCAGTGAGGAGAGAAAGACCCCAGACAGTCACTGCTCTCATGCACATCACTGGATCAACATGGGGCTCAGGGAAGTATAAGGGAGGAGCTGCACCCAGAAGGTCGCTACACAAAAAAAATTAAACGTCAGCAGCTCCAAATACTGTAGCTGCTGACTTTTAATATAAGGACACTTCCCTGTCCAGGGACTTCGCAATGTCTTCACCTGAGCTGATTTTTCAATCGGCTTCCGGTGCAGGAGTCAGCATCTTAGGTAAGGGATACAGACAGTGAAGCCTTCCGGCTTCATAGCTGGTTTCCTACTGTGTATGCACAAGCCACACTGCTTTGTGAATGGTCCTGCAGTCTTCTGGGTCCTGTGTGTGTCCCATAAGGCTACATGGAGAAGGGGGGGGGGGGGGGGGTTCACTTCCTCACAGATCACCACGGCGATCTGTCCTGGAAGTGAAAATGGGTACCTGTCAAGACCAGGTACCTGTTTCCCCACCAAAAAGTGCCAAATGTGGAAGTGGAGGGGGGAGGGTAAAAAGAGGCAGAACTAACCCTTCTGGGTGAAGTTTCCACTTTAATGTATAGAATGCATTAAAGGTAAAAACCCTTGAGCCTTTAGAACCACTTTAATGCAGAAGAGACGTGGCATCTTTTCTGCATTAAAAACCTGCCTGTTCACACTCAACCTTATTTTTTTACCTGTAATAAAAAAATAAATTCTGTCTGAATCCAGAACCATTTTAACCATTAGCCGCCCGGCCTATAGCCGTTTGGCGGTGGCAAAAATGCTTCACCTTTCTGGGTGCACGCCATTTGGCGTGCTCCCGCACATGCGCAGTTGCGCGGTTGAAGAGCCACGCAGCGGCGCGATCTGTCACCGGCCGTGTACCTCGGACACGGCCGATGACAGATCTGAGTACCGGCCCCCGTTGCCGGTACCATGTGACCTGCTGTGACCAATCACAGGTCACATGACAGTTGTATACAATGGATGGCTTCATTCATGCCATCCATTGTATACTAGTGCCTAGCTGTGAATGGTCACAGCAGGTCACATGCACATGTCATGTGATTAGCTGTGGCCAAATCACAGCTAAGCACAAAAAAAAAAAAAAAAACCTGAATGAATCGATTTCATTCTGGTAAATGCTTGCTTATAGCAAAGTAATTCTTTGCTATAAGCAAATTGTGTAAAAAAAAAAAAAAATACTGATCACTTCCCCAAAGTAGTACAATGTTACTATGGTAACATTGTACTACTTTGGTCATAGTAAAATATGAAAAAAAAAATCTTAAAAAAAAATGTAATAAATTAAAAATAATAAAAAAAAAATATATATATATTTTTTTTTCCATACTGTCACCAGTCAGTGTCCCTGTTCACCGCCATGCCAGTTATATGATGACTCTGTACTGCACTGGTCACAGTATGTTAAAAAAAAATAGTGAAAATAATTTTTTTAATTTTTTATTTTCCGAAAAATGAAAAAAAAAAATAAAACTTCAAAAAAACGCCAATGAAGTAAGTCGGACTGTCTACTTTGCAAAAAGGGGTCATTTGGGGATCTGTACTGTTCTGACATTCTTGGACCTCAAGAAATTAGATGTCAGTACTTCAGGATTGATCAATATTCAGATCTATACCATAGTTTGTGAACTCTATAACTTTCCTACAAACTAAAAAATACATCCTAATTTGGGTTATTTTCACCAAAGACATGTAGCAGAATACATCTCGGCCTAAATTTATGAAGAACAATTATTTATTTACAAAAATTTTATAACAGAAATAAAGAAAAACTTGTTTTTTTTCAAAATTTTCATTTTTTTTTAATTTAGCAAAAAATAAAAAACCCCAGCGGTGATTAAATACCACCAAAAGAAAGCTCTAGTTGTGTGAAGAAAATGATAAAATTTTAGTTTGGGTACAATGTTGTATGACCGCGCAATTGTCATTCAAAGTGTGAGAGCGCTGAAACCTGAAAAATGGCCTGGGCAGGAAGGTGTAAAATTGCCCGGTATTGAAATGGTTAAATATCTGCATTGTACTAACCAGTTCTTTCTAATGTGTGTTTCAGGGCCTGGAGCGCTGCAGTGTGCACTGTGTACGGCTGGATACCAAGACGTTCTCTGTACGGCAGGAGACGGGGAGCCCTGATGACCATTGACGTACTCTGTGCAGCTGGAGATTGATAGCCATAATGATACGTGACGTACTCTGTGTCAGAGGCGGGGTCATCTGAGTACATGAGTATGTTCTATGGGAATTAATAATGGAAACAAATGATCCTTTTTGCCATACCATACACCAAGGAGTTGGAGATGGCTCCTCACTATGTTCCAGGCGCATAGTAGGGTTCTGTGATTTATTTTTTTTTGTAATCTTTTTATTAAAAAAAAAAACTGTTTCTTTATTATACCATGATTTAGTATGCAATACATGCTCAGGACAGTAATCATTTTAATGTAAAAGTGCCTTAATCAAGGAGTGACCCCAAAATGTAGAGAATAAAGAGTGATAACTGGTTACAATGCATCCCAACTGAAGTCTGAGTCCCTGTCCATACAGGTTGTATCCTCCAACCCAGCTGTCAGCTCAGTTTGTATCCTTCGAGCCTGCATTGTTGGAGCCAGAGTCACCTCCTGTTCTATAGGAGATTTAGTCCGTAATCTGTAACATTATAACCATTTACAGCCGCAAACGTTTGATGTCTTCACTGCGGAAGTCTATACGTAAAGCCAGAACTTGTCGTACCTCTGCAGGGGTGAGTGAGTCTCCAGGTCAGGGGCCCAGAATTGGGCCCCAGTAGTCAAGGATCTCAGTTACCTGGAGAGAAAATAGCATCAACAACAAAGGCTTATAGAATAGGGAAAAGAAAGAGAACAGAAAATACCCAGTTGAAATAAAAATGCTAATGATAAATCACTAGAATGGGCCAAGCTTTGCCTCTTCAGACATTGCCAGATTATCACCTTTATTCAGCCTCTGGCCACACTGGCACTTAAATCTTTCTGCTACCGCGAGACAATTATCTCATCACATAAATTTCATTGTCCATGTAGCCCCATGGCCTTACTTTGAAATCAGTTTGACCCCCCTCCGAACTTTCCCCTGGCTCCTCGCCATCCAACATGTCAGTTCCCTTCATGTACAGCTTAGTGAATAATCAACCCCATAATGATGAACCCAGACCAGCACTAAGTGCCCCTCACCCTCTCCAAATTCAGGATTGTCGCCATCTGGGAAAGTCGAGCGAACTTGTCACGGATGGTCCATGTAGTCACCGTGGTGAGATAAGCAATAAGGGAGCGCAGTTCCTTGTCAAACTGCAGACCACCGAGCTACACCCAGGACAGAGACACAAACAAGGAAAACTGTCACAATCCAAACACAGTTTAAATTAGATATCATCTGTCCTTTTCATATCTTTAAGCTGAACTCCAGGTTTGCATCCTCTTCCTCCCAATCAATGCAATTAATATTTTTCAAACAATACTTGTTTTGGGACTCAGTAATATCACAGAGTTTTTTCTGCTTATCTTAACTCACTTGTGAGATTGAGTTTGATGTGAGGGGTTGGCAGGCTCCTAAAAATGTCATAGCACCCTGCCTCAAGCATTATTTGAAAGAACACATCCCCAGCATACTTTTAGATGTGCTAAAAAGAGTGTAATCAAGGAACTGAGCGGATTGGACAGCTAATGTCTGCAGCATTAAGTGGCCAGTAAGGAGAAGCATGCATGTCTAAAGGGATGCTGGGGATGTGTTCATTCATATAATGCTTAGAAACAGCAGTACAATGACCAATTCCAGCAGTCACATTACATTGTGGAGATGAACAGGAGAGGACTTGCTACAAATGTAGGGAATAAAAAAAAGTAAGGCTGGAGTTCAGCTTTCATACACTACATGTATCTGCTAATGTCTATGGAAAGTGGAGTTCTTGCTCCTTATTTTTTTTTTTAACAAAAATTTTTTTTATAAAGTTTTAAAATAAAATGTGATTAGGATTTAAAGAATGCCCCTGTTGTCATTGGTCAATGTTTACCCTTACCCGGCTGAATGTGGACTTCAGGATCACCTTCTCCAGCTCCATGGCAATGAGACTGGTCAGCAGACTGGTAAGATTCTCATGAATGATGGAGGAGAGTCCAGCCTGCAGAGACAAAGCTATTAGATGTAACATTTTCTCCAGATACTTCTGTAACCCCAGAAACACAGCATGCACTTAGCTACAGTCATAACCCCAGCAACACAGCCCAGTGTACCCAGCAATGGTCACAACCCCGGCAACACAGCACATACCCGGGAATCGTCACAACCCCGGCAACACAGCACATACCTGGGAATGGTCAGAACCCTGGCAACACAGCACATACCTGGGAATGGTCAGAACCCTGGCAACACAGCACATACCTGGGAATGGTCAGAACCCTGGCAACGCAGCATGTACCCAGTAACAGTCATAACCCTGGCAGCACAGCAGGTATCTAGGAATGGTCAAAGCCCATGCAACACAGTGCAGTAATCATAATACTGACAACTCAGCATGTACCTAAGGATGGTCATAACCCTGGCAACACAACATGTACCCTGACAATGGTCATAACCTCAACAACGCAGCATGTACCCAGGAATAGCCACAACCCCAATAACAGGCCAGCCTTGTGTTTACCTTAAACTCAGACATGAGCTGCTCCAGGTTCACTATGAATTGCTGCCCCCAAGGGTCGTTGGCTTCATAGTCATTAAATTCCTCCTAAAGCAGATATCAGAATGATAAACCAATAAACTTTCCAATTTGATGACACTCACCTACCATCAACATTCACTTACCTCCTCGATATTGTGTGATACAGACAGGAAGAGGTTAATCCAGGGCTTCACTTGTGGCTTGATGGCTGTGCTGTTCAACTCTCCTAGACCCTCCTGTATAGCGAATAATATAAGTGTGTCAGCAAAGCACGCAGAGCACCAATGTAACGTCGAAGGAGGGGACAAGGGGCTCGGATTTACCTGCAGGAGGTCTCGGAACTTGTTAGAAACAGATGCCATGTCACAAAGACAGCTGTCAATCTTGGCCTTGGCTTGTTCACCTCCAGATTCTGTGTTAAAGAGCTTCCTGCAGTCATTCTAGAAGGAAACCAAAGAGTTATAGGGGATGATGAGTGGGGGAAAGAATATTATATAGAGGCTGACAATATTTATTATATAGGGGAACAGCCAGCCCCCCCCCTCTTGATTCAGCGATATCCACGAGAGCCTTGGTTCTCCGGGGACTCTCACTCATGATTGGCTGAGGCAGCAGCAGGAGCCATTGACTCCCGCTGCTGTCAATCACAACCAGTGAGTCAATCAGGAGAGGGCAGGGCTGAGCAGGAGCTTTGCATGTGAATGGACATGCAGAGCAGCAGCTCGGGAGCACACCTGCTTGAGTGCCCCTAAAGCAAGCGGTTTGCTATGGGAGCACCTGACAGGCGGGAGGGGCCGGGAGCGCTGGTGGGGGACCCGAGAAGAGGAGGATCTGGGCTGCTCCACACAGAGCAGGTAAATATACGATGTTTGTTATTTTTATGAAAAAACAAAAAACGACTTTAGAATCACTTTAATCAAACTTCGCATCGAACAAGGCATTTGGGTTAAGCAGGCCGTCCCTGTAAATTTGCAGGTTAAGATATCTGGGAACACTATGATATTCTACAGTTGGTACGGTATGCGAAGTGACTTTGGCAGCTGTTCACCATGCCTCTTGTTATAAACACCAGCCTACCTCCAGGTTCTTCTTCAGAGTCATGATGTTTTCACTGCAAACCTCTACGTTATTAAGACAGACCTGAAAGAGAAGATACAAACAGGTCAGCAGTGAATGGTCAGTTCTCCTCTCCCCTTCCCCATAACACAGTTCCCCCGCTCTCACCAGGAAGGACATTTTGGCTTCATCATTGCTCTCTATGCCCTTAGTGTCGAACTTTCCCTGCTGGAGACTGCTCTGCATGAGGTTGACCGCACTGGTGACTCCACGCTGGATGTCCTGGAAGGTGGTGGCTGGGAAACCCATCCTTAACTTGTTACACAGAACCTCCCTGGGGTGATGGAGAGATATGAGGGACAGAAGTGTTTTCATGAGAAAGGGATTGCACTGAAGCTCACAGTGATGGCAGCGGGTAGCGAGATACAGGGATGATGGGTTACAGGGGGGATACAGCCAAATAAAAAAATGTTTCTTACAACACAGAAATTTCTCAGTTTTGGCCCCTGTGAGTCTGTTACAAGCAGCAATCCTGTCAGTCGCTCCATACATGAACAACCCACCCCCACCAGGATATAACCCAGAGTTACCGGAAATCTCCCTCCAACATGGTGGTGGAGAGGTTAATCATGGCACACAGGCAGTCTATGCTGGAGCTGGAGAGAGCACGTCCTATACATTTCTTCACTATGTAGAAGACGTCGTCCACCATACTGGAAGTTAGCTGCCCCCGCTCATAGGAATCCATGGCCACAGCCTACAAAGGATGGAGAGACATTAGAAGGACAATTTGGTGACTTAATTGCTTGTTAATGAGCAAACCCTGGGATATGCAGTGACATCACCCCCTTGTCTTCTTCCAGGCTACCCTGAGATCAGTTCCCCAGCATAGACACTCTTGCCAACCCTCCATACCAGTTATCCCAGTATGGGACTCGAAGACTGATGAATGGTGCTGTCATAGTACCCTGCATATAGTATGTGTAGGAAATATTCTGCACCTGCATTTTTGCCAAAGCCCAATTTTGTCATTCCTCGGGAAGCTAGTCACCATATTAGTGGAGGTATATGATATCATAGTTTCTATTTCCTGCCCTTAATGACAATCAGTATAGTTCAATCTTCAGAAGCAGGAGTGGGCATGATATGCATTTTAAACTCCTCATAGATTCCTGCAATGTTAAAATAATGGAAAATGTGCTGTTCCAAGTGTTCCACTGCTTCTAATTGGCAATATGCCTAAGCAGCCTTTTTCAACCAGGGTCACTCCAGAGGTTGCTTAGGAGTTCCTTTAGTAGTGAACATAGGTGGATTGGTCTCCTGCCTGATGATCTCTGACACTGAAGCCATTCCACAGAACCATTGGCATGGGACCAGTGGAACTTCTCTGGTTGCTCAGATAAGTAACCACTGGCACCAATGATCAAGTTATCTGTCTCTAAAGGGGAACATTTCTCTCATTGACCACCAACATAAGAAGCATTCTTCCCATTGTCCACCAATGTAAGTGGCATTCTTCCAACTGACCACCAATGTAAGGAGCATTCTTCCCACTGACCACCAATGGAAGGAGCATTCTTCCCACTGACCACCAATGGAAGGAGCATTCTTCCCACTGACCACCAATGGAAGGAGCATTCTTCCCACTGACCACCAATGGAAGGAGCATTCTTCCCACTGACCACCAATGGAAGGAGCATTCTTCCCACTGACCAGCAATGGAAGGAGCATTCTTCCCACTGACCAGCAATGGAAGGAGCATTCTTCCCACTGACCAGCAATGGAAGGAGCATTCTTCCCACTGACCAGCAATGGAAGGAGCATTCTTCCCACTGACCAGCAATGGAAGGAGCATTCTTCCCACTGACCACCAATGGAAGGAGCATTCTTCCCTTTGACCACCAATGGAAGGAGCATTCTTCCAACTGACCACCAACGTAATCTCCCCTTACCCCTCCTTTTACTTGCCCGAGCCTTCATTTGATCCAGTGCTGTGCACGTCTCCAGCTCTTCTCTCCCCTCACTTGTGGATCTCACTGGCTTTGCTGGAACACCGGGAGCCATTGGCTCCCGCTGCGGTCAATAAAAGCCAGTGATGAGGGAGCGGGAGGGCGGGGCCGAGTCCCACTGTCTGTGTCAATGGACACTGCAGCAGGGCTCGGTTGCGAGCACACACAAGTGCCCCATGGAAAGCAGTTTCCTATAGGGGCACTGGACAGAGAGGAAGGGCCAGGAGAGCCTGCAGGGGACCCAGGATTAGGAGGTTTTGGGCCACTCTGTGCTGTTTAATTGCACAAAGCAATGTACCTTTACAACCACTTTAAAATTGTTCCCTCTGACTTAAGCCGGCCATAGAAGGTTAGACTCTCGGCCAGTTCTGCAGGAACTAGGTGAGATTTGAACCATGTATTTGCAAGCTGAATGTACCAAAAGTTGATCAATCGATCAACTTGGGTACAACCGGCCTGCTGGATTTTACATGCGATTATCGCTTGCGGCTAGTATAGCTGCTAGCAAAAATCACCGCCTTCCCTGCTGGGAGAATACAATAGCTTGGCGGGAGGGATTCACCCCTCAAGACTGACTGTGTTGATAGGGGAACACAGGAAAGAAATTCACTCCATGTACGGGCTGCTTAAGCCATTTTTTTTCTATTTCAGTCATTTTTACTGAAAGCGTTTGCATCAATGAACAATGGAGGTTCAGTACAGTACAAAAAGTGAATCATCCAATAGTATTTTAGTGGCAAAGTAACAAAAGACAAATTTTATTTTTTTTTTAGTACAGGAGCATTGTCTTGTTTTTTTTATCCCACAACATTGATGTTATGGGTAGCAAATTTCTCAATAGTCTATTTTCTAGTCCAATAGTCCCCATCTTTTTATGACACCTGCCTGTACCATTCCCCTCCCCTGGCCTCTGTGATGGAAACTGATCGGACAACTGTGCAGTGGCTCTTAGAGAAAGCTTCACTGTAATGATACATTTGCAGAAATTATATGGATGGTCAATACTGCCCACAGTGCCAGTCTGGTTATGCGTCTGTATCTTCCTCTTTTCTATTGTGCACCCTCCCCCCAGCCAATGGTGACCACGATTACCTTATTGACAGACTCCCTCATGTAATACTCCTCCATGGTGATGTAATACCCGATCAGTTCCTGCATTGTTCGACTCAGTAAACAATGGTTCAGTAGTTTGTCCATGCACTGCTGATGCTCTGAAATGACAGAGAGGAAGCTTCACGTGGGATGGAGCCCCAATTTTCCTGTCTAATCTGTGATAATGTCTGATATGCTTGCAGACTGTTCTAATGCTGAACACTCCGCTGTGTAAATCTACATCTGTTCTACAGACAAGGAGAGGGTTGTAAAATCTGGTGGTACTCGGGCAGAGGAAGTACCTTGTTTAACATCTTCGGCTGCAACCGAATCCCCCACATCAAAGTCCGACATCAAGCGGCGCCGGATAAAGCGGAGGTAAAGCTCTGTGCGGGCGCTCATCAGGGTCACTTCGGCAAGTATGGGGTCCAAATCTCTGGAATATAGGAAACAATAATGGAATTCAACATTAGAAACTCCATTGATCCACCTTCAGAATCTACCCAAAACCAGCTGCCTGTCTGCTGTTTAAACCCTCATTGCAATACATTGCAAGACTTGTCCCTCATCTTCTCTAATGCATACTCAGAAAACACCCAAGACCTGTCCTCTGTCTGTTATAATACACAATCAGATTACATCCCGATACTGGTCTCCTGTCTGCTATAATAACCCTCAGAATACACCCCAAGACCTGTCGCCACTTTGTTGTAATACACCCTCAGAATGCAATCTGAGACCTGTCTCCGATCTATAATACACCCCAACACCTGTACCCCATCTTCTATAATACACACTCAGAAAACACCCCCAGACCTGCCCTCCGTCTGGTCTGCTATAATATACAATCAGAAAACACCCCAACATTGGTCCCCTGTCGCCTATAGTACACCCCAAGACTTTTCCCGATCTGCTATAATACACCCCAACACCATTCCCCTATCATTTGCAATACACCCTAAGACCTGTCTCCTTGTGCTCTACAATACACCCCCAGAATACAGGCCCAAACCTGTTCCCAGTGTTCTATAATACATGCTCAGAAACACCCCGAGATCAGTCTGCTGTCTGCTATAATACATGCTCAGAATACACCCAGACCTGGTACCCTGTCTCCTATAGTACCACCTGTAGACAGTTCTTCTGTCTGCTGTAAGACACACTCAGAATACACCTCAACACTGGTCCCTTGTCTGCTGTAATACATCCTCAGAATACACCCTGCAACCTGTCCCCATCTGCTATAATACATCCTTAGAACCCAGCCCAAGATCTGTCCATTGTATGCTATAATACATGCTCAGAATACACCCTGCAACCTGTCCCTGTATGCTATAATACACCCTCAGAATCCAATCCGAGATCTGTCCTCTGTCTACTATAATACATGCTCAGAATACACCCTGCAACCTGTCCCGTCTGCTATAATACATCCTTAGAACCCAGCCCAAGATCTGTCCATTGTATGCTATAATACATGCTCAGAATACACCCTGCAACCTGTCCCGTCTGCTATAATACACCCTCAGAATCCAATCTGAGATCTGTCCTCTGTCTACTATAATACATGCTCAGAATACACCCTGCAACCTGTCCCGTCTGCTATAATACACCCTCAGAATCCAATCTGAGATCTGTCCTCTGTCTACTATAATACATGCTCAGAATACACCCTGCAACCTGTCCCGTCTGCTATAATACACCCTCAGAATCCACTCCGAGATCTGTCTTCTGTCTACTATAATACATGCTCAGAAACCCTCTGAGACCAGTCTTCTGTTTGCTGTAGTACACTCTTAGAAACATACCGACACTGGTCCTGTCTGCTATAATACATCCTCAGACCTGTCCTCCATCTGCTATAATACATCTTCAGAACACACTCTGAGACTTGTCCCCCTCATCTGCTTTAATACACACTCAGAATCCACCCAAACCTTAACCCCCTCTGACATATGTTTAAGAAATTCAGCATCATTTACCAAACTTAACTGAAAAGGCTTCAAGGACAGAGACAGAAGGGATGGCAGATAGAGGCATAGTGTGCGTGTTTTGTCCTCTGCTAAAATCACAGCAGTAGCAACGTCTATACTGGATAAAATCCCCAGACACATGGCATCAATAAAGGGATGTCCAGCACACATTCCTTATAATCTATGAGCACTCTCATTCTCAGTCTCTGGGAACAAGCATTGCTTCACACACCCTTCAATCCCTCTGTCCATGGAGTACTCAGTGGCAGGGAGATAAAGTTTTGCTTGTTTTGATGCATGCTGCAGAGAATGAATGGTGGTGGCAGAGTGTGGCAGGTGATACTGCTACAAATACACTATAAATATGGCCAAAGGTTTGTGTACCTGTTATTGTTCCCCACTAGGCACCAACAGTGACATGCACTGACCTGGGCTCAATCTTGTCACCGGAGAAGGATCTCATCATACTGTTCTGCACCTGCTGGAACTGGGAGACAACACATGACAGAGTGACACAATGACCTTGAATCTTCTCTGTAAAAAGGTTTAGAGATGGGGAGATTTGCCCTGACAATGACAGCAAGAAGAGGAAAATCTGAAAGCTCTTCAGTTTCTAAGATTTTGTATCAAGTTTGGAAATAATTCAAATCCTGCTTCTGTTTTAACCATTGCACTGCCCATCCGGCAGAAATATTCAGAGCTTGTACTGTGATTATCTATGGCTCCTCCCTGTCTCAAACGCTCATCAATTGCCTTTGATGGTGCTCCTCACTGTCCCCATCTCTCCCCACCTTCCTCTGATTATGTACCCTTATCTTCCTTTGATCTCTTAACTGTCCCCCATCTCTCCTCACCTACCTCTGATTGGGCTCCTTAATATTCCCATCTCTCCACATGTGCCTCAGATTAGGCCCCTCACTGGCCCCATCTCTCACCTTCCTGTGATTGGATACCTTACCATTCCCGTTTCTCCTTACCTTTTTCTGATTGGGCTACGCACCATTCCTATTCTCTTCTCACCTTCCTCTGATTGGTCTCCTAACAATCCCCCATGTCTCCGCATCTTTCTCTGACTGGGTACCTCACCTCTGCCTCTTCTCACCTTTCTCCGATTGGGCTACACACCACCCCTAGTCTCTTCTCAGCTTCCTCTGGTTTGTCTACTAACCCTTCCCCATCTCTCTTCACCTTTCTATGATTGGGCTCCTCACCATTCTCATCTCTCCACTCATTCCTCTAACTGGGCTTCTTTCCATCTCCCATTACCTTGCTCCGATTGGGCTACTCAACATTCCCACCTCTCCTCATCTTTCTGTGATTAGGTACCTCCCCATTCTTGTCTCTTCTCACCTTCCTCTGATTAGGCTACACATAACCAACTCTCCTCACATTCCTTTGATCGGTCTCCTAACCATCCTCCCTCTCGCCTCACCTTTCTCTGATTGGGTTCCTCACCAGTCCATCTCTCCTTACTTTCCTCTGATTGGGCTCCTCATGTCCGGTGGCACCTCTTCTTACTTTCCTCTGACTGGGCTCCTCACTGTCCCATCTCCTACCTTTCTCTGTTTGGGTACCTCACCATTCCCATCTCTCCTCACCTTTCTCTGATTGGGCTTCTCATCATTCCCATTCTTCCTTACCTACCTCCAATTGGGTACCTCACCATTCAAATCTCTCCTCCCCTTTCTCTGATTGGGCTTCTCACCATGGTCTTCTTACCTACCTCCGATTGGGTACCACACCATTCAACTTTCTCCTCACCTTTCTCTGATTGGGCCTCTCACTATTCCCATCTTTGCTCACCTTCCTCTGATAATCTCTCTGTTGGATGAACTTGTCCACGATTCTCTCCACTTGGCGATCACACTCTGCCTGCAAATGTTTTATGAGCATATACAGCCTCCCCGGGCCATAGTAAGTTTCCAGTATAGGTTGGTGAGTTTCCACTATTCGTGCAATTCTGCAAGACAGGACATGTAGCAGCATCTTTGTCAAGCCAGACTTCAGGTTTCCCTGTTCTATTGGATATCATGTTATAAAATCTATTTTCCCTGATACTAACCTTCAAAAAGCAGTGTGAGTGTGTCTGCAAATAAAAGTGCTGCTCTCCTCTCATTGCTTTCGGAGCTCAGTGCCAGGGATAAGTTCTCTTCAGCTTTCTTAGCCACCTGCAGGAGTACAAGCTCAAGGGTAATGCACTGACAATCCACATCAATAAACAAAAGTAATCCATTCACTGGCGGGTCAGATGGTTTGAGTCAGATCTGCTAAAGGGCTCCTTTCTCCTTTACCAAAAAACTGCCTATGCAAGTAACCTGTAGATATAAACAAACTGTGCTGCTTTGACTATAATTCGATAATGTCCTTACCATATGCTATTTATGTGCCTTTAGAAGCTTCGTTGAAAAACTCCCAGAGATGGCAACATCCCATCCTGTCTCGTTGCTAGGGCATTGATAAGACATCTCCATCATCACAGGAGTGAGAGCTCAAAATCCTGCACATGTACGTTCCACTATCTTTTTTGCTGCAGCATTGCTGAGCTTACCGCTACTGCAACTAGGAAGAGAAAATGAAGGAATGGGGATATGAATTGGGAGTGTCTTAGCAACATCCTAGCAACAAGGCAGGATGGGATAACGACATCTGTGGGAGTTTTTCGGCCAGCTGAGGGAGGTACGTAAAGGGCCTACACCTGTAGCAAGGCATTATTTAACCACTTGCCTACCAGGCACTTATACCCCCTTATTTACCAGGCCAATTTTCAGCTTTCAGCGCTGCCGCACTTTGATTGACAATTGCGCGGTCATGCAACATTGTACCCATATGAAATTTTGATCATTTTTTTCTCACAAATAGAGCTTTCTTTTGGTGGTATTTAATCGCTACTGGGCGCTTTACTTTTTGCGCTATAAACAAAAAAATTGCAAAAAATTTGAAAAAAAAAAGTTTCTTTGTTTTCTATTATAAAATTTTTCAAACAGGTAATTTTTCTCCTTCACTGATGTGCGTTGATGAGGCAGCACTGATGGGCACTGATAGGCACTGATAGGCAGCACTAAAGGGCACTGATAGGCAGCACTAATGAGGTGTCACGGATAGGCGGCACTAATATGCAGCACTGATAGGCGGCACTGATAGGTGACACTGATGATGGGTACTGATAGACGGCACTGACTGGCATCACTCCTGGGCACTGACTGGCACAACCGCTGGGCACTGACTGGTGGCACTGACTGGCAGCACTGCTGGGCTGCACTGGTGGGCAGCACTGGTGGGTGGGCACCGGTGGGTGGCACTGGTGGGCACAGGTGGGTGGCACTGGTGGGCACAGGTGGGTGGGCACTTCTGGGCACAGGTGTGTGACACTGCAGAGTGGCACAGGTGGGTGCTCTGCTGGGCACAGGTGGGTGCTCTGCTGGGCACAGGTGGGCGGAGCTAGTGGGCACACTGCTGGGCACAGGTGGGCGGAACTTGTGGGTGGCACTGCTGGGCACCGATCATCAGGGCACTGATCATCAGTGCCCTGATGATCGGTGCCGATCCCCGCTCTGACAACTGCCGGTTCTCGGCAGTACTTTCCTCACGATCTGACAGCGTGAGGAAAGTGCAGCCGAGAACCGGCAATTGAATTTCCCGGTGATCGGGCGTGTCATTGGACACGGCTGATCACGTGCTAAAAGGCCTCTGTGATTGGCCTTTTACCACATCACGTGATCAGCTGTGTCCCTGGGGCGCGCAGGAGAGCGCGTTCTGGGAGGACGTCATATGACGTCCACCCAGAACTGGCCGGCCGCAGTGCAGCCGTCATTCGGCTATCTGCGGTCGGCAACTAGTTAAAGTGTAACTTTAGTCAGATAATTAGGTCCTGACAGATTACTTCCTGCTGGCCTCATTTTGCAAGTATGGCTATGTAAACATTAAAAATAAGTGCCTGTACTGTTTAAAATTCAGAAATGACTTAACCTGTTCTATACTGCTGATAGCTTCAATATTTACTGCTGCTGAAGGGGGGTGGGGAAGAGGGGAAGCAAAAGGAATGACAGACTGTGCTCATGAGGCTATATTAGGGAGAGAGAAAAGAAAAGCAAAAGAAGTGACAGGACAAACTCTGCTGCAAGGGAGACACAAAATTGCTACAAATTACATTGTGTCTTATCTCCTCCTTTCTCCCTCAGCAACTTCAGCACTCTCAGCTACTTCAGCCTTCCCCTCTAGCTGAGCCTAGACCTACAATCAAGGTCGGAACTACATACTTTTTGATTGCAGAAAGTGACATACAGTTTTTGAGACCAAGGAAAAGGGGAGAGTTTTCAATAAGGAGGTGACTACTGGGCTTCAGCAAAATGGTAATCTCCGGCAAGAAGCAGCAGGAACAATGCTCGAGGCAAATTGCAGCACACTCTAATTTTGGTAGCATAAATATTAAAGCAGTAGTAAACTTCGAAAAAAAAAGTAAAAATCGCATACTAGCACATTACGAAAGGCCTGAAAATGAAGCCCTCCAGCAGAGCGCTGTCATGGCTCCCCGAAGCTTCCATCTTCACCCGGTCTTCCTTCCAGGTTCGCAAGCTGTGGCCAGGTGATTTGTTGAGCTGTGATGTTGTCACTTCCGCCAATGCACGAAGGGAGATTTGGCCTCGGCATGACTCTCTCAATAGACGGCACGTCCTTTGAGAGTGCAGTGCGCATGCGCCAGTGACATCATCTGTGCATCTACAGTAAATATCACCTAAACAGTGCGCGTTTAGGAGATATTTACAGTACCTACAGGTAAGCCTTATTAGAGGCTTACCTGTAGGTAAAAGATGCAAAATAGAGTGTGCTTCCACTTTAATGTGGAATGTATGTTCCTTGCTAAAGAACATAATTATGTATCAAGTTGTTATGGGTAAAGTTCCGCTTTAACTTTGGTCAAAGCTGCGCAGTTTGTTTTTATCAACAGGCACCCCTTACCCCCGCATAGGCAGTGTTTTTGGTAAAGGTGAAGTAACCCTTTAACACAGCAGTCCATGCAGAGAGAGCCATGTTCTACTGGGAGATCACGTCTTGTGCATATGTGACACACCTGTAATTATGTGACACACCCTGAAGAAAAGCAGAATGTCTCAGAACCCAGACACAGCACTGCTGGCTGAACCTAGCTCACCGATAATACCAATTTATTTATCAGGTTTTCCTCACACATCATCCAATCTCTGATTTTTTGGGGTGCACCAGGTCTTTTGACTAGGTGGACCATGTCCACTTCTTGGCCTTTTGGCTAAGATCAAGTGTAGTATCTGTTCTTATCAGTGTCCAGTAGGGGCGCTTCGCCATCATTCTTGTTTGCGAGGATGTTTGGCTGTATAGCACCCCTGCTGGAAGGATGAGGGCTCCGATGGTTAATACAGGCCGGAACAGAAACCGAGGTGCCCACAGGCAGTTGGAGCCCGGGAGTAAATCCCCCAGGAACGTCAGAGGGGCCCAGTTCCTCCTGGTTTGAACGGATCTACCTTGTCTGGCCAGGGGCCGAGGAGGCAGAGAGTCCGCGGAACAGTGCCCCGAGTGGTCGCCTCAGGGGTGCTCTTATTAGCACATGGGGATGGGATCCCAAGTGTGAAACGTGCACATGGTCACTGATCCAAAACACTTTATCTGCACTGCGCCTTTTAGGGCTGGGCCTTTTGGCTAAGTCCAGGGCAATTTTTATGCTACAGGCCTCAGGGCCTACCCAGTGCACAATTGCATGGCCACTTTTTTATTTTTACTTAATTTATTTTTTCTCCCACGTTTGTTTCACTTTTCACTTATGTGTGTGTTTTTTTCTCATGGATGGTAGGGTGTGGGTCCTCGGGCCTGCCCTGAAGTGTGGCCTTTTGGTTCCTTCCTCCGCTGTCCCTAGGGGGTCTCTCTTCGGGAGAGCCCCCAGACCTAGTACTTGGTGGCTGGCTTAGGCTAGCCACAAGGAAAGTGGTCTGCCAGACCTTTTGGCTAGGTGGACCATGTGGGAACCTTAGTCCCTGTCAGGAACCTCGTGCCCCGGGGGATCAGGGTAGAGGTCCTACCCCTTCGGGGGGTGGACAAAGCACACCCCTAAGTACACTTTTTTGTGTTGGTTTTGCAATAGCACGTTTTTTGTTCACTTACGGGTTTTTCGTTTTTCGCACTTCAAAAAAAAAAAAATCATCCAATCTCTGATTACATCTCTGGACTTTCTATTCAGAAATGGAAAAGCTATATAAAACTAGTAAAATCATACCAAAGATGAGATAGCGGTGCGTTACCTGGCGGCACAGGTATGCAGAGAACTTGCTGATTCCCTCCTCGTGCAGTCTGAGCAGCGGAAATATCTTAAAGAACCTCTCCACCTGCGGCAGGTCACCGACTTTGGTTGCAGCATCAAACTTCTCTGTGACCAGAACCTTTAGCTGCTGCTCAGCCTCTTGTAGGTGCTGAAGATTGGCATCGATCATGCTGCCTAAAATCAGATGAACTGCAAGTTACAGCTTACAACAGACTGGAACTGTTGTGAACACAGTAATCATATAAAATTGTGTCTGTGCTAGTTTAGTCTGCTTGCAAAAGGGGCTGATATACTGTGTGTGACTCCATTATGATTTAAAGTGGATGTAAACCTCAGACATGAAATATGAACAAAGTATATCCCTCTATAGTGTTTACTTGTCTCAGTCCAGAACACCAAGTGTCATTTCTCTCTGCTGCCTCGTTCCTCTGCTATCTGCATTAGTCAGATAAGTTTTCCTGACATCAAGAGCAAAAAAAAAAAAAAAAAAAAAAAGTGACAGGGGAGGGAGCTCCAGCACACAGCCTGTGATTGACAGCCTCAACTCTTTGCTGTGTGAAGGGGAGTATGTCCCTTCCCTCCAAGCAGCTCCCACTGAGCTATGCAGAATGTAACTTCAGATCATCGCCCACTGCTTCATAAAAGCTCAGACAAGCTGTATAATTTCTGCACTTTGAACTACTGTAGAAAAGAGATGGAGGAAGATAAACAGGTACAACTTATATAGGAGGATTTGTTTTATCTTTGTGTATCACTTGAGGTCAGTCCCTTTACTAGGAATACTGGGTTTACAACCACTTTAAGACTCTGTTTACACCAACGAGATTTCAGATGTGACTTGAGTCAAACAGAATTACATGACAGAGTGAGTGATCACTGCACAGAGATAGGTGGTATGAGTGATCGCTGCACAGAGATAGGTGGAGTGACCACTGCACAGAGATAGGTGGAGTGAGTGATCACTGCACAGAGATAGGTGGAGTGACCACTGCACAGAGATAGGTGGAGTGAGTGATCACTGTAGAGATAGATGGAGTGAGTGATCACTGCACAGAGATAGGTGGAGTGAGTGATCACTATACAGAGATAGGTGGAGTGAGTGATCACTATACAGAGATAGGTGGAGTGAGTGATCACTGCGCAGAGATAGGTGGAGTGAGTGATCACTGCGCAGAGATAGGTGAGTGACCACTGCGCAGAGATAGGCGAGTGACCACTGCGCAGAGATAGGCGAGTGATCACTGCACAGAGATAGGTGGAGCGAGTGATCACTGCACAGAGATAGGTGGAGTGAGTGATCACTGCACAGAGATAGGTGGAGTGAGTGATCACTGCACAGAGATAGGTGGAGTGAGTGATCACTGCATAGAGATAGGTGGAGTGAGTGATCACTGCACAGAGATAGGTGGAGTGAGTGATCACTGCACAGAGATAGGTGGAGTGAGTGATCACTATACAGAGATAGGCGGAGCGAGTGATCACTGCACAGAGATAGGTGGAGCGAGTGATCACTGCACAGAGATAGGCGGAGCGAGTGATCACTGCACAGAGATAGGTGGAGTGAGTGATCACTGCACAGAGATAGGTGGAGTGAGTGATCACTATACAGAGATAGGCGGAGCGAATGATCACTGCGCAGAGATAGGTGGAGTGGGTGGTCCCTGACTGCACACTCTGGGGAAAGGAGAATTTACATTCCAAAACTGTATCATCCTAGTAAAATGTACTAATCACAAAGTAAAACCTAACAAATCCCATCCACACATGGCTGGCTTGCCATTCCCTCTGCCTTGGGTTTCATACATTCATGGTGCGACACATAGAAGAGGCGGAACTCTGCCAAGGTCTACAGAGAAACAAGGAGCAAGACCATCACCTTCCTTCCCCTGCCGGCTCAGCTCAATGACAGATTTATCCAGGCACAGGTATCGGTGAATGTGTGCCGCAGCCTGCTCATAGTCCTCATTCTTCAGAGCAGTCTGCACCCCGTCCATGCAGAACTTCAGATCCAGAATGTCGTCTGCTCGTTGTATGGCTTGATAGAGGCGACTCTGTAAATGAGGACACATGGAGATCACTTAAACAGCGACCCACATAATTCTCAGCGAGGACACACACAGATTATTGGCCTGCCTGATACTTCTCTGACAGGAATATACTGCATCACAGCCACCATTTCATCATTGCTAATATTTCTTCTTGTTATCAGTGAACCCCATGGCGGTACTATGAAGATTTGCCCCAAATTCCAGTGCTCCTTACCCAGCCACCCATCCCCTGATGTGGAAATCCTCCCCTGGATGTACCTTGGCGAGGTCCAGCTGTCGGACTTTGCTGCTGACATTTTCGGCCAGGTTACAGGTAAATGTGATCATCCCGGACAGCTGCTGGGCGTCTCCCTCTATGAGCTGCAGGTTCGGCCTGGCAGGAGACACAGTAATTATCATTTCATCCTTCACACACAGGGGTGTCCCTGCTGCTCTCTATATGCATGTGGTCACCCATGTGGATAAACCACACGGCATGTGGCTGGATCTGATTTCCATTACAGGGACACCAGCATGGAATGAAGGCTGGAGTGTCAGCTGTGACAGCCAATCAGGTTACAGCTTTCTGCAGTGTAAGGAGGGCGGGAGCCCCTCTTATGGTGTCTTCCTTCACTCTGGCCACAACATTGGTACTTACCCCATCCTTTGCAGAGCCAGCATCTTGTTCTCCACTGCCCCCTGCTGTCCGAGCAACGCCTCCAGCTCTGATTCCACCTCTTTCTGCAAGACACACATGCACCAGTCAACAGAGACACAGGGCAGGTCCTCCCAGTACTTCCTCCCCCAGAGGCTGAAACATGCCCAGTCCTCCCTCCCCCAGAGGCTGAAACATGCCCAGTCCTCCCAGTACTCCCTCCCCCAGAGGCTGAAACATGCCCAGTCCTCCCTCCCCCAGAGGCTGAAACATGCCCGGTCCTCCCAGTACTCCCTCCCCCAGAGGCTGAAACATGCCCGGTCCTCCCAGTACTGCTGTACTAAGATCCCCCCATTGAATAATATATGCCAGGTCCTCCCAGTACCCCTTCCCCAGAGACTGAAACATGCCAGGCCCTCCCGGTACCCCCTCCTCCAGAGACTGAAACATGCCAGGTCCTCCCGGTACCCCCTCCCCCAGAGACTGAAACATGCCAGGTCCTCCCAATACCCCCTCCCCCAGAGACTGAAACATGCCAGGTCCTCCTGGTACCCCCTCCCCCCCCCAGAGACTGAAACATGCCAGGTCCTCCCGGTACCCCCTCCCCCAGAGACTGAAACATGCCAGGTCCTCCCGGTACCCCCTCCCCCAGAGACTGAAACATGCCAGGCCCTCCCGGTACCCCCTCCCCCAGAGACTGAAACATGACAGGCCCTCCCGGTACCCCCCCCCCAGGGGCTGAAACATGCCAGGCCCTCCCGCTACCCCCCCCCCCCAGGGACTGAAACATGCCAGGTCCTCCCGGTACCCCCTCCCCCAGAGACTGAAACATGCCAGGTCCTCCTAGTACCCCCTCCCCCAGAGACTGAAACATGACAGGCCCTCCCGGTACCCCCTCCCCCAGGGACTGAAAAATGCCAGGTCCTCCTAGTACCTTTTCAACAGAGACTGAAACATGCCGGGTCCTCCTAGTACCCCCCTCCCCCAGAGACTGAAACATGACAGGCCCTCCCGGTACCCCCTCCCCCAGGGACTGAAACATGACAGGCCCTCCCGGGACCCCCTCCCCCAGGGACTGAAACATGACAGGCCCTCCCGGGACCCCCCTCCCCCAGGGACTGAAACATGACAGGCCCTCCCGGTACCCCCCCTCCCCAGAGACTGAAACATGCCAGGTCCTCCTAGTACCCCCTCCCCCAGAGACTGAAACATGACAGGCCCTCCCAGTACCCCCTCCACCAGGGACTGAAACATGCAAGGTCCTCCCAGTACCCCCTCCCCCAGGGACTGAAACATGTCAGGTCCCCTCAGTACTCCCTAGGGACTGAAACATGACAGGCCCTCCTAGTACCTCCCCTCCCCCCTCAGGACGTCTGTCGGCACCTCCTCAGCACACAGCCTCTCGTAGGCCTCCTCCAGCTCCTGCAGGTCGGTTAGAGATCGGATCTGCTCCATGGTCAGTGAGGGGGTCCGGTCTCCCTGGTAACTGGCTGAGCTGCATGTTGACAGGCCGCATCACTTCCGGCCCCAGGACCCTTCATCTCGTCACTTCCGTCTCTAGAGGACCCTCATGCTACGTATTCTCCTGACTTCCGGGGTCCATCGGTGTGTTGGGGCTGTCCTTTCAGTGCCAGTGCTGGGAGGTGAGAGGAGCGGTTGTCGGTGCCCGGAGTGTATCGGGGTGAGGAACGGACTTGAGGCTGGGAGGTGGTATAATTCTGGGTGCCAGTCCGTAGCGGGGTGTATGTGGACAGGCGGAAGGAGGGCAGCTCTCTGAGGGCCACGCATTGCTTTGTGGCGGAAGAGGCGCGAAATGGCGGCTGTGTGATCCGGCGAGGGATCCGGTGTGAATCCCCGCCATCCGCCACAGGTGCCCCGCCGTGTGTGTACCGGGGTCAGGTGAGGGGGGAGAGGGTATGGTTCGGTGTTTGTGTTCCCTGTTCAGGCCTTCTGTGCGGCCACACTCCTCTCCCACTATGGAGGCCTCATCAGCAGGAGGCCGGGGCCACTCTGGGGATAAGAGGGGGGCTGAGCATCCTCATTGGGGAGGAGGAGGAGGCAGACCATAGTATTGGGGGGGCTTTCCATTATATTGCAAGGTGTCATGTGACTGTACCTGGGGAATCTGCCAGGGGCTCTATGGGGGTCCCCTGTGGCTGGCTGAGGTCTCTGGAGGCCCCCTGTGCCAGGTGGGGGATCTCTAGGGCCTTTGGGGGTCCCCTGTTTCACTTGGTGATCTTTGAGGTGTCTGGGGGTCCCCTGTTCCTGGTGGGGGTTCTCTGGAGGTCCCCTGTACCTGGTGGAGATCTTCGATGTTTCTAGGGGTCCCCTGTGCCTGGTGGGAAATCTATGGGACCTTAAGGGGTCCCCTGTGCTTGGTTGGGATCTCTAGGGCCTGTGGCGGTCCCCTGTGCTAGGTGGGGATCTCTGGGGTTCCCCTGTGCCTGTTGGGGATCCCTGAGGTCTCTGGGGTTCCCCTGTGCCTGTTGGGGATCCCTGAGGTCTCTGGGGTTCCCCTGTGCCTGTTGGGGATCCCTGAGGTCTCTGGGGTTCCCCTGTGCCTGTTGGGGATCCCTGAGGTCTCTGGGGGTCCCCTGTGCCTGTTGGGGATCCCTGAGGTCTCTGGGGGGGGGGGGTCCCCTGTGCCTGTTGGGGATCCCTGAGGTCTCTGGGGGGGGGGGGGTCCCCGTGCCTGTTGGTGACCTTCGAGGCCTCTGGGGGGGGGTTCCCCGTGCCTGTTGGTGACCTTCGAGGTCTCTGGGGGGGGGGTCCCCCGTGCCTGTAGGTGACCTTCGAGGTCTCTGGGGGGGGTCCCCCGTGCCTGTTGGTGACCTTCGAGGTCTCTAGGGGGGTCCCCCGTGCCTGTTGGTGACCTTCGAGGTCTCTGGGGGGGTCCCCCGTGCCTGTTGGTGACCTTCGAGGTCTCTGGGGGGGGGGGGGTCCCCCGTGCCTGTAGGTGACCTTCGAGGTCTCTGGGGGGGGGTCCCCCGTGCCTGTTGGTGACCTTCGAGGTCTCTGGGGGGGTCCCCCGTGCCTGTTGGTGACCTTCGAGGTCTCTGGGGGGGTCCCCCGTGCCTGTTGGTGACCTTCGAGGTCTCTGGGGGGGTCCCCCGTGCCTGTTGGTGACCTTCGAGGTCTCTGGGGGGGTCCCCCGTGCCTGTTGGTGACCTTCGAGGTCTCTGGGGGGGTCCCCCGTGCCTGTTGGTGACCTTCGAGGTCTCTGGGGGGGTCCCCCGTGCCTGTTGGTGACCTTCGAGGTCTCTGGGGGGGGTCCCCCGTGCCTGTTGGTGACCTTCGAGGTCTCTGGGGGGGGTCCCCCGTGCCTGTTGGTGATCTTCGAGGTCTCTGGGGGGGGTCCCCTGCCTGTGCCTGTTGGTCATCTTCCAGGTCTCTGCGGGGGTCCCCTGCCTGGGCCTGTTGGTCATCTTCGAGGTCTCTGGGGGGGTCCCCTGCCTGGGCCTGTTGGTGATCTTCGAGGTCTCTGGGGGGGGGGGGGTCCCTGTGCCTGTTGGTGACCTTCGAGGTCTCTGGGGGGGGTCCCCCGTGCCTGTTGGTGACCTTCGAGGTCTCTGGGGGGGGTCCCCCGTGCCTGTTGGTGACCTTCGAGGTCTCTGGGGGGGGTCCCCCGTGCCTGTTGGTCATCTTCGAGGTCTCTGGGGGGGGTCCCCCGTGCCTGTTGGTCATCTTCGAGGTCTCTGGGGGGGGTCCCCCGTGCCTGTTGGTCATCTTCGAGGTCTCTGGGGGGGGTCCCCTGCCTGTGCCTGTTGGTCATCTTCGAGGTCTCTGCGGGGGTCCCCTGCCTGGGCCTGTTGGTCATCTTCGAGGTCTCTGGGGGGGTCCCCTGCCTGGGCCTGTTGGTGATCTTCGAGGTCTCTGGGGGGGGGGGGGGGTCCCTGTGCCTGTTGGTGATCTTCGAGGTCTCGGGGGGGGTCCCCTGTGCCTGTTGGTGATCTTCGAGGTCTCTGGGGGGGGGGGGGTTGTCCCCTGTGCCGGGGGGAGGTCTCTGGGGGGGGGGTTGTCCCCTGTGCCGGGGGGAGGTCTCTGGGGGGGGTTGTCCCCTGTGCCGGGGGAAGGTCTCTGGGGGGGATTTCCAATGTGTCTGGGGGTCCCTTGTACCTAGTGGGGATCTGTGTGGGTCACCTGTGCTTGACTGGGATCTCTGGGGCCTTTTGGGATCCATTGTGCTCGACTGGGGTCTCTGGGGGGCCCCCTGTGCCTGGCGGGGATTTCTGAGGTCTCTGGAGGTCCTCTGTGCCTGTTGGGTGATCTGTGATATATCTGGGGGTCCCTTGTGCCTAGTGGGGATCTCTGGGGGTCCCCTGTGCCTAGGGGGGAATCCCTGAGGTCTCTGGAGGTCCCCTGTGCATGTTGGTAATCTTTAATGTCTCTGGGGGTCCTTTGTGCCTAGTGGGGATCTCTGTGGGTCCCTTCTGTACCTGGTGGAAAATCTCTGTGGCCTTTGGGGGTCCCCTGTACTTGGGTGGTCTTCAAAGTCTCTGGAGGTCCCCTGTGCCTGGCAGGAAATCTTTGGGGTTCCCCTGTGCCTGGCGGGGTTCTCCGAGGTCTCTGGGGGGGTCCCCTGTGCCTGGCGGAAATTTCCGAGGTCTCTGGGGGTTCCCTGTGCCTAGTGAGGATCTCTGGGCATCCCCTGTGGCTGGGAATCATCTTCAGGATACCTAGGGGTCCCATGTGCCTGACAGTGATCTCTAGGGGCCCCGGGGTGCTCTCTGTGTCTAGGAATCATCTTTAGGATCTCTGGGGTCCCCTGTGTCTGGTGGTGATCAAGGTTTCTGGGGGGTCCCCTGTGCGTTGTGGGTATTCTGTCTGGGGGGGAGGTCTGGACTGTATGTGGTACTGATTGGTGGGATGTTTTGGGATACTCTTCCATGTCTGGATTGTATGGTAGGGGTTCTCGCCCATGTCTGGATTGTATGGTAGGGGTTCTCGCCCATGTCTGGATTGTATGGTAGGGGTTCTCGCCCATGTCTGGATTGTATGGTAGGGGTTCTCGCCCATCTGGATTGTATGGTAGGGGTTCTCGCCCATGTCTGGATTGTATGGTAGGGGTTCTCGCCCATGTCTGGATTGTATGGTAGGGGTTCTCGCCCATGTCTGGATTGTATGGTAGGGGTTCCCGCCCATGTCTGATTATTACAGAGGATTTCTGCAGCGCCAACAGTTTACACAGCACTTTACAACACGAGGGCAGACAGTACAGTTTCAAAAAAATTCAATGCAGGAGGAACCAGGGGGCCCTGCTCATGGAGCTTACAATCTAAAAGGGAAGGTCATGTGATACAAAAGGGAATAACTATGGGGGATGGGCTGATAGAGTGGTGATTGGTGGGAGGTCTGGGTTATATATTGTTTGGGGTGCTCACCATGTCTGATTGGTGGGGGTTGCTCTGTGTGGTATGGTGTACTCTACCATGTTTGGGGGGGGGGGGGGGGGGGGGGGGGTGTTAGATTACCTCTGTCACAGTGGGCAGTCCCGGGGTTTCTCTGGTGTCCACACTCTGACTACTGTTGCTGCTCTCAATGATGAGTCTTCATGTCTCTTCTCTGACTGTCACTGGAGACATCCTACCTCTGAGGAGAGCTCTGCCTCCACCATATACTGGATTGTACGGGAATAATCTGATTGATCTGTTTCAGGTATCGTGCTCCTCATCTGATTCCACCAGCTGCTGATATCCGCTCTCCGCCATCATGTTCCTGTACAATATAACACTGCAGAGGGCCACCGGCATCAGCTTCGCCATCCATGGAAACTTCTCAGGTACCTGATATGGGGCTGCTCACCTCTGATATTTAGACCCTCCCCCTCAGTACTCCTCTCCATTATCGGTGATGTGTTTATTCTGGACTACTAATAGAGGAGTCTGGAAATAAATCTCTGCATTCCAGGATGCAGAATCTCTTCAGCTCAGGACTGATACTGTTGTATAGTGTGACATGGCAGGACTGTATTCATGCAGACTTGTGCCGGTACTGACAGGTCCACTTTAAAGTTGAACCTTTTTGCCCCTCTCCCTTGGCTTCCACTCTGAACTTTTCCTTTATTTCCTTTCCTGAATAGGAACCAAATTACAAGAGATTGTTGTTTCCCGGGGGAAGATCCTGGAGTTACTCAGACCCGATGCCAACACAGGAAAAGTCCACACCTTGCTGACGGTGGAAGTGTTTGGGGTCATCCGCTCCCTCATGGCCTTCCGCCTGACTGGAGGCACGAAGGATTATATTGTGGTGGGCAGTGACTCGGGCCGTATCATCATTCTGGAGTATCACCCCTCCAAGAACATGTTTGAGAAGATCCACCAGGAAACCTTTGGGAAGAGCGGTTGTCGGAGGATCGTCCCCGGGCAGTTTCTGGCTGTGGACCCCAAGGGCCGAGCCGTCATGATCAGTGAGTGTGTGAGGTGCTGGCATATATTGGGATTGAGAAGGCCAGTTGTACACGTCTTCATCTCCTGTGTTGTGACTTCCCGGCAATACAGGAATGGGGCTGGTGTAATACAGCATTGTAAGAGGTGCATGATGTGTCCTACAGACCAAAGTACTGGAAGTCCTCTTAACCACTTCCCGTCTGGCCCATGTATATAAACTGCTGGATGGGAGCAGTGTAAGGGCGGGTGGCCATGTATAAACGTCCTCCCCGGCTCCCTGCCTGTGCGTGCTCCCTGGGACACAGCGAAACACCGAACGCTGTACGGGACCTCGGTGTGAGGTCCCGATCATGTGATCACTGATTGGCCGATCATGCGATCACATGAATAGTAGTAAGCAAGATGTCACTTCTGACATCATTGCTTACTACTAGTGAAATCTGTGAATGAGCACAGAGGTCACATGGTACAAGGCTATTCACAACAGCCTTGTACCATGTGACAAGCTGTGACCAATCACAGCTCACAGTATTTCTCAATGGCTGCAGGAATGCAGTCAGAGAAAAGGAGAAATTATTGCTTTTACGCAGCCTTTATGGGTGTAAAAGCAATCGGTGTAAAAAAAAATAAAAAAATCTTTATGGTGACACTGTACTGCTAGGGTGACAGTATGTGGAAAACATAAATAATATAAATATGAAAACATTTTTGAAAAATTATAATTTTTGGTTATAAACTAATTTGAGGTATATATTTTTTTTTTTTTTTTTTTATTTTACTAAAAAGATAGATGAATACATTTTGGCCAAGATTTATGAAGAGAGAATATTTATTTGCAAAATCAAAATTCTATAAGAACAATACTTTATATATATTCATCCCCCCCCCCCCCACAAGTAGTACAGTGTCACTATGGTGACACTGTACAGCTAGGGTGACAATATGTTAAAAAAAAAAACATAAATAATGATATAAAATAAGTAAAAAAAGATTTGAGAAATTATAATTTTTGGTTATCAACTAATGTGGGTTATTTTTTTTTTTTTTTTTTTTTTTTCTACTAAAAAGATAGCTGAATACATTTTGGCCAAGATTTATAAAGAAAGATTATTTATTTGCAAAATTTTATAAGAACAACACTTTTTTCAAAATGTTTGGACTGTTTCATTTATATAGCAAAAAAATAAAAATCCCAGTGGTGACTAAATACCACCAAAATAAAGTTTTATCTGTCTCAAATGCTAAAAAATTCATATGGGTACAGTGTTGCATGACTGTGCAATTGTCATTCAAAGTGTGATAGCTCTGAAAGCTGAAATTGTCCTTGACAGGAAGGGGGTGAAAGTGTCTGGACTTGAAGGGGTTAAATCTCTCCTATTTCCTCAAGCTGTAGGAATGTTTAGCGTAAACCTGAACAAAGCAACCTGTCCACGTTAACCACTTGCTGACCAATGTATGTATATAAGCAGCTTGTCGCCAGTCTTTTAATTTAAAGAAAAAAATGTAAACACTTTACAGACAACAAACTGAGAAGGTAGTCAGATATGTAGTGACAGGTCAAGTAATCCAAACAAAGCTATTGGCAGTTTCTGTATGCATACGAACACCCATAATCAACAGACATTAGCTTGTTTGGGTACCAAGGTAGAGAACACAACGTTAACAATTGTATCTATTGATACATGTATATGTTCCGTACAGGGAAGGTACTCTGTATGAACATGAATCTGTAGATATCTAATAACCTAACCCAGGGGTAGGCAACCTGAGAGCCGCAGGACTACAAGTTCCATCATGCCTCTGCAAGTCATAGCTGTAACTGTCAGTTTTGTAATCTTTGCAATGCCTCATGGGAAATGTAGTTCCACAACAGCTAGAGAGACGCAGGTTGCCTACCCCTGACCTAACCAAACTTGCACAAATGGACCATAGTACTGATCTTATATATGACTTGTGTTAGAATGAGATTGCTTCAAAAAAAGTAATATCTAGACTTTAAGTGCTTTTTGTGCCTCCAGACTCCCAAGGGGTTTATTTACTAAAGCTGGAGAGTCCAAAATCAGACTCCCTTCTGCATAGAAACCAATCAGCTTCTAACCTCAGCTTGTTCAATGAAGCTTTGGCAATGAAACCTGGAAGCTGATTGGTTTCTATGTAGAAGGGAGTCTGATTTTGGACTCTCCAGCTTTAGTAAATAGGCTACTGTCCCTTGGGGGTTTATTTACTAAAGCTGGAGAGTCCAAAATCAGACTCACTTCTACATAGAAACCAATCAGCTTCCAGGTTTCATTGCCAAAGCTTCATTGAACAAGCTGAGGTTAGAAGCTGATTGGTTTCGATGCAGAAGGGAGTCTGATTTTGGACTCTCCAGCTTTAGTAAATAAACCCCCAAGGGACAGTAGCCTATTTGAAATCGGGTGGAGTGGTGCCAATCCAGGCCTGCTGACAATCTTGAAGCGGACTTAAACCCTCCTGTCCTTTACAACTAAGGAAGCTGCTTCTGATTGATCTGCAACTGCCATGGGGCTGCACATATGCTCTGTTATGACTCCGGCCATTTGATGGTTTGACAGTGTTTGGTTGAGGAGATGAGCAAATGTGACAGTTAGCATTCCCTGCTTTTCAGGAATTTAACTGTTTTTTGAAACTGGTAAATCAATGGGTTTAGTTTTGGTTTATAATTTACTACTGTTTAAGGGTTCTGGGCTTCAGAAAAATGGCAGCTTCCAGCAGGAAGAAATGGGAACAATACTGGAGGCAATTCGCAGCACACACTAATTTTGGTAGCATAATTGTATGGAGTGTTCCTTGGTGAAGAACATTTTTTTATCACGTTGTTATGGGTAATATTTCACTTTTAAGCAACATATAAACCTGGTTTTAATGTGTGTGAAAAATTTAAAAAAATTACACTGGTCAGCAGGCAGTCAATGTATAACTAAAGCTTAACCACTTCCAGTCCGGACACTTTTACACCCTTCCTGTCCAGGGCAATTTTCAGCTTTCAACTCTATCACACTTTGAATGACAATTGCGCGGTCATGCAACACTGTACCCAAATGAATTTTTTACCATTTTTTTGAGACAGATAAAGCTTTATTTTGGTGGTATTTATTCACCGCTGGGATTTTTATTTTTTTGCTATGTAAATGAAAAAGTCCAAAAATTTTGAAAAAAAGTTTTTTGTTTTTTTTTTATAAAAATTTGCAAATAAATAATATTTCATCATAAATCTTTGCCAAAATTTATTCCGTTATCTTTTTAGTAAAAAAAAAAAATCCTAATTAGTTTATAACCAAAAATTATAATTTTTAAACCTTTTTTTTTTTTTTTTTACATTTTTATATTTTTTTATATTATTTTTTATTTTAATTTTTTACATACTGTCACCCTAGCAGTACAGTGTCACCATGGTGAGGGGGTGATGAAGATATTTTTTTTTTTTTTTTTTTTATATACACAGATTGCTTTTACACCCATATAGGATGTAAAAGCAATCATTTCTCTTTCTCTCTGTCTGCATTCTTGCAGTCATTGAGAAGTACTGAGTGAGCTGTGATTGGTCACAGCTTGTCACATGGTACAAGGCTGTTGTGAATAGCCTTGTACCATGTGACCTCTGTGATCATTCACAGATTTCACACGTAGTAAGCAATGATGTCAGAAGTGACATCTTGCTTACTACTTTGCATGTGATCACTGATTGGCCAATCAGTGACCACATGATCGGGACCTCGTACAGAGGTCCCGTCCGACGATCAGTGTTTCACTGTGTCCGGAGGACACAGCGGGCACCGGATCGTGGTGCTGCGCGCTCCCAGGGAGCGCGCACAAGCAGGGTGCGGGGAGGCCGTTTATAAACGGCCACCCGACCCTGCACTGCCACCGTCCGGCCGTTTATATGCAACGGCCAGTCGGGAGGTGGTTAAAGCAGAACTTCACTCTCTCAATCAACCTGAGCTATTTTTATTCCTTTATGATATGGCATTAGTATATAAATGGGAAAGTATATCATATTTTACTTGTTTTTAAGTTGTGTGTTTTTTTTTTTTTTTTTTTTTTTTTTTTTTTTTTTTTTTTTTTTTTTTCAATTTTAATTTCTTCAGTTACTTCCTGGTTTCCTTGCCTAGGCAAATGATGTCATACATCCCAGCAGTCTTCAGTGGGGGGGGGTTCTCAGTTCAGCCTACGCCTGAGCTAAGGGCAGATGGATTCCAGGAAGTAAACGATATGTAAATTATCTGCCCTTACTCAAGTTGGCCGCACCCAAAAATGTCGGGGGGGTGCTTTTCAAAATGATTTCTCAGCAAAACGGAGCATGGAAACATGGCTGGATGGTAGTTTCCTTTTGAATATTAAAAATTAAATCGTGTTTTTGGTGCTCAAATGCAGTGCAGTTCCACTTTAAGAATGGTGAAAATCCTGTCAAGAGGGAGAAACCTAACCACATGCCCCCAATCAGATTTCCCTTCACTTCCTGTTCTGCAGATTCAACAGGAAATGAGCTGAAATATTTCCAAAGTTACAGTTATTGGAGCAAGTTTCCCTATTGGAATATTTTCCCTCTATTCCTTTTCTGATGGCAGCTTAAAATTTTGGCTTCTCCCTCACTTTAAATTTCGGCGACGTTGGTCATCGGTATAAATCAGGGACACGGGCAGCAATAAAAACCTTACAAGGGACGTAACTTATAACTATCCAAAACTAAAATAAAAGTTTTTGCTTTAGACACACTTTAAAGGGTTAGTTTACCCTTTTCAGGAAAAAAAAAAATGAAAAGGGGGAGGAACACCCTACAGCCACTTTCTGTGGTCTTCTGATGAAATCAGCGTTGATATAAAACCGTGCTCGCAGTACTTGGTCTGTATCCGCGGTGTTGAATGTGTGTTCTGGTTGCTCACAGGTGCCATCGAGAAGCAAAAACTGGTGTACATCCTGAACAGAGACGCAGCTGCCCGTCTAACCATCTCCTCCCCGCTGGAGGCTCATAAGGCCAACACTCTTGTGTATCATGTGGTGGGAGTAGACGTGGGCTTTGAGAACCCCATGTTTGCCTGTCTGGAAATGGACTATGAGGTAAGATTGACCCCCTGGTAGATATAATACGACTGAATGTTGGTGCTCAGCATGATGAGTTCTCATGTCTCTTCTCTGACTCTTCTGCTGGAGACAATGTTACTCTGATGAGCCGTGAACAATACGGTGAAGCCTTCCTTCAGTATGACAGTTTGTGATCTTGTCAGCCATGTACAGCAGTGTGAAGCCTTGCTGCAGTATGACAGTTTGTGAGCTCTGTACAGCAGTGTGAAGCCTTGGCTGCAGTATGACAGTTTGTGATCTTGTGAGCTGTGTACAGCAGTGTGAAGCCTTGGCTGCAGTATGACAGTTTGTGATCTTGTGAGCTGTGTACAGCAGTGTGAAGCCTTGCTGCAGTATGACAGTTTGTGATCTTGTCAGCCATGTACAGCAGTGTGAAGCCTTGCTGCAGTATGACAGTTTGTGAGCTGTGTACAGCAGTGTGAAGCCTTGGCTGCAGTATGACAGTTTGTGATCTTGTCAGCCATGTACAGCAGTGTGAAGCCTTGCTGCAGTATGACAGTTTGTGAGCTCTGTACAGCAGTGTGAAGCCTTGGCTGCAGTGTGACAGTTTGTGATCTTGTGAGCTGTGTACAGCAGTGTGCAGCCTTGGCTGCAGTATGACAGTTTGTGGGCTCTGTACAGCAGTGTGCAGCCTTGGCTGCAGTATGACAGTTTGTGAGCTGTGTACAGCAGTGTGAAGCCTTGGCTGCAGTATATGGCAGTTTAAGTGGACAGCAGGGTGAAACCTTGACTGCATTAGGACAGTTTGTGTTCTGATGAGCTGCATACAGCAGTGTCAGGCCTTTGGATGCATTTTGACCGTTTCGTGTTCTAAAGAACCATGTACAGCAGGGTAATGCTTCCTTTTACTGTGATCATTTGTATTCTTATGGCCTTGATGCAGTCTGTTTTTTTTTTGTTTATAGGAAGCTGATAATGACCCAACTGGAGAGGCAGCCGCTAACACCCAGCAGACACTGACCTTCTATGAGCTGGATCTGGGTCTGAACCACGTAGTGCGCAAATACAGCGAGCCTTTGGAGGAGCATGGCAACTTCCTGATCACAGGTCAGTAGACAATCGGCTCTCTCTGCATTGTCTGACATCACAAGTCCAGTTCCATTGTTCTTATACAATTTTCTTGTACAGTTCCTGGAGGCTCAGATGGTCCCAGTGGGGTGCTCATCTGCTCCGAAAACTACATTACCTACAAGAACTTTGGAGACCAGCCAGATATTCGTTGTCCCATCCCAAGAAGGCGGGTGAGTTTCCCTCTGCGTTGCGTTTTTAACCTGAATCCAGTGGTGCAGCTTTTGTGATGAGTTTTCATGTCTCTTCTCTGACACTCATGAAGAGGATGTAAAGATTCTGATCAGCTGTAGCCTGGACACGTCTAGCAACATGCTCCTACCCAGAATTTAGTGTATGTCAAATACAGTACATCTCTGCAGTACATGCAATGTTTAAGGGCACAGAACACTGAGAAATGTGCAAGTGTGGGGAAAAAAATGCCTTCTGATCTGCAAGAAATCCAGTGAGCTCCTAACTACCTATAGTGAGTGGACAACCCTACCTCTGCTGCAGTGAATTCCCAAGTAGTCAGTCAGCCCTGCCCAGGTATTCCCTGCAGTGACTATGGAAACCTTCCACTATGATAAAAAGATTGACATGTTCTGTAGTCCAGCTGGGCTGACAACGCTGCTTGGGATTTCAGTACAGCAGAGGAATTGTTGCTCATTTCAGGAAGTTAGGAGCTCGCTGGATTTCTGGTAGATCAGCAGTTGTTTTTCTGTTGCTGCATGATTCAATTATTAAATCCAGGCAAACAAATCAATTATTTCATAGCCACCGTCACTTAACAATATTGTGTTCATTAATTTTGCTGACTGTCATCTGTTTATTTTAGAATACAATCTCATTAATTCCATAAGTTAACTCCTTTTTGTGGTAGCTTATTCACCAGCAAGGGCCTCTGAGGAGTCCCAACATAGCCACTGCACCATGTAGGCCTTCTTCACCTGAGACTACAAATAAACATCAAGCTGCTCTGTGCTCAGATATGCACAGGCGGAATAGTGAGGCTGCTGTAGATAAGGGTGTGTGATCTGCCCACCAATTCAATTATCTAACTTGAACAGTTGGAGCACCGAAACATGGGGATTACTGAGTTCGAGCCTAAGTGTGCTCATGGGACATGTAGTCCTGTCAAGGAGAGATGTTCAGCCTGCTCCCTGACGGGATATAAACAGGAAGTACTGCACAAAGAAATGAAGGGGGCAAACTTACACTTTTTTTTTTTTTAAAGCAGAAATGGCATTTGAAGTCATACAAATCTCAAAATAACAAAGCAAATACAGAATAATATCAGGTCAATCATTAATAAACTGAACAACATAATAAAACCTTCCAGCGCCATCAATTAGACAAGAAATCCAAGAGTTTCAGCCTCATTACAAAGATAACATATTACAATGCAAGCAAATAACATGGTAATTTGCACATACAAGACAATAGAAGTAGACCCACAGGAAACGGCACCCCGCTCAATGCCAGAGAATGCAGGAGAAGCAGAAGGGGGCACACTTTAGATGGGTGAATAAAAATTTACAAAGGAGGAAAAGAATAATCATTTCATTATTGATAATAAATACACTTCAAATAGAGAGCTAGCTTATAAAGCAAGGGTTTATTACTACTTTAGAGAGAAAGCATAGAGGAAGGTCCATGCTATGCAGAGATGTTTAAAATGTGTTTTGCATTCATAGACTTTAATGTGAATCCAGACTAACTGCTTGTTCTCTTTCATTAGAATGATCTGGACGATCCAGAACGGGGAATGATCTTTGTTTGCTCGGCTACACATAAAACCAAATCCATGTTTTTCTTCCTGGCTCAGACAGAGCAGGGGGACATATTTAAGATCACACTGGAGACTGATGAGGACATGGTAAGGAGTTGGTGACCAGGAGGATTGGTATTTGTACTAGTGGGCTTTGTTTTTATCTTGCTCATTGTCTGTGGTGCTCTTTCAGGTCACAGAAATCCGTCTGAAATACTTTGATACCGTTCCAGTGGCTGCAGCAATGTGTGTCTTGAAGACCGGTTTTCTCTTTGTAGCTTCGGAAATTCGGGAACCAGTAAGTGATTGTCCCCTTACCATTTTATGAATAGGCTGTGAAGCTTCAAGATGATATAAATGTTGCTGTGTGTTGTATTTTCAAACAGTACAGGCAGTTTCTACAAATTGTGATTTTCTTAGCACCAAAAAAAAAAAAAAATTCTGAGACATGTCACTAACCTTTACATTTTTAAGGCTAAGTTCAGCTTAAAGGAAAAAAATAAATGCATGTATTTTTGCAGAAAAAGTTGCATTTTATTATTTTTCTTCTATTGGTCATTGAAGGATACAGCTTAACTTCTCTTGGATGGGTTTGATGCCACCACCTTCAGGAGCAGGACGCTATGCTATTATGTTTGTGAGGCGGGATCAATGAAGTGCTTGCGTCTATTCCTGATAGTGTTGCCACTGTTTCAGGCTACAGTTCCATCATGCAATGGAAATTATAGTACATAATGGGCATGAATGTGGATTGGTACGCTTTCTGAAGGCGCGAGTGGATGTGACAAAGTAGAAATGGGGCATATTAAATGTTAACATGTTTTATTAAATTTTGGACAAAGCATACACCGTAAGGAGCTGACACTTCTGAGTGTTCCAACCCTGTCAGTTTCCTTCATGCTGCTGTCAACATCATAGCGTCTCATACTCTGATCTCCTCCTCATCAAAAAAAACATCAGCTAAGTCAGGTGATCATCCAGGAGATCCTGATTCCCACTTCTCCTCAGCATCAGCTAAGTCAAAAAAGGAGATCACGGTTAGTTCCCACTTCTCCTTCATAAACTGCTGTCAGCATCAGCTAAGTCAGGTGATGGTGGCATCCAGAGAGATCACGGTTAGTTCCCACTTCTCCTTCATATGGTCTCCTGCTGTCAGCATCAGCTAAGTCAGGTGATGGTGGCATCCAGGAGATCACGGTTAGTTCCCACTTCTCTCCTCATCATGTGGTCTCCTGCTGTCAGCATCAGCTAAGTCAGGTGATGGTGGCATCCAGGAGATCACGGTTAGTTCCCACTTCTCCTCCTTCATGTGGTCTCCTGCTGTCAACATCAGCTAAGTCAGGTGATGGTGGCATCCAGGAGATCCCGGTTAGTTCCCACTTCTCCTTCATGTGGTCTCCTGCTGTCAACATCAGCTAAGTCAGGTGATGGTGGCATCCAGGAGATCCCGGTTAGTTCCCACTTCTCCTTCATGTGGTCTCCTGCTGTCAACATCAGCTAAGTCAGGTGATGGTGGCATCCAGGAGATCCCGGTTAGTTCCCACTTCTCCTTCATATGGTCTGCTGTCAACATCAGCTAAGTCAGGCGATGGTGGCATCCAGGAGATCACGGTTAGTTCCCACTTCTCCTTCATGTGGTCTGCTGTCAACATCAGCTAAGTCAGGTGATGGTGGCATCCAGGAGATCCCGTTAGTTCCCACTTCTCCTTCATGAGGTCTCCTGCTGTCAACATCAGCTAAGTCAGGTGATGGTGGCATCCAGGAGAATCCTGGTTTGTTCCCAATTCTCCTTCATGTGGTCTCCTACTGTCAGGCATCAGCCAGATGGCACTGGGAATTCTGTCCTGGGAGCTGCACACTGTAAGCTACAGAGCAGAAACACCATCTCTTGCTCCTGTGTGTAGTTCCTAAGACAGGAACATCATGCACGTCAGTGGGGAAAGCAGAGTTGTCCTTTTATATACAGGAGCTGGGAGGTGAGTTCTCCTTCCTCTGTGTACTCCCTAACCAGCAAGTAGCCTGCCAAGTGACAATGGGACTTCTATTCTTCATTACTGGGGCATTTAGGAAGATCTGTAATTTGGTCAGTGATGAGCAGCAGAGCTTCACACTTTGCCACCTTTTACATTACTGCTTGTCACTGGCCCAGTCGCTCAGATCAAATCTTTCACTTTTTTACTCCAGATCTTTTGGACTTCTTTAAAGGAATGGGTCACCACTGTGATACAAATTAAGTTATGTTGATCCTCATACTTGGTCAGTCACATGGTCACATCTTGTAGCCCCAATCCTAATTTCCATGCATCATCTTTAAAAAAAAGACAGCTGGAGGGCGGAGGCGATTTGAAGTTTTCTATTTGCACATTTGAATGGCTGTATTAAATAAGATAATGTGCATGTAGACTGATCTTCTTTTGTGTATTAATCAAAAATCTTCTTTTTAGTTATCTCTACCAGATTGCACATCTGGGTGACGATGATGAGGAACCGGAGTTCTCCTCAGCAATGCCCTTAGAAGAGGGAGACACCTTTTTCTTCCAGCCCCGCCCACTGAAGAACCTGGTGCTGGTAGATGAGCAGGACAGTCTCTCCCCCATCATGAGCTGCCAGGTAGGTGGGCTGTAGAGGTGGCATTGATTGGGCAGTAGTGACACAATTGAGCATCTGCTGACTGCTATATATACACTATGTCTTTGCTTCGTAGATTGCTGACTTGGCCAATGAAGACACTCCTCAGCTGTATGTAGCCTGTGGCCGTGGTCCTCGTTCTTCTCTCAGGGTCCTGAGGCACGGGCTTGAGGTGAGCATTGAGTAACTGATGCCATGTGTCCCTGTAGAGGAGATTGCACCCCGATGCGTGCCATTGTCCTTAGGGGAGGGATCATACATCTCTCCAATAACTCTTTTCTCTTTAGGTGTCTGAAATGGCCGTCTCAGAGCTGCCCGGTAATCCCAACGCTGTATGGACCGTTAGACGACACATTGAAGGTATGTTGGGTGACGCTCAGTGGGTCATATGGGAAGGGGGGGGGGGCGTTAGTCTTCACGTGACCTACTATTTTCAATAAACCAGTAACTAGTCACGAACAAATCTATTTATGATCTTTATTGTTTCTATTCAATTTGGTTTGTCCTAATTCCATATCAGATCTAAGTATACCTTTCACCCAGGCACATAACTTTTAGCTTCCGTGCTGTCACCTTCAGTGTTGGGTGACAGATGCTTTTCAGATATGTCTGAAATCAATTCCAAAGATTCAGTACCCCAGCAGCTCCCCGCTGATGTCTGGGATTTTGTAAAAACAAAAAAAAATGCTGCTCCTCCTGCACAGCAGTCAACTCTGCATTAAAGTATTTAGGGGTAGAGGAATAAGCTGTAACTACCTGATCTCACCTGTCGGTGCTCATCTCTTCTTTGCGTTCCGAGTTGTGAGTGGTTCCTCTATCCTGCCCTGCGATGTTGAACTTCTGTTCCTGCATTGTATGTGGTGACTTTGGAGTGTGACTGCCAGCTAAAACACCAATGGGGAGCAGATGCATAGATGGAGAAAGCCTGCCAAAGCAAGGAATAAAGTATTATAGCTTATTTCTATATCCCTGGACTTAAAGTGGAACTCTTAGTCAGAATATTAAGTCCTGCTAGATCACGTCAGGCTAGCCCCTTTTGCAGGTATAGCTATGTAAAATGTTAAAAGGTGCTTATACTGTTTAAAATCCAGTAATACATTATCTCACCCTGCTGTGCACATGCTCAGTTGCTCTCTACTTTTAGGCACTGCCGAACTTGTAGAGCCGATCTGATGACAGCCTTAAAATGGAATTAAATCCTCCTATCCTTTAGGCCTCATTCACACCATGTGTGAAGAAAAACTGATGGAAACTGACGCACAGAGTCATCTGTTTTTTTTTTTTTTTTCAGGCGCACTTCAATGAGTTTTGAAACAGGTTGCAGGTTCCTGCGCAGAAAAAAACTACAGGTGATACTAGTGCTGTGGTGTGAACAAGGCACATAGAATACAATTGATTTCGTTGTACCCTTGCAGAATGTGTGCAGAAAAACTGACGGGTCTGCACCATGGCGTGAATGAGCCCTTACAGCCAAGGAAGCTGCTTATATTTGATCTGCAACTGCCATGGTGCTGCAGATGTGATCAGTTATGACACCGGCCATTTGATGGTTTGGCAGTTTGGTTGAGGACAGAAACAAATGTGACAGTTAGCAATCCCAGCATTCTGGGAATGTAACTGTTTTTTTTTTTTTTTTTTAAACCGTTAAATCAATATTTTTAGTTGCACTTTATGATTTTACTGCAGTTCAGGGGCGTCTGGGCTTCATCAGAACGGCAGTCTCTCCAGCAAGACAATGCTGGATGCAATTTACAGCACACACGAATTTTGGTAGCATATTTATTAATGTGGAAAGCCTGTTCCTTGCTAATGAACATTATTTTTTACCAAGTTGTTATGGGTAAAATTCTGATTTAACAAGCATTTAACCCTTGTGGGGCCCTCCGTCTGCTCTGCAAGGGTTAAATGCCAACCACTTCCCACAACAGCTACATTTTAAATCGTGACTAAACCTATCAATTTACTGTTTCAAAAACCAGTTACATTCCTGGTATGCTATGCCGGAATTGCTCTCAGGGCTCGTTCACACCATGGCGCAGTGATGTCAGTTTTCCTGCACGGGCACAACAAAATCAATTGTTCTTTATGTGCCCTGTTCACACCACAACACTAGTATCGCGTGCAGATTTTTTTCTGCGCAGGAATATGCAACTTGTTTAAAACTCATTAAAGAGCACTGATGTGTGTGCAAGTGAAATCTGTCAGTTTCCATCAGTTTTTCTGCATGTATGGTGTGAATAGGCCTCAAGTAAACTGTCAAACCCAACAAATGGCTGGTGTCATAACTGATCACGTGTGCAGCTGATTTAGTACAGACTAAGTGTCCGGTGATTATCTGCTCCTGTCCTAATTAATCTTCGAGCTCTGGAATGTGCGCTCACAGGAAGAAACTCACACTGACACACGTTCATTCTGTGTAAACTTCTAGTTTATTACAATGAGAAAGTGAGCTTATATATGAAAAATGATGCAAGAGTCATGTGAGCGCTGCACTAGCATTATTGAGCTATATATTAGTCTTTGTTTTCGTGTGAAAATTATCAATCTGCCTTCAGAATATAGGTGTGATCTCCTCCTAGGTCTGATCTCTAAAAATAAATATTTCCTTTGCTCTCAAGTTCACTCGATGGGAGGGGTTGCTGAGCAGCTATTTTTCAGTTAAGGAGGACTACAAAGACCAGCAGGCAAAAGATATACACGCTATATATATATATATATATATATATATATATATATATATTCATACAAAACATTTAGAAGTATAAAAGTAGATATGTATAGACAAATTTATATATTCAACAGGAAACCAAATAGGCATTTTACCATATCCATCACACAGCATCATGACAACTGTTGATCAAACAGAGGCTAAGATGGCAGCTTTGCCTCTGCAGTTGTCATGGTGCTGCACACGTGATCAGGTACGACACCAGCCGTTTGATGGGCTCGGTAATTGCTCCTTTTTATATGAATAACACTCCATGCTTACCGTGATAATTAAAACACATTTCAGAAATAAAATCCCCACAATAAATTATAATCCCTTATCAATGTGTTGTATAGCAGGTGAGATTCAGTTGTGTAAGGTTAGTCTGTGTGTGTATATAGTCTTTTATTTTTGTAAGATGCCTGTCAGTGGTCAGCATATTGCAGTGTGTCCTTAAGATTGCTGTCCATCCAAAACCTTCATTAGTTTGGGATTGACTATGGAAGAATGAAAAGCCATGTCGGGTTCCTACTGCTATTTGGAGCTCTGTTTTTATATTTTACCTCACTTCCTGTCTGGTATAATTGTTGTCACCAATTGCGTAAGTGAGGGGAAAAGAGACAGATAAAAATATTTCTTCTCACTTCCTGTCTGGTAAAAACCCTTGTCACCGGGACAGGAAATGAGGGGAAAGTCCTTAACAGAGCCTTGCATAGCAGTAAAAACCTAATTGGGTTTTAATCATTCCCACTCCATCTAAAATTAAAACTTTTGGCTAGACACTTTAAAGATATTTTTTTTTTTTTTTTTTTTTTTTTTTTTACTGGGAGAATATGAAGGCTGCCATTGATAACCAGTCCTCAAAAAAATGCCAGGTTCCCTGGCCTCTATGCTAATCCAGAGATTTCAGTACTTAGGCACTGACCTAAAATCAGTAATCGGATCAGGAGCTCTGCAGGCCTGTTTGTGAAGGTGCTGGAGGCAGCCAGACGATTGGAATTCTTAGAAATACATCCGCAATGGCATCCTTCATATTTCTCCCAGTTCAGTTTTGTTTTAAGGAGTTTTTCCAGCAAGCTCTGATTTGTGATTGGAGAGAGGGGAGAACAGGGTGCCGGTAATGCTGCCTGATCAGGTCTGCATCTTCATCCTATTGACGTGTGTGTTGGGGGGGGGGGTACAGAGGGGCAGATGTGCAAGCAGGGGGGGGTGGACAGAGGGGCAGATGTGCAAGCATGGGGGGCGGACAGAGGGGCAGATGTGCAAGCATGGGGGGCGGACAGAGGGGCAGATGTGCAAGCATGGGGGGGGGGGCGGACAGAGGGGCAGATGTGCAAGCATGGGGGGGGGGGGGGGGGTGGTACAGAGGGGCAGATGTGCAAGCATGGGGGGCGTACAGAGGGGCAGATGTGCAAGCATGGGAGGCGTACAGAGGGGCAGATGTGCAAGCATGGGGGGGGGGGGTACAGAGGGGCAGATGTGCAAGCATGGGGGGGGGTACAGAGGGGCAGATGTGCAAGCATGGGGGGGGGGGGGTACAGAGGGGCAGATGTGCAAGCATGGGGGGGGGGGGGTACAGAAAGGCAGATGTGCAAGCATGGGGAGCGGACAGAGGGGCTGATGTGTATGTATCTAAGGTACAGAGGGGTGGACGTGTGTATATCTGGGGATACAAGGGGCACTGACATTGCACGCTTCCCTCCCCAGCTCACAGATCAGGACTCGCTGACCACATAGGACTGTTGGGTGCAGTTGCTGGTTACTTCCTCGGCTCTGTGCTATGTCTGGAGCAGGAAGCTGTAACTTCTTGTGATTTGTTGTCGTCATCTTCTTCAGCACATACTAACTCTGGCTGGTACTTGGTGATAACACCCTCCCAATACCAAGCCTTTCTGTTTCTTCCACAGGTGTGTGCTGGTGGAGGAGGTGATGGTAAATAACCCCCCTCCACACATACAGGTGTGTATAGATCTCTTCTCATGTTGCGTGTTACCAGGCCCTGACATGTTTTTGGAAGCCCAGTGTTGCAGTTGTTGAAGATCTGAAGAGAGGCTGGGCTTGTAAAATGATCGTTCCAGATGCTTCAGTCTGCTGACAAGTTCCTAAATAGCTCCATATTTTCACATTCATAACTTTGGCTGTACATTTCAATGTATTGTGTAGTATGTGGAGAGAGTACAGAGACCTTTCAGCCATTGCTGATCTCATCAGAGATGATGCTGTACAGCCCACACTTAGTGTGTTCTCTGATGATTGATACTTATAGATTTATTTTGTGCTCTTGATTATTGATAGAACTATGGTTTCCTTCTGAACAAACTTGGCGCCTTCTCGATATTTAGGAGGTTGTGCCAGGTTCCATAGAGCACATTTATATACATACAGTTGTGTTTAAAATAATAGCAGTGTGTTGAAAAAAGTGAATAAAGCTCAAAATCCTTCTAATAGCTTTTATTTCCATCCACACAAATGCATTGGGAACACGACACATTCTATTCCAAATCAAAACATGAAGAAAAATATATCAAATTTGTGGTGTTCCTCTAAAAAAATGAAAGAAAAGTGAATATTAGACGGTTCAAAAAAATCGCAGTGTTTGTATTCTTCTTTACAAACTCCAACATTCACTATATAAACTGAAAAATGTTTGAAGATTTTGCTTTCCTTTGAATCACTTAATGAATATTTGGTTGTAGTCGCACTGTTTCTGAGAACTGCTGTAGATCTGTGTTGCATGGAGTCACCCAACTTCTGGCCCCTGTGATCAGGTATTCCAGCCCAGGATGATTGGTCCACATTCCAGAGTTCTTCTCTATTTCTTGGTTTTGCCTCAGAAACGGCATTTTTGATGTCACCCCACAAGTTTTCTATTGGATTAAGATCCGGGGATTTGGCTGGCCACTCCATAACGTCCATCTTGTTGGTCTGGAACCAAGATGTTGCACGTTTACTGGTGTTTTTGGGGTCGTTGTCTTGTTGGAACACCCATTTCAAGGGCATTTCCTCTTCAGCATAAGGCAGCATGACCTCTTCAAGTATTCTGATGTATTCAAACTGATCCATGATCCCTGGTATGCGATAAATAGGCCCAACACCGTAGTATGAGAAACATCCCCATATCATGATGCTTGCACCACCATGCTTCACTGTCTTCACAGTGTACTGTGGCTTGAATTCAGTGTTTGGGGGTCGTCTGACAAACTGTCTCCAGCCACTAGACCCAAAAAGAACAATCTTACTTTCATCAGTCCACAAAATGTTGCGCCATTTCTCTTTAGGCCAGTCAATGTGCTCTTTGGCAAATTGTAACCTCTTCAGCACATGTCTTTTTTTCAACAGTGGGACTTTGCGGGGGCTTCTTGCAGATAGCTTGGCTTCACATAGGCGTCTTCTAATTGTAACAGTCCTCACAGGGAACGTCACACCTTCTTTGATCTTCTGGAGCTGATTGTTGGCTGAGTCCTTGCCATTTTGGCTATTCTTCTATCCATTCAAATGGTAGTTTTTTGCTGTCTTTCAGGTTTTGGTTGCCATTTTAAAGCATTTGCGATCATTTTAGCTGAGCAGCCGATCATTTTCTGCACTTCTTTATATGTTTTCCCCTCTCCAATCATTTTTTTTTAATCAAGGTACGCTGTTCTTCTGAACAATGTCTGGAACGACCCATTTTCCTCAGAATTTCAGAGAGAAATGCACTGTAACCAGCATGTACAACATTTGCTGCCTTCCTTCCTTAAATAAGGGCAATAATTGCCACCTGTTTTTCAAAGAATGAATGACCTCACTAATAGAACTCCACACTGCTATTATTTTGAACACGCCCCTTTCAATGAGTGATTCAATGACACAGAATCGGCAGCATGCATGTCATGACTGTTGGGTCTGTTGGATTTCTATTACTCTACTACACCTGCTAGTAAATTATTTGCCATGTAGAAATATCATTTCTACCAAAAACAGTGATTGATCCGGTTAGTGATGTCTGACTGCTATTATTTTGAACACAACTGTATATCCTTGTGTTTGTTTCTGGCAGAGTGTTGCATTATGGGGCAGTCCAGGCAACACCAGCAATGGTTTAAATATATAGAAGACTGATCAGTTTTCTGGTTAAAAGTACTGATTAAAAATTAACCCCTTGCCAGTCAAGGTAGAGTTTTTTGTTTTTTTTTTTTTTTTTTTTTGTTTTTGACCTTGATATGTTGTGTAATGTACAGTGACTGATACAGCAATGCATGTGGCCAGTCTATGACTCTTCTGAGGTTGGTCTGATTTGGGCTTTTCCTGCGCTCCTCTTTACAGATGAGTACGATGCATATATCATAGTATCCTTCGTTAACGCCACACTGGTACTTTCTATCGGTGAGACTGTAGAAGAAGTGACGGACTCCGGATTTCTCGGGACGACCCCAACTCTGTCCTGCTCTCTGCTGGGGGAGGATGCCTTGGTGCAGGTAAGATCCTAGAGGAGATGGATGATTGGCCTGCAAACACATGATCCTTGATAATATTGGGGGGGGGGGGGTTAGATACCTGCACAGCCAAGAAACAAACCAAGTGCAACTCGCCTGGTTCAGTAGTAAACCCTGTCCAAGCCCCTGCCTGAAACTGCATAATCCTTCTTTTGAAAGTGGCCCTTTGGGCTCCTCTTCTGCCGTAGTCCCATTCCTTCCTATAGCAATCAGTACTCCTGGTTAACTTCAGCAGGCTGGTGGAGCACAGTTGTCTCCATATGTGTGGAATTGGTTATGAAGGGGTCCCTGTGGTGATGCTTTTTGTAGCTCCTGACAGGGACAAAAGGAAAGTATGGGCCCCTGTTGGGGGGGGGGAGGTTATGCCTTAAAGGTCAGCTTGTACCAAACCAGCACTAATGCAGATCACTGTTGGGAGAGGTACCGTCACTTTCTACCTCCAGGAGGAGGCTGAGGAGAAGTGGCCACACAGTTCATAAAATAATACTTCAACACGTTCCTGACTCTTGAAGTCAAAAGAATTGCATAAAATGTTTTTGATTTATTTCAGGGAAAGGGTTGTGTTTTTTGTTTTTTTGAAGGAACGCTGGGATGCTTTTGTTTCCTGTCCTAGATGTCAATAGCTCTTGATGAAGGAGTTCTGCAGCATCTGTGTGTTTTTACTCTAGGTGTATCCTGACGGAATCCGTCACATCCGTGCAGACAAGAGAGTCAATGAGTGGAAGACTCCGGGGAAAAAGATGATTGTGAAGTGTGCGGTCAACCAGCGGCAGGTGGTGATTGCCCTGACCGGAGGGGAGCTCGTCTACTTTGAGATGGACCCCGTATGTACACCTTTCTTGTATACACCATATTACCTGCTTCGGAGACCCCCGCTCTCACTTTCCTGCAACCATATTACCTGCTTCTGAGACCCCTGCTCTCACTTTCCTGTAACCATATTACCTACTTCTGAGACCCCCCGCTCTCACTTTCCTGCAACCATATTACCTGCTTCTGAGACCCCCGCTCTCACTTTCCTGCAGCCATATTACCTGCTTCTGAGATCCCCGCTCTCACTTTCCTACAACCATATTACCTGCTTCTGAGACCCCCACTCTCACTTTCCTGCAACCATATTACCTGCTTCTGAGACCCCCACTCTCACTTTCCTGCAACCATATTACCTGCTTCTGAGACCCCGCTCTCACTTTCCTGCAACCATATTACCTGCTTCTGAGACCCCCCCGCTCTCACTTTCCTGCAACCATATTACCTGCTTCTGAGACCCCTGCTCTCACTTTCCTGCAACCATATTACCTGCTTCTGAGACCCCCGCTCTCACTTTTCTGCAACCATATTACCTGCTTCTGAGACCCCGCTCTCACTTTCCTGCAACCATATTACCTGCTTCTGAGACCCCCCCGCTCTCACTTTCCTGCAACCATATTACCTGCTTCTGAGACCCCCGCTCTCACTTTCCTGCAACCATATTACCTGCTTCTGAGACCCCCGCTCTCACTTTTCTGCAACCATATTACCTGCTTCTGAGACCCCCGCTCTCACTTTTCTGCAACCATATTACCTGCTTCTGAGACCCCCGCTCTCACTTTCCTGCAACCGTATTACCTGCTTCTGAGACCCCCGCTCTCACTTTCCTGCAACCGTATTACCTGCTTCTGAGACCCCCGCTCTCACTTTCCTGCAACCGTATTACCTGCTTCTGAGACCCCCGCTCTCACTTTCCTGCAACCGTATTACCTGCTTCTGAGACCCCCGCTCTCACTTTCCTGCAACCGTATTACCTGCTTCTGAGACCCCCGCTCTCACTTTCCTGCAACCGTATTACCTGCTTCTGAGGCCTCCTTGACCTCCACCTCACTTGAACTGTATTACCTGCTTCTGAAACCCTCAGCCTTCATCTCCCGTTTACCTCTATTGTTTGAGACTCTCGACTTCCACCTCACTTTTTTTCCTTCCCCAGTCAGGGCAGCTGAATGAGTACACAGAGCGGAAGGAGATGTCTGCCGATGTGGTGTGTATGAGTCTGGCCAATGTGCCACCAGGGGAGCAGCGATCGCGCTTCTTGGCTGTTGGTCTTATAGATAACACGGTCCGGATAATTTCTCTGGACCCTTCGGTGAGTCCTGGTTGCTGTTTGATGTATTGCAGCCGTTTATGTGGATTTCTTGTTGTGGTAGGCAGCTGCCATGCTCCTGTCCCTCCTACTGAGTGATTTGTCCTTCTCTTCCTCCAGGACTGTCTGCAGCCTCTCAGTATGCAGGCTCTCCCTGCCCAGCCCGAGGCCCTCTGTATAGTGGAGATGGGAGGTGCAGAGAGACAAGATGAGCTGGGAGAACGAGGCTCCATTGGCTTTCTCTACCTTAACATAGGACTTCAGGTGAGAGGTGGATGGGATCACAAACTGCATGTGGTGGTGCAAATAAAAAGATCAGAGCTCATGGAATTACTGTCCAGCATGGATACCTTTTTTGGTTTTAGGTTTTCTAATTGTTCATTTATTAATAAGACTTTAAAGCCTTGCAGAGTTTACATCAGTTTTCATGCGTGTCTCAGTGAGGTTTATACACGTTTGCAGATTCCTGCTCAGAAAAAATCTGCATGTGATACAAGTTGTGGTGTGAACAGGGCACATAGAGAACACATTTTATTTTTTTCTTTTTGGCCCTTGGAGAACTCATGCGAAAATACTGACATCTCTGCATCATGTTGTGAATGAGGCCTAAGTGCCAAAGGTTTCTTACCTAATACCATTTTGTTTTATACTTCTCACCGTAATTTGCTGATTCTTTGGTTGTTCAGCATTCATCCTCTCTCTTTGCTTGTCTGTACGTTCTGCCATAAATGTCATTTTGCAAAGAGAATCCGCTTTGCCTTTAAACTGAAACTTCAAATGCTGGAACTGCACTGCAGTATTGGCGGCTGTTTTATATCTCTGTATCTCCTGGCTTTCAATAGAGGGAGCTCATTGTACAACCAGAGGCAAACTGCTTATATATCTGGATAAAGTCTCTCTAATCTTCCGTTCACATCCTTGCTGGACAAGATGTAAATCACTACTGGACTGATGGAAGAGATTCTAGTTTATGAGCAAAGCCGATTTTTTTTTTTTTTTTTTTTTTTTTTTTTTTTTTTTTCCCTAGCAATTCAGGGCAAAGTGATACTAAAGTCTTTTGGTTTGGTTTTTTTTTTATAATAACAAACCTTTTTTTTTTTTTCTGCTCTTTGCATTGGTTTTGTACAGAGCAGACCGGATCTTTCTTTTCTCTGGTCCCCCGCTGGCTCTTCTGGCCCCACCATCCTTTCGGGTGCCCAATAGCAAATCGCTTGCTATGGGGGCACCTGAGCAGGCACGCTTCTGACTCGTGGCTTTGCATGTCCTTTCACAAACAGAGCCATGGCTCAGCTTTGCCCCCTCCCTCTCCTGATTGGCTCACTGGCTGTGATTGACATCAAGAACGAAAGTCCCCAGAGAATAGAGGCTCTCGTGGATATTGCTGGATCAGGATTGTTTGTTTTTTTTTAAAATAACAAACGTGTCCTTTTTTTTTTTTTTTTTTAACTGCTCTGTGCAGTGGTTTTGCACAGAGCAGCCCCATATCCTCCTTTTCTCGGGTCCCCCGCCGGCACTCCTGGCCCCACCATCCTGTCAGGTGCCTCGATAGCAAATTGCTTGCTATCCCCCATATCACCCGAGCATGCACGCTTCTGAGTCGTGGCTTTGCGTGTCCTTTCACAAATAAAGCCGTTGCTTGGCCTCACCCCCTCCCTCTCCTGATTGGCTCACTGGCTGTAACTGACATCAAGAGCGAGAGTCCCCAGAGAACCGAGGCTCTCGTGGACATTGCTGGATCAGGATGGGGCTGAGGTAAGTGTTGGGGAGGGGCTGCTACACACAAGGTTTTTTTTACCTTCATGCCTACAATGCCTGAATTTTGATCGCCCCAGATGTTGACCCCATCCTGCCCAGTGCACTTAGTAAAGTGTCAGTGCTTTTTCTTAGCCATTGTCACTGTATTGGTGTCATTGGGGATGTCAGTGACACCAAGTCAGTTCCCCCCAGTGTCAGAATGCCCACCACAGTCCCGCTATAAGTCGCAGATCGCTGCCATTACTAGTAAAAAAAAAAAAAAAAAAAAGTAACTGACGAAATTTTTTTTTTTTTTTTTTTAAACATTTTTACTGGACATGCTTAATAGTAAAAAGTCAAAAATGTTTTTTTTTTCTTTCTGAAAATTGTTGGTCCTTATTTATTTATTTTTTTAATAGCGCAAAAAATAAACACACAGGCGATCAAATACCACCGAAAGAAAGCTCTATTCATGGGAGAGAAATAAAGGACGTAAATTTTGTTTGGGTGCAGCGTTGCATGACCGCGCAATTGTCAGATTAAGTAACGCAGCGCCGTAATGCAAAAAAATGGCCTGGTCAGGAAGGGGGGTAAATTCTCTGGAGGGCAAGTGCTTAAAGCAGCAAATACACTATTGCTATGAAAATGTCGTCATGTCGTAGCACTACCGCTTTTTACAATGCACCAAAAATATTTAGCAATAGCTGTGCACCGGGAACAAGTTCTCAGCACGTCCCTTGTTAAATGATCGTGTTATGTCTGCAAAATAATGGCAAAATGCTTCTTCTCATCATAGAACGGAGTACTGCTAAGAACCGTGTTAGACCCGGTAACAGGAGACTTGTCTGATACCAGGACCCGGTAACTTGGGGTCACGGCCTGTCAAACTTTTCCGAGTCAGGATGCAAGGTCAGGAGGCGGTGAGTATCTGTGAGCACTCGTGTCTCTATTTTGCTCTAGTCTCCCATGCATTGTTAAATTTGAATTCTTTTCCTGCGCTTGCATAAGTTTCCTTCCTTCCACACTCCAAAGTTATGCTTTATTTGGCTCAGCTGAGAGCACCCAAGTTGGCAGCCTCACCTCCTTAAGCACTTTGAGACCCCAGGGAAAAAAGTGCTATAAAAGTACAAACTTTAAAAAAGTATACAGGGTGCTGTATTGTGCATTGCACATCACCTGCCAGTGCGACAGAAACCACAATGCAGAAGTAAACACTGGGGGAGATTTACTAAAACTGGTGCACACATAATCTGGGCAGCTGTGCATGGCAGCCAATCGGCTTCTAACTTCAGCTTGTTCAATTAAGCTTTGACAATAAAACATAGAAGCTGATTGGTTTCTATGCAGAGTTGCCAGATTTTACATGCTCCAGTTTTAGGAAATCAACCCATATATGAGCTGCCATCAAGCGGTTTCATTTTCTAACATATATGTCAGAAAATGTGGGCAGCATTCTGTATTTCTCCTCGCTGGCTTGAAGCACAAGTCAGCTGTTCCTTCTCGGCCATATTCTCTACAGACTTCTATCTAGCAGTCCTGCATTCTCTTTTGGTTCTCTCCTCCTCCACAGGCCTTTTTGTTGTAGGGTTGAATCTTTAACTTTGTTCTCTTTCCATGGCAGGTGCTCGCCATGTCCAGTCGCTCCTGGCTCAGCTATTCTTACCAGTCCCGCTTTCACCTGACACCGCTGTCCTATGAGACTCTGGAATACGCATCTGGCTTTGCGTCTGAACAATGTCCGGAGGGTATTGTAGCAATCTCGACCAACACACTGAGGTAAGGTAGCTTACAAAGCAAATTTGTATTTTTCAATAGTCTGTACCAGGGCTGTGGAGTCGGTAGATAAATGTTCCGACTCCTCAGTTTTTTTTGTACTTCCGACTCCGACTCCTCTGTATTAATATGCGAATGTATTTTATACATTCTTTGAAGGAAAGAAAGGCAACATACATGTCATTACCACAGGACTACTGGCTGGGAAGCCAACAGTCTACTGCAGCGTTTTTCAACCACTGTGCCGCGGCACACTAGTGTGCCGTGAGATATTGTCTGGTGTGCCGTGGGAAAAATTCCAATTTCATCTGTAACATGTGGCTTCGGCTCACAAATAGACCAATCATTAGAATCTAATGATTCAGTGGTCGGCAAGCCGCGGCTCGCGAGCCACATGCGGCTCTTTACCCAGTCTAATGCGGCTCTTCTGTGTGCCGGGCGCCTGCTCCCCTCCCTCCTCTCGGTCGGCCGCTCCCCTGCCTCCTCTCGGTTGGCAGCCCCAAAAGTCCGCGCGGACCTTTTAATCCGGCTTGCGGATGTGGCTGTCAGGATGTGTGTAGGCGGGGCAGCGTGCCGAACGTGAGGGGAGGGGAGCTAGGCTCCTCTCACAGTCCGCCCCTGAAGACCCGAACGGCGCGGGAAGACAGCGAGACGCAAAAGGTAAGTGAATTGACACGGGGGACTTGGCTTACTAGAAGGGGGGGGGGGGAATAGTACTGTGGGGGATGAAATACAAATGAGGGATGAATTACTTTATGAGGGATGAAATACTATATGGGGGGATGAAATACTATATGGGGATGAATTACTATATCAGGGATGAATTACTATATGAGGGATGAAATACTATATGGGGGATGAAATACTATATGGGGGGATGAATTACTATATGGGGGATGAATTACTATATGAGGGATGAAATACTATATGGGGGGATGAAATACTATATGGGGGATGAATTACTATATGGGGGATGAATTACTATGGGGGATGAATTACTATGGGGGATGAATTACTATGGGGGATGAATTACACTATAGATGAATTACACTATGGGGGATGAATTACTATATGGGGGATGCTTACTATGGGGGATGAATTACTATGGGGGATGAATTACTATATGGGGGATGAATTACTATATGGGGGATTAATTACTATGGGGGATGAATTACTATATGGGGGGATTAATTACTATGGGGGATGAATTACTATGGGGGATTAATTACTATGGGGGATGAATTACTATGGGGGATGAATTACTATATGGAGGATGAATTACTATGGGGGATGAATTACTATGGGGGGATTAATTTACTATGGGGGATGAATTACTATATGGGGGATTAATTACTATGGGGAATATTACTATACTTACTATGGATGACACATACACATCATTCATCTACTCTTGGTCCGGCCCCCGGGTCCAATTACTTTATTTTTTCATAATAAAGTAATTATAAAATAATTTCTTTGTGTTTGATTCCTATTCAAGAGAATTACTTTATATATAGTCAATATAGGCACAGAGGTAAATTTTTTTAACATTTTCTAATGGTGGTGTGCCTCGTGATTTTTTTCATGAAAAAAGTGTGCCTGCCTTTGCACAAAAAAGGTTGAAAAACACTGGTCTACTGTATTGAACAGTTTAAGCAAAAGACAAACACAATGAAAACAACAGTTTTTATTATTTTTTTTTTTTATTAATTAATCAAGTGGCTGGATAGTAGCAGCAGGCATAAACATCAGGAACAGGAACTTTACCAGTCCAAAAATACAAACCACATTATTTGGTTGTATTAGAACAAAAACAAAGCTTATCTATATGAACCAAAAACAAAATCTGTAAAAACACTATGGAAAGTACAAGTATTGCCGCTCCTAATTGTGCGTTGCGTGCCACATAGTGAAGCACATGAAAAGCATGCTTCTTCACGGTCACTTAACGTGTTCGTTTTGCGGTTACGTGAGGCACTGCATGCATTGGTCTTTATTCTTACAGTAGAGAAGTCATTAATTATAACTTTTTGTGAATTGGGACTTTTAAACTTGCTTTTTTTTTTTTTTTCCAATCTAAATTTAATCGGAGTCGGAGCATTGTTTGCCGACTCCGACTCCAGGTACCCAAAATTTTCCTCCCGACTCCACGACTCCGACTCCACAGCCCTGGTCTGTACATAGCAGCACATTACTTGTGATTTACCTTTTTACAGATTTATATTAGTTTACATTTTTGAAGCAGTACAGTTTAAAGGGCTAGTTCACATTTACCAAAAAAAAACTGCCTGTGCAGGTAAGGGGCACTTGTTGATTAAAACAAATTGTGCAGCATTGACTAATGTTGGGTAATACCCTTGCTATAGGTGTGGACCATTTGCCTTCCTCCTAAACCGTGAATGGAGAGACTCCAGAGATGGCATCATCCCTTCCTGGCATGTTGCTAGGACATTGCTAAGACACTCCCTGCCGATACTGCTTACCCCCACCACTATAGAAGTCAGCTTTCACACCCCCGCATATGTGTAGTTCAATATCTCCCATCACCGCATTGCTTTGCTCAGAGCTGAAGAAAGAGGGGCCGGGAATGTCTTGGCAACTTGCTAGCTATAAGGCAGGACAGGATGATGACTTTTCTTGGAGGTTTTTTCTCAGGCAGATTTCAGGAGGTACGTAAATGGCCTATGCCTATAGCAAGAGCATTATTCAACTTTGTTCAGAGCGGCAAAGTTTTTCTATTGTTATGATCTAACCCTCTAAATAAACTTACATATCGCAGGACAAAAGATCCAAAACCTTTTTAGGAGGATGAAGTAAGAGTAGGGAAAGGATTAGAGGGGTAAGAAGGACCCAGAGTAAGGAAGTACAAGTGGATGGGTTTTGGGGGGAGGGAGGGTTTCTTCTTTTTCTCCTTCTTTTTCTTCTTTTTCTTCAATGGGAAAGGGCCAAGGTAGCTGTGCTGTGTGGCCAGCAGAAGCCAAGAGCTCTGTAACACAATATTGTGTCAATAATAAAGTTGCCGTCAGCACTTCATGCATCTTTCTCACACACACCCTTAGTGACAGGAGTGGTGGATTTCCAATGTCTAGGTTTGAATACCCTAACAGCTGTGAGGAAGAACCTGAGGCAGCTCTTCTTGTTTTGAGGCTATTCCTTTTTGTTGAACTGTGTTTTTCGTCTTTCTCTGCAGAATTTTGGCGTTGGAGAAGTTGGGTGCGGTGTTTAATCAGGTGGCATTCCCTCTTCAGTATACACCACGCAAGTTTGTCATTCACCCTGAGAGTCACAATTTGATCATTATAGAAACTGATCACAATGCTTACACGGAAGCCACCAAGGCTCAGCGCAAACAGCAGATGGCAGAGGTGAGTGAATGGGAGGGATACATGAAAGATTGCCAACTGCTACGCATTTGTGTGATAATGAGGACACGTCCACTTGGTGCCTTTGCCATCTGAGGCACTCCCAAAATACTTTGATTTTGTACAAAATTCAATTTCCCTGAGCTTAATGAAATTCATTTTTTTTTTTTTTTTTTTTTTTTTTTGTAGGAAATGGTGGAAGCTGCAGGAGAGGATGAACGAGAGCTGGCAGCAGAAATGGCGGCCGCATTCCTGAACGAGAACTTGCCCGAATCAATTTTTGGAGCTCCGAAAGCAGGCAATGGGCAGTGGGCATCGGTGATCAGGGTGCTGAATCCCATCCAGGGAAACACACTGGACCTGGTACAGCTGGAGCAGAATGAGGCAGCGTTCAGGTTGGTTGATCAGTTTAGTTCATTGTGTTGTAGTTCATTTGACAACTGTTCTGCCTGGTAGCGGTTTTAAAATCCATCTTCTTGTCTGCAGTGTGGCCGTGTGTGTCGGTTCAGTAAACACTGGGGAGGATTGGTATGTCTTGGTAGGCGTGGCGAAAGATCTTATACTGAACCCGCGTTCAGTTGCCGGAGGATTGGTGTACACCTACAAGCTGATAAACAATGGAGAGAAACTGGAATTTGTACACAAGGTATGTGAAGATAAATGTGAGTGTTGGGAGTGTCTGCCTTGTGTCAGTATGGGGCTTTTCTGCCTTGGGAGCGCATCTGCGTTTTGTGAGCAGGGCAGTGTCAGCCCCATGGGATGATTCCCTGACTGAACTGACTCTTCTCCACCCAGACCCCTGTGGAGGAAGTTCCAGCCGCTATTGCACCCTACCAAGGACGAATCCTGATAGGGGTGGGCAAACTGCTGAGGATCTATGACCTGGGAAAGAAGAAGCTTCTGAGGAAGTGTGAAAACAAGGTGAGTGTGAGAGCTTCACCATGATAAACTTTCCATTTGTGCTCATAGGTTGGATCTAATTATATTTTTTATAATTTTTTTGTTTTTAAGCATGTTCCAAACTTCATCGTGGGGATCCAAACCATCGGACACAGAGTGATTGTGTCAGATGTCCAGGAGAGCTTCTTCTGGGTGCGGTATAAGCGGAATGAGAACCAACTGATAATATTTGCTGATGACACATACCCCCGCTGGGTGACCAACTCTTCTCTGCTGGACTATGAAACGGTTGCTGGGGCAGACAAGTTTGGAAATATCTGTGTGGTGAGTTGAAACTATCAACCCCACAGGGAAAAGTGTTGGATTTGGAGGGGTAGGGTGGAGCTTTCAGATATCACAAATGCAATGCCTTCCTAACTCTTTCTTGGTCAGAACTCGTAGCCAATACCAAACTTAGCAATCAAGTATGTGTTGGCTAACCTATCAAGAGCGGACTGATTTGCCAACTAAAGCTGTTCACAAGCTAATGTTCTCTCACCACAATAAACTGCTGAGGAATATTAATCTGCAGATTGCAGACATCTCGGTGTTGAAGTCTTCATTTTTTTTCTCATGGTAGCTGCAGGATGAAGAGCTGTGATCCTGTAGTTCCTGCAGGAGTGCAATATATTGGGGATCATGGGTCAGAGGACCTGGATCTTTCATACATGACCACATTAGTGACAAAAAGAGTAATCTCTGCACAGTGGCAGGCACAACCTAATAAGACTTGAATTGGAATAAAATCTATCCTTTCGTGTGACTAAGGCAGGGTGGATAAAAAAATCAATGATTTTTTTTAAAAAATCTGATTTTTTTTTATTTAAATCGGATTTTTTTAAATAAAATGCTTTTTGAGGAAAATAAATTACCATCCAAAGGTTATTCCATCATGAAATAAAGATTAGTTTTTTAATTATGTAGAATAAGGCTGTATATGTTTAATTTTTTTGGTAAATAAATTCCATGAATCCATTCACAATGTCATGCTCTTCCAGAGGTTTCTGTAAGATTATTGGGCAGTTTCTCTGCCTACAAGATATTATCACAGATGATTGGTTTACTTTTGCAGTTCTCAAAACTTAATTTGACTCAGCGGAGATCACATGCCTCTTCTTCACAGCAAAAATGTTATAACATCAACAGAGTTAAGAAAAAGACCTTCATCCTAACTTCTACAAACCTATGAATACAGAATCAACCCCTTCACTGCTAAGTTTCAAGAAGTTCAGTGAATAGAATAGAAACAATATTTTTTCTGATTGTTTGGAGTGGAATAGATCTGCACAAGAAGAAAGTGAAACTAAGTGTGAGGAGGAAGGGGCTGACAGTCTAAGTTTCATAAAATATATATATTTTGTTTTTAGCCAAATTAGTTACCAAACATGGATGTTTAAGCAAATCACATATGCTGGAATGTTATTGTTTCAGTTGAATAAATCTATTTAAATTGTTATTTAAGGTAATGATTATTTTTCTCCTTCCTAAGTACAACAGAAAAGTTGTCCAAATATGAATGATTAACCTATTAAACTGGGGATAAAAAAACTAATATGTAAAGTTGTTATTCTAAAAATCTTCATCGACTTGCATATTAAAGTTATACCAGCAAGAATTAGTCTTTATGTAGAAAACTAGGATTTAAATCAAGCCTTACTGACTAGTGATTTAAATCAAATCCACCCTGGACTAAGGAGATTTGCATCTTTGAGTATTTGAGTTGTGATTGCCTGAGCAACTGAATTATCTCATGTACTTTATGGTTCTTCAAAGGTTCGTCTACCTACCAACACAAATGACGATGTTGATGAAGATCCTACTGGTAACAAGGCACTGTGGGACAGGGGACTTCTCAATGGAGCGTCTCAGAAGGTAATTCCTCTCTGTTTTGTAGTTCACCAGCTGGGTATTTTGCACATGTCAGAACTGTGTCCTGATTGTTCCACTGTTCCTGTCCTTTCAGGCCGAGGTGATCGTTAACTATCATGTAGGAGAGACTGTGCTATCACTGCAAAAGACCACCCTGATTCCTGGAGGATCTGAGTCCTTGGTCTATACCACTCTATCAGGCGGAATTGGAATCCTTGTCCCCTTTACGTCTCATGAGGTACATACATAGCCAGTTTTCAGTGGCACGTTGATCTGCATAATTTCTTATTCCTATCACTGCCAGAGCCTTTTTTTTTTTTTTTTTTTTTGTGTGTTTTTGCACATATGTTTAAAATGTTTTCAGCCTGAAGATTACATGAAACCCCCAAAACATATTTTTCTGAAAGCAGACACCCGAGAAAATTAAAATAGTGGTAGTTCCAATTTTTTATGAAACACAATATTATCACAAAGGTCTAGGAAACCCTAAGTTTCAGTAAAATTTAGGGTACACAAATGCAATAAATTAACAAATTCTTTGTTAAAATAAAAAAGACGAGGTTGTAGTGAGTAAATAGATACCTAACATGTCAAACTTTTAAAACTTTGTGTGCGCCCCCGTAAAATGGTGACAAACTTTAGTACCCTTTTTGTATAGGTGACACTTTTTAAAAGTCCCCAATAGGTCATCAGTTTAGCGTTCTGGAGGAGGTCTGGTGCTGGAATTATTGCTCTCACTCTGGTGTGCGTGGCAGTAAATAATGTGTATTGCAATTGACGTTTTCATGCGTGGGTGCCCCCAGCATGTGCATTTTAAGTTTTGTATGTGTGGGTGGGAGGGCCTCAATTCATTGCGGGGTGTTTTTTGTTCCCTCTCCCCCCCCCCCAATCACACAGCAGACAAAAAAGGGGGAAACTGACATGGAGACCCTGAAGTGGTGTCAAACATGTCTCTTTCTAGGTCAGCAACAAGGAAGGAAGGAAGGCAAGCGTAAACCTGTACTGAAATAACATATGAAACCATTTGCATATTTTACCTAATTTAAAAAAAAAAAAAACAAAACTGCTTGGCTTCTGTGCTTCCTTTGTCACTATTACGGGACACATTATTATTATTCAGTATTTATAAAGCGCCGATAGTTCGCTCAGCGCTGTACATTACAAAGGGGGACAGAACATGTGACAGAACAACAACAATACAATGCAAAACATGAGGGGATCGAGGGCCCTGCTCTTTCGAGCTTACAATCTAGGAGGGAGGGGATGGTGGCACAGGAGGAGATAGCTGTGGGGGATGGAGTGGTAGGAAGAGTGGAGGAGGTCGGCAAGTTAGTAGGGGGGTGGGGTAGGCTTCCCTGAAGAGATGGGTTTTCAGGGTGCGCCTAAAGGAGTGGAGAGTAGGTGATAATCTGATGGGTTGGGGCAGGGAGTTCCAGAGGATGGGTGACACCCTGGAGAAGTCCTGGAGGCGGGCATGGGAGGAGGAGGAGACCAGGGAACTAGAGAGAAGGAGGTCTTGTGAGGAGCGGAGTGTGCATGCTGGGTGGTACTTGGATATTAGGTCAGTGATGTAGTTCGGGGCTATGGTGGACGGCTTTGTACGTCGGTGTTAGGATTTTGAATTATACATATACACATCCAGAGTCTGCATTTGCTTTGACGTGACCTGAGGCATGCTTGTTCCATTTCAGCAACTCAAAGTATTGAAACCAGTGACAGCCGCAAAGCATTCTCATACGGAGCTGAGCAATGACAGCCCAAGTGTTCACACAGGTGAACTTTCAAAGCCATAACCTGAGATTGTGTTTTCATTTCTTGAATGTCTCATCAACAGGATCATGACTTCTTCCAGCATGTAGAGATGCACCTGCGTTCGGAGCACCCCCCGATCTGTGGCCGCGATCACCTCAGCTTCCGCTCATATTACTTCCCTGTCAAGGTGAGACTTGTGTGTTCCTGGGGATTAAAGTATTTTTAAGTAAACCTTTTCTCTTTTGTCCAGTGAGGTACATGAAAAAAGAGCAAACGGGGGGCGCAGACACCTAGTGCATTATCCAAGATTTATTGACAATAAGAAAAGACGAAAACATACTCACATTTATTGTCAATAAATAAATATTTGTTCCATTATGCTTGGACTAGCAGGAAGGGGAGAGACCTTGCAGTGTAATGACCACTGATTGGGTGCTCGTCAGGAAAGGGGTGTGTCGGGCTTATCCTTTTCCTTTGCTGCCAGAGCCATTTTTGTGTTTTTTGTACACATTTAATAATTTTAGGCCTGAAGATTACACAAACCCCCTAACATTCTACACTGCTCAAAAAAATTAAACACTTGTTAATCAGAGTATAGCATCAAGTCAACGAAACTCCTGGGATGTTGATCTGGTTAGTTAAGTCGCAGAGGGGGTTGGTAATCAGTTTCAGCTGCTGTGGTGTTAATGAAATTAACAGGTGCACTAGATGGGCAACAATGAGACGACCCCCAAAACAGGAATGGCTTTTACAGGTGGAGGACACTGACGTTTTTTTTTCCCTACTCATCTTTTCTGTCTGTTTTTTTCACTAGTTTTGCATTTGGCTAGGGTCAGTGTCACTACTGGTAGCATATGAGGGGGATACCTGGACCCTCAGAGGTTGCACAGGCAGTCCAACTCCTCCAGGATGGCACATTAATACGTGCCATTATCAGAAGGTTTGCTGTGTATTCCAGCAGAGTCTCAAGAGTATAGAGGAGATTCCAGAGGAGAATGTTTTTTTTGCCTGTAACATCATTCAGCATGACCGTTTTGGTGGTGGGTCAGTTGATGGTCTGGGGAGGCATATCCATGGAGGCACACACAGACCTCTACAGGCTAGACAATGGCATCCTGACTGCCATTAGGTATCGGGATGAAATCTTTGGACCCATTGTCAGACCCTACGCTGGTGCAGTGGGTCCTGTGTTCCTCCTGGTGCATGACAATGGGCAATGGTGCAAGAGTATTCAGACAGTTCCTGGAGAATGAAGGAATTAGTACCTTTTTTAAATGGCCCCGCCACGCTGACCTAAATCCAGTTGAACACCTCTGGGATATCATGTTTCGGTCCATCCGATGCCGCCAGGTTGCACCTCAGACTGTCCATTAGCTCAGTGGTGCCCTGGTTCATTAGGAGCATGTCCCAACGCCAGTCATGCATACAAGCACGTGGGGGCCATAGAAACTAATGAGGACCATTCTGAGTTGCTGCAATGACATTTCAGCAAAATGGACTTGCCTGCTGCATCATTTTTTTCACTTTGATTTTCGGGGTGTCTTTTGAATTCAGTCCTCTGTAGGTTGATAATTTTCATTTCCATCAAACGATGGGGCGTCCTTACATTCCTAACACATCACCTAGTCCATATCAGTATGGATATCCAGCATGATATTTTTCCCCATTGAGATTTGATGTGTTTTCAAAGTGTTCCTTTTGCTTTCAAAAAATATACACTGCTCAAAAAATTAGAGACCCTAGAGAATATAATAGTGGGTCTAGGAAACTCAAAATTTCAGTAAAAAATACACTTAAGTTAATTTTAGGGCACAAAAAGGCAATACATTTTTTTTTTTTTTTTTTTGGTAAAATATAAAAGATGAGGTTGCACCAAGTAGATATCCAACATGTCTGTCCATGATGGAATTTAACATTTTGCAGACTATTTCTTGTAATTCTCCCCCTTTCAGGATATCTGGGATTCCTCTTATCCTCAGGTTGCTTCTCCTGGACCTGTTCTCCTGTACTTCTATTTTATACTGCAGTTGTTTCTGCATATTTCCTCATCATAGCGGACTTTTTTTCTAAGTCTGTTATGTCTTGGGTATGTTTGTTAATTTTTTCCTCCATTTCTTCCGTTCTCATTAGCAGGTGCCCTAGATCCTGACGTATATTTGTCATTTCTTGTTTAATAGTTTTTTCCAGATCCTTAAACATTTCAGCCATCTCTCTTTTATTTGGCACTTGTAGATCTTTTACCAGGTCTATCCTCACAGAATTTTCTTTCCACTGTTGGTTACTATTTTCCGGGCCCAATGACAATCTAGGACTGTTCTCCAAGGAGGTTTCCATTTCCCCTTTTTCATTTCCACTGTTGGCCCTTTCTGGAGTCGCATTCCCCTGGGAGGTATACTTTTTAATTGTACCTGTCTGGGACCCTTTAAGCCCACTACCTTTAACACTTTTATTCTTCATATCTTCTGCACTGACTGTGCTCTTTAATCAGGGGGAAATTTTAAACTGTATATTGGGGTAATGATGTCAGATAGGCTCTGTCAATTTAACACTTCCTTTTTCTTTTCCCACTGTTCACTTTCCAAATCCCCTGGGAATCCCCCTTTTTTCTTTATAGGCAATTTCAAAGTCCTTTCCCACAGGTCAGCAAGCTTAAACAATTATTTGCGTGTGGACTCACCCTTCTTCACCCACTCACCCAGTGGGTCGACATAGATCCTCAGCCGTCCACTCGTTACATCTGGCCAATGTCTCTGGGGGATTCCTACATGGTCTCCTATGAACTGTGGGTCCTGTTCCTCTTTCCTCTCCTGTATGGTAGGATTGGGGTTTGAACCGGCGTCTCCGCTCTCCTGGTTGGGACCCGGCACTTGACAGGGAACCGGCCGGCGTCTCAGCTTCCCAGAGCTCCCTTGCGGCCAACCCACGTGCTCACTCCTCCTTACTGCATCTCCCCGGCAACCGAGCAGCTGATCGCGGATCTCCGTAGCACGCTCTCCTCCCTTAGCTCGGCTCCCGTCCCTTCAGAGCGCCGGCATCTCTCCCCCTGGAGACCTCCTTACTCAGGTAGGTCTCCACAGGACTAAGCAAACGGGGGTTTCCGTGGTGGTCTGGCTTGGAGTCTGTCGGAGAGCACTCACATCGTGCTCTCCAGCGCCGCCATGGTTAGGCTCCTCCCCCTCTTCCGATATCCAACATGTCAAACCTTACATTTGCATGCATTTGTGAAAAGGCAACAAACTTTAGTACCCTATATTTTATATACAGTGGGGCAAAAAAGTAATTAGTCAGCCACCAATTGTGCAAGTTCTCCCACTTAAAAAGATGAGAGAGGCCTGTAATTGGCATCATAGGTAGACCTCAACTATGAGAGACAAAATGAGAAAACAAATCCAGACAATCACATTGGCTGATTTGGAAAGAATTTATTTTCCAATTATGGTGGAAAATAAGTATTTGGTCACCTACAAACAAGCAAGATTTCTGGCTCTCACAGACCTGTACCTTCTTCTTTAAGAGGCTCCTCTGTCCTGCACTCATTACCTGTATCAATGGCACCTGTTTGAACTTGTTATCAGTATAAAAGACACCTGTCCACAACCTCAAACAGTCACACTCCAAACTCCACTATGGTGAAGACCAGAGAGCTGTCGAAGGACACCAGAAACAAAATTGTAGACCTGCACCAGGCTGGGAAGACTGAATCTGCAATAAGCAAGCAGCTTGGTGTGAACAAATCAACTGTGGGAGCAATAATTAGAAAATGGAAGACATACAAGGCCACTGATAATCTCCCTCGATCTGGGGCTTCACGCAAGATCTCATCCCATGGGGTCAAAATGATCACAAGAACGGTGAGCAAAAATCCCAGGACCACACGGGGGACCTAGTGAATGACCTGCAGAGAGCTGGGACCAACGTAACAAAGGCTACCATCAGTAACACACTATGCCGCCAGGGACTCAGATCCTGCAGTGCCACACGTGTCCCCCTGCCTAAGCCAGTACATGTCCGGGCCCGTCTGAAGTTTGCTAGAGAGCATTTGGATGATCCAGAAGAGGATTGGGAGAATGTCATATGGTCAGATGAAACCAAAATAGAACTGTTTGGTAAAAAACACAACTCGTCGTGTTTGGAGGAGAGAGAATGCTGAGTTGCATCCAAAGAACACAATACCTACTGTGAAGCATGGGGGTGGCAACATCATGCTTTGGGGCTGTTTCTCCGCAAAGGGACAAGGACGACTGATCCATGTACAGGACAGAATGAATGGGGCCATGTATCGTGAGATTTTTAGTGCAAACCTCCTTCCATCAGCAAGGGCATTGAAGATGAAAACGTGGCTGGGTCTTCCAACATGACAATGATCCCAAACATACCGCCCGGGCAACGAAGGAGTGGCTTCGTAAGAAGCATTTCAAGGTCCTGGAGTGGCCTAGCCAGTCTCCAGATCTCAACCCCATAGAAAACCTTTGGAGGGAGTTGAAAGTCCGTGTTGCCCAGCGACAGCCCCAAAACATCACTGCTCTAGAGGAGATCTGCATGGAGGAATGGGCCAACATACCAGCAACAGTGTGTGCCAACCTTGTGAAGACTTACAGGAAACGTTTGACCTCTGTCATTGCCAACAAAGGATATATAACAAAGTATTGAGATGAACTTTTGATATTGACCAAATGCTTATTTTCCACCATAATTTGCAAATAAATTCTTTCCAGATCAGCCAATGTGATTGTCTGGATTTTTTTTCTCATTTTGTCTCTCATAGTTGAGGTCTACCTATGATGCCAATTACAGGCCTCTCTCATCTTTTTAAGTGGGAGAACTTGCACAATTGGTGGCTGACTAAATACTTTTTTTTCCCACTGTAAGTGACGCTTTTTAAAGCCCCTATAGGTCATTAGTTTGTTGTTCCAGAGGTCGTCTGGTGCTAGAATTATTGCTCTCATTGCTGCATGCATGGCGATATGTAACGTGTCGCAATTGTTTTCACATGTAGGCACCCTGATGTGTGTGTGTGTTTACATTTATATGTGGGGGCTCAAAATTTTGTGGGGGGGGGGGTCTATGTGCTAGGGTGTAACTTTTTACAATTAAAAACATTTTACGTAACTTTTTTTTTTTTTTTTTGTCCATCACGGGACAAAGTCTCCCTATGTGATTTTTTGGTGACAGGTTCTCTTTAATGAGACATGCAGGTCTTAAAGACCCTGCATACCTCCTGGGCTCCATTGAATGTAATGCAGTGCACATCGCACCACATTACATTCTTTCCCCAGCCTTGTTGACCAGGAAATCTCTCAATGGGACCTGGAAGTGACATACAAGGTCACTGCAAGAAGGGAAGGAGAGTGGACGTAACGGCACCCGCTGAGCTGGTCCCGGGCCTGCAGATGGGCAAGCGGAGCCTGGAAACATAGCGGGGTGCTGCCAATTTAGTGGGTGTATGTAGAATCGTTCATGCTGCTGCTGTATACAAATACACTGCGCAAATATAAATCACACATCCCTGAATGTAGGTTATATATTGAACAGGGTGCATTGTGTCTTTCCATTACATTGTACATTTTTTTTTTTCTTTTTTTTTCCCTCAGAATGTGATTGATGGCGATCTGTGTGTGAACAGTTCAACTCTATGGAGCCGACTAAACAGAAGAGCGTAGCGGAAGAATTGGACAGGACGCCTCCTGAAGTCTCCAAGAAACTTGAAGATATTCGAACCCGTTACGCTTTTTAATGTGAGATGATGAACATTATCGGGACCCTTCACTTCCCCACTGTTTTATTTTATTTTTTAACGCTGGACCCTCTGATATCAATGTGTGGACCACTGCCGAGCAGGGACTTGTGGGCTGAATTCTCTCAGCATGTGATGGCGCTGCTGGGTCGGCATTGCGATTTGTCTGTGTACAGTGTGTAGTGGAACCATCTCTCCCTCCCATCTGGTGCATCTTGTAAATAGTTTTTTGTAAAATTATATTTTGTTTTTGTTTTTTTTAATTTGATGTTCAGTCGGTTTGCAGAACATTTTGGAATGGCACCTTCTGGCTTTCTTGTCTGACTGAAAGCAAATAAAAGATGTTTTTCTACCCCATTTGTAATTTATTGGCTGGAATGCAGCAGATTTGTTGTTAAATAACAAATGGATGGATGAAGAAACCGTATATGAAGGATGGGAATGCCAGGTTTGTTACTTGGTCCAGTATGAGGTTATCTTAAAAGAAACCGGTCAAGGTCAAAGGATATATCCAACATGTTTCAGAGATTCAACTCCTCCTCATCAGGGATAAAAATCGAATTCCAAGCTAAACCTAACTAGTCCTAAAAATTCTCCCTCTCCCTTTTTAACACCTATGCTGACTAACCTATGAAACAAAGATGTTATACTTCCTCAACTCCCCTAACGTGATCACCCCCCCCCCCCCCCCCCCCAGTGTCAGCTGCAGCGCAGAAAGCGCATGTCAACAGCTGGTAATCATGGAGCCGTGATGTTGCCCATAAACTCCTATGACACATCTGTTGTCAATGCTCCCTCCTCTCCCCCACATCCATTGCTGACCGACACAGAGGTCCGGATCACATGACCAGAGTGGACTGAAAAAGGTAAGTAGATAAAGGCGTACCTCGGTTTACGAATTTAATGTGTTCTGCGGGACTTTTTGTATTGCAAAAAAAAAGCATTGAAAACCAATTAATCCGTTCCAGAGGTCAGAAAAAGTTTTAAAGTCTTTTATCTGTTCAAAACTCTATAAAGTGCACTTTAAAGGCATAAATAGTGTACAGGGACATGATTAAAAATTAATTTGTAAATGCATTGAAGACCAATTAATCCGTTCTGGAGGTCAAAAAAAAAAGTCTTATCTGTTCAAAACTCTTTATAAAGTGCACTTTAAAGGCATAAATACTGTACAGGGACATGATGGAAAAAAAAAATCATAAATGCTTTGAAAACCAATTAATCTGTTTTTTGTAACGCGAAAAAAATTTGTAAACCAAGGCATTATTTTCAATGATTTTCATTCGTAAACCAAAAATTATGTTAACCGAGGCGTTCGTAAACCGAGGTATGCATGCACATCTTTCTTACATTGGTTAGTAAGCACAGTTGATTTGGGGGGGCGGGGGCTGGGCTGCATTTTTAACACTAGTTAGGTTTATCTTGGAATTTTTCAAAGAGTAAGTTTAACTTTGGTAACATGTTACATGTTCCTCCTGTTGTTTTTAAGGTTTTAGGGTGGAACATGTAACATGTCCCCATAGCCGTCACTCCCCTCCCTATTATGCTCTACTATCTGTCAAATTTGAAAACAGCATGGCTGTATGGGCGCTGCCCACAAGGCCGCAATGAACTGCAAGTCTCCGATAGCTTAGCAGCTGTCGGCTTGTAGTTTTCAATAAACTACCTGAGCGCCGTGGTAGTTCATTGAAGCTACCTGTCAGAATATCTGCTTGACCATACATCTCGTACGGTGAAGTAGATATTCTGACAGGTCTGCAGGAGATCTGTATGGCATCGGTGATCTACTGATCGTTGGAGCAATCCTTTCTAGGCTCCTGTAGACAAAAATAATGCAATTTTTTTTTTTCTTTCTAACCTGCAAAAAATGTGCATTTATTATTTTTGTCTAAAAGGTGAACTTATCCTTTTAAGTGCTACAATGTTAGGCTGAGAATATGTAAACTTTCTTAATCATACATTGCAGGACACTTCATATTCATGACTATTTGGGCTATACTGCCACCATCTCATGAATGGGCACAGACCAAAGAAACACAGGATCTGGATGATGTAGAAACTGGGGGATGAGATGGACTCCTAGAATACGAGGCAATGGTGGGAGTGGTGGTAGCCTCCTCCTAGAATATGTGGAAGTGGTGGTGGACTCCTGGATTATGTGGAATTGGATGAAGTGGTGGTGGACCCCTGGATTATGTGGGGGTGATGTGGTGGTGGACTCCTGGATTATGTGGCGATTGGCTTGTATGGTTTTATTTTCTCCCAATCCCCATTTTATATTGGAGCAAAAATCTGTCATTTTCATGATAGTGCTTTGAAATTTCTATTTCTGTTAAGCGGTGATACTCTCCTGTCAGCCGGGTCTCGTTACAGTAAATTTTTATGACTTCTCTGAATAGGCGCCTTATTCCACAGAGATTTGAACAACCTAAGACTTTAAAGAAGTTCTCGGTTGGGCTTGAGTGTCTGCCAGCATCATTCAACTTGCTTCCTGTGAGATTAGAGTCTCATGGGGACACCTCTTGGGGCGATGTCATGTCAGCTCAGGCTTACAGTAGAATACAACAAAGGAGACTGATGACAAAGGGGGAGAGAAAAATCTCAATTCTGGATTTAAAGCTGAAATCCATGAAGAAATTTTTAATCTATTATAAAAGTCCAGTTTTTTACCTTGTATCATGTATGTATGACCAGTGGCTGCTGTGCCTGCTCCTACCACAAGTCACCAGTCATATAATTTCCCCATTGTAGCTCATTCCTAACAGCAGCGGAGTTGCATCACCAATCATTGGAGGACCTGGTCATCTCAGACTTTGGTCTGTCCACACACTCACTGCCTAATTTGATTGACTGGGCAGGAGCCTCCTGGTCTGTCCCACTCACCATGACAACACCATGATTGACAGGCCTGGACTCTTCTGGTCCGTCCCACCTATGACCATAAGTGGCAGGCCAGGAGCCACCTCCTAGTCTGTCCCACTCATGAAGACGACACTAAGGTTGACAGGCCAGGAGCCTCCCAGTCTGTCTCACCCATGATAAAATTGTCATGAATGACAGGCCCCGAGCCTCCTGGTCTGTCCCACCAACGATAACACAGACCTGGAGCTTCCTGGTCTGTCCAACCTATGGTCATAAGTGACAAGCCAGGAGCCACCTCCTGGTCTGTGTCACCCATGAAGGCAACGCTAAGGTTGAGAGATCACCAAGACTGTCAGACTGGGAGCTTCCTGGTCTCTCCCACCTAAGATGACAATGCTATGATTAGCAGACCTGGAGCCTTCCAGTCTGTCCCCACCCATGATGAAGCTATGTTGAGAAGGGAAGAATCCACCTAGTCTACCACCCGATAACAACTCTGATGGACAGGCCAAGAGCCTCCCAGTCTCTCACCCTTGATGGCAACTCCATGATTGACAAGCCAAGAGCCTCCCGGTCTGTCCCACCTCCAATGACAATGCCGGTCTCAACCCATTAACAACTCTATGACTAACAGGTCAAGAGCCTCCCAGTCTCTCACCCTTGATGGCAACTCCATGTTTGACAAGCCAAAAGCCTTCTGGTCTGTCCCACCTACAATGATAATGCCTACAATGAGAAGGTTCCAGGTCTGCTAATGATAACATTGTCCTCTTAGGTGGGACAGACCGGGAAACTCCCAGTCTGACAGTCTTGGTGTTCTGTCAACCTTCGCTTGTCTTTATGGCCAGTAGATTGGAAGAGGAAATAATTCCCACTGCATGTTGTGAATTGTAGTTTGTTACTGTGATATCAGCACTTCACTAATACTTGATCACAGTCTTCTGGCAAGGTTTCCTTCTGAAGTGATGACATCACAGACATTAAAAAATTTATTTTCCCAAAAACTATGCAAATAAAACATGAGTTTTTAAGAAGGAAAAAAAAAACCAACTGAAAGTAATGGAGATCCTTAAGGTATGTGTATGGGGTACATATGACAGTATGTCTCACAGGGAAGTCTGGCCGTAGGTCAGGATACAGAGATGAAATGGGATTCAGGCTGGGTGGAGCCTTCTTTCTTCACATTCACTATGACAGCGAGAAGAAGCACAGATACGGAAACTTTCTTTGCGCCAAATTCTGTAACCGCGTCCAAAAAACACTTCCACTGCCAGCCCAGCGATCGCCTTCCATTCCCTCAACATTTGGTATTTTTGTTCTGTCTTAGTCACGCTGAAGATTTAATTTTAACAGCAGCTACAAAAATGGCACAAAAACACAGAAATCTTTTGTTGAGAAACTGATGGGTGGAGTGAGATCAGATGACAGGCCGAGGATGGAGATTTTACTGTGTCACTATTGCTCAGCAATCTGCTGGTTTCCTTTTTTTTTTTTAAAGGGTAACTCCACGCTTAATACCAATTGATATGCATATTCTCTACGAGACATTCTGTAATGGATTAACCCCTTTATGAGTGGACCTAATTTCATACCTTTTGTATTCAAAGACAATTTCACCATTTCAGCTTTAGTTGCGCATAACCTTTTGACCCTAAAATTGCTTTTTTTTTTTTTTTTTGTGGTGGGGGGGGCAGATTTTGATTTAGTTTTGTAATGTCAGTTTAAATATATATTTATCGGGGATAAAAAAAATAAGAAAAAAAAATATTCTCTAAGTTTTGCCTTCAGTCATTTTTTGCTCCCCAGATACACTTCTTCCTGTTTACTATGATTGCGGAGAGAGGAAATGTCTGAAATATTCCAGCTCTGCAGATCAATAGCAGCGATTTGTCTTTGTACTAATGAGATTTTTTTTTCAGACAAGAATGTTGGAAAGTCTTCTATTTTTCCATCCAGCTGTCTCCTTTAGGCAACCTAACCCTAAAAAAGAAAATCGGAAATGATATATTAAATGAGAGAGAAAGTCATACTTTCTCTAGAGATGGTCACAGATTTATGCACAATTTCCCCCGAACTTCACACCACTCTGCCACACTCTCCTCACCCTCAACACTTCTCCCCAGTATGACCTGCCCTTT